CAACATCTGCTGCCAGCAAGAGAGACCCATCGTCAACGCCCGAACGAGCAGCCAACGAGGCAGCTAACAGCACGCGGAGGGCGAAGCCTACTCTTCCCGTGCCGCTCCAGATGACATGCAGGGAAACAAGCAGTACAGAGTAAGGAGAGGGACATTTGGAATAAAACAAAGATGGATAAGCGGCCCTCGCATGCTCTTCGTCTCCTGTCCGACATATAGTGTACGCAACTTACGCCGTACATACAAGTGTACACAGATCCAAGGTACTAGTCTATATTCAGGATGGAAAGCCGTTGAAAAGGAAAAAGCAAGTTCCAGGCGAAATCGAGAGTTGTCAGGATTAAAGTCTCTTCTCTCTCACCCCTTTCTCTAGTGTGGCCTGGCGACCTCCTCCCGTCTGTCCCATAACTCCCTGTACTATGTATGGCTAATTATTTACATATATAGATATCTCCCTATCCCTGGTTCCGTTGCACATCATCATGCCGTCCGAATCCAAATTTAGCTGGTTCTTTTCTTTTTCCTTCTCGGGACCCCATGTTGATGTCGACACACACCCTCTTCCTCCGAGTTTCTTGTGTTTAATTCCTTACTGTGTGATGCTTTTCTGCATCACCTACATATGCAACTGGTCTGGTGACCGTATAGTTTGCCTGGTTGCCCTGGTCCTGACCTTGACCTTGCCTGATTTTTTTTTGCTATTTCTCTGCCTGCCTGCCTTACCTTGTCTTGCATGCTTTTCTCCCCCTTTCATCCCTTACAAGACGGTCCTGCCATCTCCCCGATTCTCTGGGCTTTTTTCTTTCTCGACCTCTTGGATTCCGGACTCTGGATTCACCATCTCGTACAACCGGGGAAAACCAACAGCCAGAAGTGGTAAGGGTGTGTCTGTTGATCGTAGGCCCTTTTTTAAGCTTCCTTCTCGTCGAGATACTGGTTTCATCTGCCCGCGAACATCGGTGATCTCGAGTTTTTGATCGTTTTTTCTCCATCTTTCAACCCGGTCTCTTGGTCCTGTTTGATATATGATTTGCGTGGATGAGGAAGTAGATGACCTTTTTTTTTTTTTAAACATTCTTAGCGATGCGCAGGTATTGGTAACGGTAACGGTAGCGGTAGCGGCCCGCTCCCGCATCCTTCTCGCATAAAGCGAAATCGAATACGGAGTGACTGTCTGCCTAGCACTGCCAGTACTCTCACTGGTTACAAGTATGGGAACGGTAAAACAGAAGAAAAAAAAAGGAACAGAGCTAGATGCAGATTATTTGCTGAAGGAAGAAGCTGATCAGCCGTGTCTACCATTTTCATTGGCTCAAGGTGCGAATATACAAAAAAAAAAAAGGAAAAAGAAAAAGTCGAGATGGCTGGCACAGACCAGAGCCAGAGCAGCTGAGGGCCAACCAGTCAGGCGAAGGAGAGGGCATATATCAGCCAGCTATAACTTGCCCACCGGACAGGATCAAGCAGGTTCCAGGTCAAAAAAAAATCCCACCGTTCTGCATTGCATTGCATGACATGGCACATTGCAGATTGATCATGTGTCTTTCGAGTGTGTGCTGTCTGCCTCGATCATTGGATCTCCTCCCCCCCCTAGGAGAGTCTTTTTCTTTTTTAGCTCAACCTGGAGACGGCATCGGGCCGGCCAGGCGCGCTACTTACGTGGAGAGACGGGAAGGGGAGGGTAAAGAAAAAAAAAAGGGGGGGGGGCAGGGCATCAATCTATCGGCGTTCCAGGGGGACTAACCACCGCCCAAATGCACATGGATACGCGATGACGGTGACCGGTGATAAAAAGGAGCGACAGGTTGGGCGTTGTCTACCACATACGGAGTACATACATACATACTGAGCACGCAAGCTAGAAAATCAGGCCAGGAGGGAGACAGGACAATGCACTGCATGTGCATGTTGCACGCTGCATGAAACTAGGTCGGCTCAGCAGCGAAGGAGAGAGCGGTGTGAGATGGGAAGGGGGGGGAGGGAAGAGAAGAGGATTGTCTCGTATCTGTCGTCCCACTGCATGCACCGGCATATCAATCCTAGATATACTCTATCTTTTTATGGATATCTCTTCATCTGCATAATGCATGTATTCACTCCGTCGACACCTTTATATATATATATACTCCATCCATAGTCTATCTTCATGTCACCGTCCGAGATGGGCTTTTGCTGAGTTACATCTTTCCCGTAGCTGGCGGTTTCGGTATTACCATACGGTAAGTTACGGGTACCCGTACCATACATACATATATATACTCCGTCATCCTTAATATCTGGCCATCCGGAGTATATATATTTATATTCTTTATTATATATAAGAACATAAGATATGAACGTCGAAGATGATCAAATACAGCGGAATAGATGATCTGGCATCCAATAGTGCGAGCCACGGCAAATCGGAAGACTCAGTATCAGACAAGAGAAAAAGAAAAAGACTACGCTGGGCCAAATAGTCGCACCCTTCCCAGGCCTAATGCGAGCTTGTTACACTAGACGTTTTCCCTTCAGCTTCGTCCTTGGTCTTCTTCTTTTAACTCGCCCATCCGGCCTCCCTAGCGCGCTCTTGTTTTTTCTTTTCTTTTCTTTTGCTCTGGTGGGCTTGCAGGCCCATCCCTGCCTTCCCGCTAGGCCCGCATACGTCTCTGGTCATGTGGTTTGGCCACAGCCAATCATGGTCGGGCGGCGACGGAGAAGGATGGAAGTCGGGAGGTTTGGGGGGAGTTTCTGGGGGGGGGGGGCGATGATACTGCTAAGTACTATATAGATGAAAGAGTATAGAGAGTTATAGGTAAGGATGGATGACGGGAGTTGGTACTTATGCTGACTGCTTGAATAGGACAAGACGACCAAGGTGTTGGAGCGAGCGATATCAGTCCAAGCCAACAAGACAAGAGTCAACTGCATATCCGGGCAGACAGGCTGCTAGTGGTGGTGCTTCTTCCTCCTGGTTGCACAGCAAGCAAACACCATCGCTGACCTGGCCCCCTTGCTGCTGCATCTCCAACTCAGAGACCGAATATGCATCAGCGGGAGGGCGATAGAGCATCCCGTGGAGAAGACATACATGCTTCCTGCCCTGCACGATGAACAGTCAGCATCGGACATCAAGCGGACGGTTACATGGCACGGTATACACCCTCCATATGTACGGAGTATATATCAACCTCAAGGATCTCCGGATGTCTCTCACCACTCGGGCCTGTTCAAAAGTTGAACTGCAAGCACTAATATGTCTTCGTACATGTACATACATACCCGACTTGGACCAGGTTTATATGCCTGTTGTACGGATCTTCGACGTAAGAATGTTGATTTCAAATGCCTACTTGACGCTTCCTTCCCTTTGCTTTCTTTTTTGCCTTTTGCATAAAGCATGCTCACGATGCATGCCTGCGTTGTTCGTGTCCTTCCTCTGACACACCATCCCTTCCTAGTGCCCGTTATCTTTCGCCCCCAAGTCTTGGTTGATAGGTACCCAACCGATGGCTTGCGCTGTGTTGACTCTTTTCCTGCCTTACCCTTTTATCGTTCATCCCTTTTATCTCCCTCCCCCGCAAAACAAGGTCGTGGCCATGGTCGTGGTCTATAGTTCGGCTGTTCTATAGTCAGTCTATAGCCTGGCATGTCCATAGTTTGTCGCCTTGTCAACCAATTATCAATCAATCCTCCCTTCCCCCATAAACAATATCTTCTTACATACTCCTTGTTCCTTTGACTGCAAGTACCAGTCGGGTAACCGTGCATGCATATATGTCTATATTTATAACAGTCATGATAATATATACACTTCTCGACAAGCCGGACTCTCTTTTCCTTGATTTGAAAGAAGGCCGGGCTCGAGCGTGCATACGTCCCTCCGGGATTGCCTTCTTCTCCCACCCACCCCTTTCAATCGTCGTCTTCATCCTCCACATCCCCAGATCCATCCCCGTCTCCATCCTCGGGATCCGGCATGACGATGCTGTTCAGATATGTGACCTGTCGGAATGAAACATGTCAGTAACATAAAAACACGGATAAACCTTATTTGATCCCTGGGCTGCGTGATAGATATAATAGAAACATCTATTTTGCACGGCCAAGCAGAAGCACAAACGACCAGGACAGTCTCCTCCATCAGCGAATCTTCATTGAACACATAGAACGCATGGCAGCGTTCAACAACAAACGGGCAACAATCCCTCCTTCCCCCTCTTTCCCCCTTTCACCCCTCCAATGCTGCTGTGCTGGGCGGACATACAGCCTGGTCGCTAAGCGAGATTGAATTCTCGCCCTTCGCTAGGAGACGGTAAATCTTTTCCCTTTCTCCATGGTTTTGGTGGCTGGCAGGGGTGAATGGCAAGGGGGTGGGGAACATTGACCGCGATTCAGAGGAAGAAAGGCAGAAGCCAGAAAGAACGGTAGAAGGAGGGGGGGTAGAACGAAGGAAGAGCATGAGAAAGAAGGGATTGGAGGAATTGAAAGAGAGGAGGGGGGAAGAGAGGGACAAGAGGGTTGGATGCCCGACTCGCTCCACTGCTCGTTTTACGTGGGTTGGCTGCCCTCTGTGCCCAAATTCAGCTCATTGTGCATGCATATAATACCTGCATGCGACGGTTAAGCCGCGAAAGGAAAGTTACAGTGTGTGTGTGTGTGTGTGTGTGGATCATGGTGGGACAGATGATGGGCTCTGGGACCCTGGAAATATAAACGAGAGAAGCCGCCGTTGAGTCGTTTGACAAGTCCGGCATCGACTCGGAGTGAGGGATGGTAGGGATAGCCTCGAGAAGGGGGGAATGGAGCTCTGGTTCTGGCTCTGCGGGATGGGAGAGGCCGTCCGAGGGGGGAGGGGAGGGGGGGCAAAATGGACGGGATGTGCAGGAGACAACTCTGCTGCATGCTGACAGACTGATTATACTTACAAAATGAACCATGATCCCGACGATATGAGCCACTCTGTCCATGGCTTCTGGCCCACGGAGATCCTTGTCAGCAAGTTTCTTGCTCAACGTAAAGCTGCGAAGGCGGAGGAGTTCGATATTCTCATTGTCCGCATCGTAACCCTATGTGAAATAATAGAGTTAGATCGTTCGGCAATCATATAGTTATATCTCAACGGGTAAAAAAAAGGGGGTTGTATAAGGGGGTCGTTGTAAGAGAAAGAAAATGAAAAAAAAGGAGGGTTCAATTTCGTTAGCCTCTTCTTTGAAACCTGGAACGAACACTATCTCTGAACCAGAATTTGAGAGAAAAATGTTCCAAAACTCTGGGCTGCAAAACGAGAGAGAAGGTTCAATGGGGTGGCTTCTCCGTCCATAGTGGCGATGAAGTGCAAGAAGCTCTGCACAAATCAAGGGCCGCGCCAGGTCCGCCCGTAACGGGCCTTTGAAGCCCAAAACTCTGCTGCCATCCCCGCTTGGAAGACGAGTCAGACGTTTGAAGGCTCCTGCTGAGGCCTGGACGAACAGATCGATGCCTTCTGACCGGGTGGATTTGCCGTTTTTTTGGCTGCTGGGCTGGCTGGAGTCGCTTCCAGTTAGCTGAGGCAGGCAAGTATCATCGGTCTTTGGGGGTCAAATTGCCGAATTCTCCCGGAATCCTGCGGGATGCCCGTTCCAGGTATGGTAGGAAAACGAACTTACGGAGAGATGGAATCGTTAGATTCGAGACTACGGGGAGAAAGTCCATAAATGGGGATAGTAAGGTACGTCGTCGAGTGTATTCCGTTGATCGCCAAGTTGACTGACCGAACGGTGGGTTGTTGGTAGAAAGACCAGTGCCTCCTTTGTCGTTAAGGTCTCGATAGGGGCATTACCAAGAACCTCCGGTTGTATAGAGCCATCATACTTCTCTCTCTCTCTCTTGGCTTAAAATCGGCAATTGAAGAACCTAGATGAGGCAATACTTCGTTTGGGTGATGGGTTGACTGCAGTTCGCTAGGGAACGATTGACATTGATCGAAGAATTGACAGCAATATTCGCCTACCTTTGGTTTAGTCTTGAGAGCACTCTCTTTATTTTGGTTAACAAAGGCCTTGATGACCTTCTTTTCGTCATTAGGAACACCGCCGAGGATTTCTCCCCTGACGTCTGGACTCATCAAGATCGCCTTGAGTCTTTGCGAGTTCCGATCGATATCCTGACGAATAAGCGCGAGCTTACTAGCTTCAGGCATCCATAATCCCGATCCTGGATTCATATTTGTGGTTAGCTTGTGCTCATAACTATACCCTCGGACCACGCGTTGTTGAGGGACTATTGCTTGGGATATTAACTGGCCACAGGGGTAGGAATAGATAATGCCGGTTCAGCTAGGTAAGGAAAGTTAAGTTATAGTGAACGCCAGTTAGAGCGTCACTCACCTATAAAACATTTGCCAGGTTCAAGGTGGAGGTAGTATGCTGCATATGGGCCTTTCCGTCCAGTACGAGACCTGCAAGGATTAACTATTTGATAAGACGCATGGTATATATGGCAGGATAATTGTTAGCATACCATGCTGCTGAGAAATGTGGCTTCGTTATGTAGTTAGCAACTGCATAATGAAATAGTTGGGCCCCAGCTGATCAAAGCCCTTCTACTTAGCTTGAAAGTTGGCCGAATAGCATACTTTGTAGGGTGTTTGGTCATGGCTGAACCGAACGTCTCTATAAATCCTGAAGACCTATTGTAATATACCGGTCAGCAGGAGTTCTAAAGCATTTCTGCGGTTGACCAACATGTGCTTACCAAGTCTTTGGCAGGTAGCTCTGGAATAGTCTCATCTTTCTCTGCAAGTTTTTCATTCAAGGCCTCAACGAACGTGTCCCAATCCTTCTTGGATTTTCGATAATCAACATCATGTTCTGGAATTCAAATATTATTATCAGTAACCTAGACAATCACAAAGGATACATATAGACATACAATCTTGTATGCCTACATGGATGATTGCGAACTCACTTTTCAGCCATTCCCGATCATTATTCTCTTTCAGGTCCGCTAGGAAGAGGACGGTGTTTGGATGGATTGTACCATCTTCGTAGGGTATGCCTCCATCATCTCTCGGAGTTGGAAGCTTGATAAAAACTTCCTTTCCTGGTTCCAGCCCAGTCTTTACACCCTCTCTCCATAGCTCATTGCCTTTGCTAGATCCCAGGGGTTCAGTAACGGCATCTTCTTTCCTAGGACCTTTCTTTTTTGTTACTCCTAGTTTCTTTTTATTATATCTTTTCTTCTTGTCTCTAAATTCTTCGTCCTCGCCCTCATTATCTTCTGCAGTATCCTCAGCCTCCGCACTTGCAGAGCTCTCCACCCCAGGTTCATATGGGTCCTCCGTTTCGTTATAGCTTTTCAGAGAAGCTCGTTTTGAGCTGCTGGAGGCTAACGGAGTCAAGTCACTCTCACTCAATTCCGGATCACAAGCTTCTTGTTCGAAGTATTTGCTCTTCTTTGCGGTGGATGAGGTACGTCTGGAGGTTCTAGACCTAGACGGTAGCTCTTTGGGGTCATTTCTCCGGCGTTTCGAACTTGTATTCTGGTCGGACGGCGGCGTATCAAGCTGGTGCTTGGTTTGCTGCTTCGTAGGCGCCGAATTTCGAAGCGAACGGCGAGGCATGGTTGGGGAATCGCGTAGATGGTCGTTAACTATGGTCCTAACATGGGGACTCGATAGCAAGTAACATCTGACTGCGACTATAGACGATAATGAAGCTTAACGATAATTACTTATATATTATCCTCATCTCCTAGCTTTATCAGTTTGTTGGTAGCTGTTTTGCGAAAGAGTCGAGCCTCGGCAGGGCTTGCGAGGATGAAGCGCGCGTAGAAAATAATTATAGGAAGCGGGTTTTCGTATTCTCGAGAATCTCCAAGCAATTCAAGCGGAAGATAAACGGTACATCTGATTTCTTTAACCAATGACAGAGAAATATATGGCTAATATTGATTTTTTTTTTCTCAAGGTGAACTCCTATTGTTGAAACTTGGACTAGGGTTGGGAGAAAAGTCTGAGAGGGAGAATCGTGCATAAGCTGTTCTTATACCTGCAGAGGGAGCATATGCGCAAACCAGCTGCGATAGAGAGACGAAGAGGTCCATATAGGGTCATTTGCGGAAGAGAACAGACTGATTTCGCTTAATAAAGACATATTTAAAGGAAACCTGAGGAACCATGGCTACCGTCTCTGCTAATTTTACAGCCAGGAAGGAGAAAATATTGAAGGACCTCTCTGTTCCAGCGGAAGACTACACCGATTTATCCCCTAAGGGTTCTGTGGATGCTGCAATTATACCACTTATACGGGACATAAACCGATTACCAGGACTTGTGACAACAAGTAGCTGTGCCGGACGCATCAGCGTATTTCTCGAACGGGGGAAAGCAGGCAAGACCCAGGCCGATATTGATACCCTCGAAACTGAGAGAACTTTAGGGGAACCTGAAAATAGCTATGCAGTAGATAAGGTGGACGGTAGTGAACCCCCAAAGGCGGACGGGGTCAATAAATTCGTTCCTAAAGGCGGGAAAGGCAGTGGGACATGGCAGTTTGTCTCCCATAGCCCCCTGCTGGCTGATGCAAATAGTACAGAGAGGAACTTGCATGGTCTATTTGGATTGAAACCTTCACAAGATCAAACAGCTCTAAGGGAAAATGGAGAGCTACAGCTGGTTAAATTCAAGTTTGAGCCCATGGTAAGTATTTGATACTCCATTTAGCTGCCTATACCCCGGTAGTACTAATATACCGCAATAATATCTATCAAACTAAACGTTTCTACCTAACTACCCAACATGCTAATGCACAATAAAGATTCTCCATATAATGGCTGCATCTTTAAAGGATGCTCAACCAGTCCTTGCTGCTGCCAGTAATGCAGGCTTCCGAGAAAGCGGGCTCCAGGGCCTTCGCTGCCTTGAAGACCAGGATGCATGTCCTATTGTTGCGGTACGGTCTTCCGGCCTTGGTCTAGAGTCGATCATAGGTTATGTAGAAGATGACGGGTCTCCTGAACTTTCCGCACGCAGCCTTGTAACCGAGGACTACTTGCAATTACTTGTCCAAATTTCGAATGAACGGTTTAAAACGAATTCGGAACGTACGGAAAGATTTAGGGTCAGACTGTTGGATTTAACCGGAGCGCGGAATCTTAACAACCCCAAGGCTCTGTGGGAGGATCCAAATGCTAGAAGGGAAAGGAAGAGGGCTGAAGGCTTGGAACGGAGCAAAGCAGCAAGGAAAGCCAGAGTATGTGATAGTGTTACCGCAGAGACTAATGGCGAGGACTGCTACTTGGGGTCTATAGTATAAACTGTTATAATACTATTACTAGGCTTTGTACTCGAATAGCCAAGTATTCTATATTCAGTAATAAGACATTCATTTTCAGCCATAAAGATATAGGGTCTATATAATATCCAAATCATAAACCTTGGGTATGGAATAGCGGCACAAGCGAACACGATAGCAATATGGTAACCATAAGAGTAAGAACGCAGTTTTAACCCACAGGTTTCTGAGCGGTACTTGGGATGGTAGAAGGGAGTATAGGAAGCAAGGTCAGAAAAGGAAATTGGGTAATTAATTGGCCTGGGCAGGCTTACTCTTACAGATAAAAATACATAGTTACAATAATGCCAACAGCCAGTTGATGTCCCTAAGGGGATTGACTGGCTGCTAGCCAACTGGTAGCAATGCGTGAACAAATGAAAATTATACAATAATGCCAACAGCCAGTGTCGTCCCTAAGGGGATTGACTGGCTGCTAGCCAACTGGTAGCAACGCGTAAACAAATGAAAATTATACAATAATGCCAACAGCCAGTGTCGTCCCTAAGAGGTTGACTGACTGCTAGCCAACTGCTAGCAATGTGTGAACAAAGGAAAAACAAAGGAAATCAAACGGCGGTGTTGACAGCCGCAAGCCCCTCTGAGATCAGGGTTCTCATCACCCCGATCTCAGTGTTAATGGCGGCTTGCAGGCTCCGCCGCGCTCCCTCGCCCTGCCACTCCAGCATGAGTGGCCCGAAGGGCGAGTTGCCATGTTGAATGGCGTCCCACGAGTTATTGAGCTCCCCAAGGTTGGGGACTCGGCGCAGGACAGCCGCCCGGATCAGCCGGGCGTACTCCTAATGGAAAGTGTCAGCTCATGTAGCTAAGGGAAAGTGAGGAAATTTCGTACCTCCACGCTCTCCTCTCGCGCACCGGGCTTGCGCGAGAGGGCGTCGAAGGGCCAGAACATTGCTGTTCTGGGGATGCCCCCTTGCTCTTGGCCGGCCGCCACCCGGAGAAGGTATTTCTGACGTTCATTGAACGTCGGGCAACGAAGTCCTGCGTTGAGGAGATCCCTCAACAGACGTGCATCTAGTTGGACAACTCGTCTAGCATTGACTTGGATGACCAATGCTCGTAGCTGGCGTCTGGTGGCATCAAATAGGACATTGCGGTGTTCAACTGTGTAGAGGGACCTAGATGACCATGGAAACTAACACAAATGTTAGGGTAAAATAGAATGATATCGAGCGGAAGAATGGTTTACCTTGTCAAGAGTGCTGATCATGAACTCGTAGGGTCGCTGGGGGCACTTCTCGGCAAATGGAGCCTATGAGTATAACAGTTAGCGGCAACTTCGCACTAGAACAGGTGTATATATGATATGAGACTCACTCTCTTTGGTGCTTCGGTGTAATGGACCATGCAGAATAACTCCTCGTTCGTTAAAAACCCCTGGAAGCCAGTCGAGTACCTATCTGTGTTTGGCTGGACTTCGGGGAAGCCGTTTTTCCAAAGGACACATTTAGCACGAGGAAACATCTCACGAAGTAATTCGTCTTGAGAAGACATTTCAACAAGCACATGGCGATCACCGAGGCGGGGCGAATGAGCAGGCAGGTTGCGGTTGACCCATGAAAGGGCTTCTTGTGCATCAGCTTGTGTGAGTAATTCGACATAGCAGTCCATGGTCTTAGCTGTAGATCGTTCCATGATAATATGGACTGAAGTCCCTCTGCTCTCTGGGAGCAGTTTGGCTCGACGGCCAAGGAAATGTATGACTTCTCGTGTCAAAAGATTGTAAGGGATCTTTTAGAGGGGTTAGTTCAGGTCAATAGAATGTTTACTAGGGTATATAAATCTGAGAAAACTCTTGTGGCTCCCATAAAGGCTGATACAAGAGCAGATCTCTCGTGTACCAGAAAACCACGGGCAAGCAAAATAACGAAGGTACCAGGTAGAGTTCGAAAGCAGCGCGTTTGAGAGAAACTTACGTTGCTGATCTTCAGAACAGCACCGGCTGGAGCTGGCCGTGGGCCTGTGCCGGCCTCAAATGGATCTTCAATGGGAAAAGATCGAGCAAAGTGAGTTGGGGCTGCAAGGGTATTGTTATTCAAGCCATGGGGACCATTAGAGTTTGGTAATCCATTTCCTTGGGGAGCGGTAGCAAGTGGTCCTAGCATTGGCATTTGTGTAAAAGAAGTAGGATAGTATGGGGCAGCAACAACATTGTTGTTGTTGTTGGTATTGTGGCCATTTCTAACTCTGGTATTGTGGCCATTATAGCCATGTCCAGGGTTGCTCATGAAAAGTTGTGAGCCGGTAGTAACAGGACAAGTAGGAGCATAAGAAACAAATGGTCTCTGCTGTTGAACAGGTTGCTGAACCTGCTGAAGAGGCTGCTGAACTGGTTGAACAGTTTGCTGGGCTGATTGACTCTGGCTTGGAGGCCTCACTGGAGATGAAGAAACAATGAGTGGGCCTTTGTACTCATTTTTCTTTGGTTTAATAGGAGTAGGGGCAGTATCGGCAGAAGGGGACGAAGGTGTAGAAGACATATTAGCAGGTACAGAAGGCTCTTGAACAACAGGAGCCGTGGAAGTAGGAACAACAGCCACAGGGCGAGAAACATAAGCAGTCCTAGATGTAGCAGGGGGACGACCAAGGGCATTCAGGGGTACAACGGGTCGAAAGGGCAGAACTGGAAAGATGGATCTTTGAATGTTACCTTGCTGAGGATACTGGACATTGCCAGGAACCATGCCAGGCGTTCCCATCATCGGGGGCATCCAGCGAGACATGTTGTTATTGTTGCTGTAAGGGGGTTGTCCCTGGCGGTGGCTTCCAGGATACATCTGGGGCAGGTAAGGTCGAGGATTTGGTAAAGGAGGTACTTGATAATAGGCAGCAGCTGCGTACTGAGGATGACAGGGTGATGCTGGTGAAGGAGGAGGAGCAACTGGAAGACTGCAAGCTGAAAAGGAGGAAGAAGAGAGACGAGAAGGAGGAAAGGATTGTGATTGTGTGGGGTGAGGTGTAGGACTGAAAAAATAGGCGAGAGAAGTGCGCGCCAAAGGCAAATTTTCAGCGGGAGTTGGCGACGATTTTTCACTTGCTGGAGCTTCTTCTGCTTCTGCTGCGGAATCAGCTGGAGTGTCATCGAGCTCGACATCGGCGTTAGCGTCACTTTGCTCTGGCTGGTCCTGTTCCTGAGGCGAGGCCACGCCGGCTTCTTCATCTTCAGGGGTAGTCGACGTGGTTCCCGTAGCCACTCCATCGCCCTCTACAGGCTGGGGCTCTTCTTTCTTGTCATCTGAATTGGCATTCATACTCTCTTGAGCTGCGTTGTCAGACGAATTTTCACGCTTCTTAAAGCGAGAAATCTTGACCCGACGGGATACCATTTTGATACCAGGCAGTTCCCTTCCCTGATGGCTTTGACTTGATATCGGCTCTCAATGCTGAAAGACCGTAAAGACGATAAAAGAAAGAATAACTCGAGCAGGGTGAACAAGCTTGGGGCGAATACTCGCAACAAATCTCAGGAGAAAATGAAGGAGAGAGAGGTAGTCTTGTCAATTGCTCTTCAGGGGCTTGAGATAACAGCTTTGAGCAACAACTTTTGATATCCTCTTTAATGAAAGGGAAGAGTCTTAAAGGACAGCTGGTGAAGACATGGGAAGAAAGAAGAAGGAGATATCAACAAACAAGAGTAGAAGAAGTTTTTATACTGTCTATTGTGGGATGCTTAGTCGTTGCTGAGTCGTGAGGACGCCAGGACAGTTATGTGCAATATAGGGCTAGGGCAGCATCTGTGAAGGACGTGAATGTTGTTATAACCGTATAAATATGCAAAGGGAGACCTAGATGCTAGAACAGGACGGCGATACGGTCATCTTCCTGGAAGTTCTGCATAGAAGAGTCCTAACGAGGCCATAGGGATCCATATAACAGCAAATGAGAGGGAGTAGATAAAGGACTTAATAAAACATAGACATATGGATGTACTGGTACTGCTTTTTATAGGGGAAACAGAATATATCTCAATACTCTCTGTCACAAAAGGGCTGAACTTGGGTTGTTCAAAGGGTTAAAAGGTCTTCTTTCCACCATCAGAAAGAAATGGTATGAGATTTGCCATATATGCTAGAAAGGGGTTTTGGGCTTGTTATTATAAAAAGGGATGAAGCAGTGATGGTTTATGAGAAAGGGGTATCACTGGGGCTTTCCATACATTTCAGAATTGCTAAGACTAAGAGCAGCTTAGCAAAGGTTTGCCCTCATTCCATGTATTTATGCTGTAGAAATATGTATAAAAAGGGTATTAATAGGCTGTTTTGTGGAAGATGTCAAAGGTTGTGGTCAAAATTTCCTAATTAGGAAACACGATCCGTGCCTTTGGGATATAATAACGAATCATAAAAAAGGGTATATTGACAATATCAGACACGAAAATAATTTACGTAGCACAAGAGACACTCCTTTTCTTAATTCAAAGAGTGTATTTGGATGCCGGATGGGAAGAGTTGTGTAGAACCGCAGCAGTTTGTATACCGTCTGAAAATTGGCTAGACCTTTTAGTTTAGGTTAAAGCATTTACAAACCTATTTACAACGCCTGATACCGAGTCATAAACAAGTTTCCACAAGAAAGATCCAAGGCCGATGGGCCGGGGGGATCGAATCTAATGTCATGGAACCGGGGTACGATGGGGAGCAAGGTCGCTAATCAAACTGTACCAATAAAGATTAGTGGATGATATCGGGGAAATGGTGATCTGCCGAAACGTACAGGAGTCAAAAAGGATTCCGCAACAAATCGTGCGCGAGCATTTAACTGAGTATAAGTCAGTATATTACTATTCCTAATACCTAAATAACGGAAGGATTCCACATAGGTTCCGGGTAAACAACTCACGAAAAGTCTCATCTCAGATATTTCCTTATCAACCTCCTCCATAAACTCGATAATAAAGTCAACCAGCTTGTGTTTTAGCATAGCCTCGGTGTGGAAGTTTGTGATCAGGAATGAGATATCATAACCCTATTTCAGTTAGCCCATACTCATCTATATATCGGTATATCGGACGAGTGCTGAACTACCTTGACAGGTTTCCGTCGTAGGATAAAAAACGCCTCTGCTCTCTGTGTTAGGAACCTGGTGAATTTGTGTACCAGGATATGTTCGATTTCGTCTGCCTGCTTGATGCGAATGCTAACACGAACACTATTCACGCTAGGCTCTATAAGGACTTTCTCTTTTTCGTTTCGCGCAACTGTAAGTGGGTTGAGGAGAAGTTCAGGTGAAGTGGCTGCCTCTATTTCTGGGACGTTATGTCGCTCGGAAGTTTGAGAGGCGAAGTTCGATACCGCAAGGGCGGCGGTTAGAGACGAACGAACGCATTGAAGATATGGCCGCAAAGATTGTGACTATACAGTGTTAGTCGCGTTTGAAGGGGACGTTGTAGACTGGTGGGCACACATACCATTCTTGATGTTGCCTATAACTAGGATCAATCCCCCGCCTTCGAGTCTATATTATATTGAGACGGGACACTCCCGGTAGATATCTCCAGTTTGATGGGGTAGGAATGTCACCAACTTCTGTCTGAAAAGAAAAATACCACACTTCTTGTTATATACGTTGTTTACTCGTCTCCCTTGTCGATGTGCATTTCCCATGCTTGGGGTTTCGCTGGTTGTAGTTTAACTCGTTGGTGGGAGTTTGCACTGTTTGCACTGATCCTCGCCCCACATAGAAATAATACATCGTCTGGCTCAACAACATTTTGGGAGGGACTGTTTACATCCGCGACAGGAGGAAAGCCGCTCGAGAAGCCATTATTCGCTTGAGGTGATTTCAGAAGTTCTCCAGCGTCCTGATCGGCGAAAAAAAGATGGGTTCTATTCCTGGTAAGATCCTGTGCTCTGCGATGTATTGCATGGTTGAAGTCAAAAGCAACCCTCTGGGACCTTGCTAACAGCCATCCTAGTTATTGTCAAACATCAGGGTAAACGGTACGAAGTAGAGCTTGACCCGAGCTCAAATGGTGAAACTTTCAAATTCCAGTTGTATTCTCTGACGGGGGTTGAGCCTGAGCGGCAGAAAATACTAGTCAAAGGAGGCCAGCTTAAAGACGACACCCTCCTCTCTTCGCTCAATGCCAAAGCGGGCCAGACGTTCATGATGATGGGCACTCCAGCTAACGGAGAATCTAATTTGGCATTGAGGAAACCGAAGGAAACAACAAAGTTTTTGGAAGACATGACTGAGGCTGAAGTTGCGAGAGCAGATGGTGCTATACCAGCTGGACTTCAAAACTTGGGAAATACCTGTTATCTAAACTCCACCTTGCAAACCCTGCGACTGATGCCAGAGCTTCAGGATGAACTTCAAAAGTACAAGTCTACCTCGCAAGGTAGCTCTAGCTTATTCGGCTCAGGTTCACTTGACCTCACTGCTTCACTCCGCGATTTATACAAACAAATGTCCGAAACCCAGCAAGGGTTTCCTCCAATGATGTTTTTGAATGCTCTGCGCACCGCTTTTCCACAATTTGCGCAGAAAAGCAGGGAGGGACACGGCTACGCACAACAAGACGCAGAGGAAGCTTGGTCACAGATCATCTCCCAGCTTCGACAAAAACTCATGATAAAGGATACGACTGACGGAAATGAAAAGGACATATCTTTTGTTGACAAGTATATGTCTGGGACGTTTGACTCTGTTTTGGAGTGTGACGAACAGGCTGCCAAAGATAGTGGAGAAATTGCAGTGGAAAGCTCGGACGTATTCTTCAAGCTCAACTGCCATATCGATCAGGAAATAAACCATCTCCATGATGGGATCATGGCTAGTCTGGAAGAGAAGATTGAAAAACATTCGTCTACCCTCAACCGAGACGCCATATACACCAAAAAATCTCGAATCTCACGCCTTCCTAAATATCTCACTGTTCACTTTGTTCGTTTCTTCTGGAAGCGGGGATCACAGAAAAAGGCTAAGATTATGCGAAAGGTCACATTTCCTCAAGAAATCGATGTAGTTGACTTTTGTACGGATGAATTGAAGAAGCAACTCATTCCAGTTAGAGACAAGGTTCGCGAGATCCGAAAGGACGAGCAGGATATGGAACGGGCTCGAAAACGCCAAAAGATTGCTCACAAACGTGAGGAAGAAGGGAAAAAAGATGGCCAGGTGTCAGAACCCCTACAAAAGAAGAAAATGGCTGAATCTGTTGCCGAAGAGAGCAAGGACAAGCCGGAAGATACAGGTGCTGCGCCTGAAGTGTTCAAATCGGATGCAGAATACGAGGCCGAAAAGGCTGCTGCTCTTTTGCAAGCTAAGAAAGAACTCTTCTCTCTTATCAATGAAAACCTTGCGAAGGATGTGAGTACAAACAAGTGCGGACTCTACGAACTACGCGGTGTTATCACCCATCAAGGGGCAAGTGCGGACAGCGGTCACTACACTGCCTATGTAAAGAAACAGGGCAAAGTAGTGGATGGTAAGAGGCGCGAGGAAGATGGAAGTTGGTGGTGGTTTAATGACGAAAAGGTCTCCGAGGTTCCTGCAGAGAAGATTGAAACCCTCTCAGGAGGTGGTACGTTTGCAGCCCCCTATTTAGTGTAATAAGTACCTGACTAATATATCTGAGTATAGGCGAATCACATTCTGCTCTGATCCTTCTTTACAAAGCCATCGACTTGCCTACCGCCGAAGTACTTAACGAGTAAATCACGGTCAAGTTGAGGAACACTGGGTATATTTTGCCCTGAAACCTTTTCTTTTTCTCTTTATTACTGATTGGCTCAGGAGATCCTTTTTCTTTTTCCGCCTAGATTGCTCCTGAAAAAGCTAGCATAAGATTGTTTAGTTTACTAAAAATCCAACAGATAACCCCTAACATAGACCATTCTATAATCTCATTTAAAACTTCCCCGAACAGTGCATTGGTCTGTGACGCACGTACGTAACTTCATTCTCAACTCTAAGTCTTTAAGTGGCAGCCACCTTGTTATGATATAGCGCGGCTAACTAATACTAAGCGCGCTAAGGTCAAAGCTTAGCCGAATCTCATCTACTATGTAAGTAGCGCGGTGCAAATCACGTATCTCCAACCCAGCAAACTTCTGGATGCCCGCAGCAGCCATGTTACAAAGCATCAGGGGCAGGATCCCCTCTCGCCTTTTTTCTACAGTGTGTCATAGACCAAGCTACCATGGCATCAAATTCACAAGCCGGCTACCGTCGCTTCATCTTACCATCCCTACACACTCCGATCCTATTGCGCCCTCAAGGCAATTCGCCTTCAATAACCATGCCCGCCTCCTAACAACAATTACTATTCCTCCTCCCAATGCGAATAAATGGCCTCGCCGAATCCGCCTTTTCCTTTATGTTCTCCTATTTAGCTATCTGGGTAGCATAAATGCATCATTGGTGATGAGGATTTTTAGCGGCCCTATAGTAGAGCCAGACAGCCCCGAAGATGCGGAAATAACTACAGCACTCAACGCCCATTTCGACAAGCTTGAAATAGTCAAGGAGCTACGTGCTAATCCGGCTTACGCTGAGTGGGAGCCATATGGGAATTTGACTGAAGAAGAAAGGCGGCGGAGGCTTACTAGTGGGTGTCTACGCGGGTCTAGAGGCTTGTCATGTCAGGTACGTTCGTTACCTATAGAGCATTGCATACCAGAAAATCATGTTCTAATTACTTTTTAAATCACGATAGCATGTATTCTACAACTCACAAGAAAATGTCCTCAAATCGGTTCTGTTCCTCGGCAACGCACTTGATGGATGGCCTGCTGTCGTCCACGGTGGTGCAATTGCTACGCTTCTTGACGAGAACATGGGTCGTTTAGCAATTGAAAACCTTCCAGAACGCACCGGTGTTACGGCAAATCTTAATATCACATATAAAGCACCCCTTTCTCCCGGCCAATATATATCAGTTGAGGCAAAATTTAATCCGGCGTTGAGTTCTGGAAGGAAAGTGGTTGTTGAAGCGGTCATTAGGGACCAGACAGGGAGAGTCTGCTCAGAGGCCACCGCATTATTCGTATACCCCAAGAAACTGAAGCTGAGGACAATTGGCGAGAAATTTTAAAGCGCACTAGCTTACTACATACGAATAGCTCCGAACTCCGTATCTAAACTCATTAGCCACAAGATAGAAAAGCCACCTACCTACCCCCCTTCTTCCTTGGATTGGGAAAGGCTGTCACCTTTCTTCTCAGCCTTCTTGAAATGTGGATGATGCTTTTTAAGTGTCTCAACGAGACGTAGCTTGGCCAACCTTCCTCTCCCTAACACAACTAGCCGATGCCACTCTTCCCAGTTAATCTCTACCTTCCCTCCTCGCGACTTATCCGAAAGCTCGATGAACTCAGAAACGTCGAATTCCAGCTTAGGCAGAGGTCCGACCTTCTCGTATGAGTCATAGAAAAGCTGGTGTAAAATATCGTGTTAGTATAGATGGAGATTTGCGGGTAGGGTTAGAAGTATTGTATACTCACAATCCTTTCACCACTTCTTGCTACTTTTTTGCCATCCGGGTCCCTCTTCCAAACTTCTAAGTAGCCTGTCACCCTTCCCACAAAATTAACCCCATGAAGCTGAAGGAACTGGCCACTTTCCCCCGATATCTTATATGCAGACTCGCAATATTTCCCGGGCTCCGAAAGCACGTATTCTGGCAGTTGAGCGAATGCTGGTTTCGTATAGAATCGAGGTTTTTCATCGAATTTGATTAGGAAGGCAGTTTTGACTTGCGGGTAGGCCTTGAACCACCCTTCGATACTCTCTTCCAGTTGCGGCCCAGCCTCACGAAAGCCAACTTCACAGATAAAGACTGGTTGATCTGACAACGTCTCATAATCCTTGGAGAAAGTCGAATGATTGATTAAGATATCTGGGACTTTCATTACAGTTTTAGAAGCAGATGGGACCCTTGAATTAGTTCTTAGGTCGAACAATTCACTAGTATCGTCCTTGACAGCGTTTTTGAGAGCTCCTAGCACCGAATTACCAATGCTAACATTCAAAGCTTCGTGGATTGGGCCTGGTAGAGCTCTGAGGATGGACGCTGTTGTGAAGTTCGCGCTGAGCACTAAGTGCCCAGATGGTTTCTCATCTCTAAATAAAAAAGACTACAAGTTAATCAAGTAGTAGGACATATAATGCCAGAATCTCCCTGTCAAAATTCCTTGAGTGTATTCAGTGGAATTCACGTACCGCTTCAGCGAGGCCCAAAAGCCATCAACAATCCGATGATACTCTCGCGATGATAAACCATTTAAAACAATAACATCGCCCTCATAGTTAGATGGAAATCTCCCGGAAAATATTTCTTTCATCTGGGAGGCGCTTAGAGCACTCGCTTGAGAGACATCGCCATCGTCGCCGGCCGCTTTCGTCGTTACATTGTACCGATGAGCCGCATAGGGTAGGGCTCGAGATCCACAAGTGGATGAGGACGGGGATAAGAACTTACGATGAACGCGAGGCAGGCTTGCAGAGAAACGAACAGTGTGGGTAAGGCCCGGAGGTTTGACAGAAAGATAAGATCCCATTTTGCAGCCACAGCGGGAGCTTGTTGTAGTGGCTTGCGTGCAGGGATCCTGGTGCAAGCCTCGGAATAAGGACTTATTATCTGTGAGAACAGAATTTGCTGTGGCGATACATGACTACTATGTTCTGACTAGGAATTAAAACTAAGAGGCGTAAAGAATGTATACAATAATATTGGTGTAGTTCGCAATATCAGTACAACCAATAGACGATATATGCAGAAAAAAGATGCCTTTCGTAAATAAAAGTCATCACATTTCACATTGTCTCCATTCTCTCAAGTGAATTCTTGCCAATCCAGCCTGCAACCCTACTAATTGAACCAGAATGAGCCGCTGGCTTTCGAGAGCTGGCTGTTGGGCGCTGTTCGTCGAGGCTTGATCGGCCGCGAGCATCTGCGGGTGTACCGTTTTGATGCTCGTCTGACTTCCCACCTTCACGTCTTGGTGTGGTCTGATGTAAATTATTCCTTAATTTTTTGGTATTTGTACGGTTATCGGTAGTCCCTAAGTTTACAGTCTTGCTTCTTGTCATAAGAGCGGGACCAGGAGTGACTTCCGACGATGGTGATGCTGGAACAGCGGGAGTGGTAGGAGAAGTAAGCGTAGGAGGCATAGGCATGTTGATCACCATATGTTTTGAGCAGTTGCACCCGCAGCCAGTTGGACATAATACAGCATCGATACCCTCCACGATGCCACTGTCAGTCACGGTGACGGGCGCAAACCACTGAGAATGGCATTTGAAGCAGCATATATGGCCACAGGCTAGACATGGAGAAAACATGCCTTGGATTATTTCCGTACAGATAGCACAAGACATTTTGGGCGAAATCGGTAACGCTAGATTGCAGTTGAGGCACTGGACATTAACGAGGGCGTTCCGTCTGCTATTCTTCCCGGGTGCTTTACCCAGCGCATTTAGTTTTGAAAAGGCTGAAATATGCAGCGCAGAGCCGCATGTCGCACAGTGATGCTGGAGATTGAGTCCTTCGGCCGTGGACTCTGTTGAAGGTTGTTGATTAATGGCCAGGCTATGGCGCCGATTGCCGTACCTTGTTCGTGGGTATTTGTTACTGTGTTTGTGTAAAACAGAATGTTCCGTCTCATTATCGACAATGGATGCCGTCTTCAACACTTCTCTTCCTTGTATCGGCATGTTCCATATAAACAGTAAATGTGCATAATTCTCTCGATATGCCTGGTAAAGGGGCTGTAGTCGAGGGTCAAGCAATGGAACCTCGGCCCTGCAATCATTGTCAAATGCGGCCTGGTGTCTTTTGACGACCTTTATACCTCTACTAAGTTTGTTGACTCTGGGTGAGGCTGGCTTGTCGCTTTCTTCTGAATCAGAGAATGTTTGTGGAGTACCGATCGCAGAGGGTGTAAGATAGCTGGGTAATGCAGAAGCTGCCTTACTACGAAAACCTCCAACTGAGCTCCAGATGCTAGGGCCATGAGCAGAAAGGCTACCAATAGGGCTAGGTTGTTTCTTAACAGAACCTGTTGGGGGTGAAGAGGATGCGGATGGCCCAAAGGTTAGGGATCGTGAGAGAGAGGAGGCCAAGGTATTGCCAAAGTTCGGATTAATGCGCATATTTGAAGGCGGGTCAGGCGATCCAGACAGAGATGTATTATAACGAGATTTACGGTCCATACTGGATCTTGCACCACGTATTCCTGTGGGAGGCGTGGTTCCTGTAGAATATAGGGGAGGCGTATTTCCATGCCACTGGTCAACAGATGAACAGCCCGAACTATGGGATGCCGATATTACAGGCAAGTCTTTGCTCGCGAGTGGTGTTGTATTATGTTTCCCTTGGGATTGTTGGTCAGAGAAGCTTTTATCGTCTAAGTCAGAAGCTCGAGTTTTAGTTTGATCGTCCGGATAGAGTCGCTTCATATCTGTCTCATATAGAACGCATGAGAGCATCCCAAGCATTTGAACATCTCCAATTTGTTCGAAATGTTCAAATCTACAAACGGTTAGTGTGACTCTACAAAAGATAAAAAGTTAGGAATTAGAAGCCGCGGGATGTCTCACAAAGCAGGAATAAACCATCGGGCTCCTAGAGGATGATCACCCCATGTTTTGAGACCGTCGCTACTCAAACCAATGCCACTGTCCTTTCGCCTCAGGCTGCCCGTTGGATTGTTAAGTATATGCCGTAAACGCTCTTTTACGCCCTTGGTATCTGCCGTCTCCTTGCTATCCAAGAGTAAATTCAGAAGACCCCAAATGTAGGAGAGCTCTGAGAGCCCTGCATTTGCTGCAACAACCATGTTATGCGAGCAAATTTCTGCTCGGTTACCAAATAGCTTGTATTGCTGAGCAAGGTCTCGTTTTGCAGGTAATATGTCATTAAAGTGATATATATGGACATAATTCTGACAAGAATCTGTTGAGGACCTCGCAGTGCTTGGTCCGGCAACTGACCTCTGTGAGGTCCCTGTAATAGACCTTGCAAGATGGAACCCGATGTTGCTATGTCTCCAGGCGTGGTTTCCTTGGAACTGTTGAGGCAGTGAGCCTAATAAGTCGGAGGAGCCAGATGAGCTTGACGAATCATATGAAGAGTCATCGGAAAATTCCGAGCCACCGTCCTCAGTGATGTGTCCGCCGCTAATGGCTGATTCAGTCGTGCCTTTTGGAACTGGAGAGCCAGTTTGGAGACGGCCAAATCCTTCAAATACCTTGTCACTACGTGAAGTTCCCGCAATTGCTCGCAAGCTTATGGAGTCTAGGAAGGACGGAGGCTTGTCCTCCTTTTTCGGGAAGAAGCAGACTAGCTGGCCATCGTTAGCCCAAAGAGCCCCGCATGCCCGGGCGACTGGGACCATGACATTAGCATTGATAGGGCGGAGGAGCTCAGACGAGCTTAGAGCAAGGTCAGAGTCCTGGAATTGGCCGACATCCTCGTCTTCGTCGCTTGATTCATTATCAGCAAGAATATCAGCTGTCTTAAGGTGTTCACTTGATTGTTTTTTGGCGAGAGCGACACTCTCTTCCACCGTGTGTTCTCCGAGTAAATAGCGGATCACTCCTTCAAGACAGCCTCGTTGCCTAGAAAGATACGTCTCCGCGATTGTTTGCATTCCAGCTGTAACAGTTTTGGCTAGCTGGCTTGTTACAGCTGTGGTCCGTTGGATATTGAAAACGGGAGCCTCCATTCGGGGATACTCTGCGGGGAATCTTATATCGATCTTAAGGAAAACATTCGAGTTTTCGGGTCCCCAAGGCCCATGCATAGAAATAGTTGCTTTACGCTGTCCAACATTGACGGATTCAAAGGCTACCCGCGTGAACTTCTCACCGACGTGGATAATTTCATCACCAAGTGTTTCCACTTCCCATCCAGAAATTTTCACTCCTCGCATCCAGGAGATAGGGTTCATATCGGCTCTGAGTGCTGGGCGCCCGCGCACGCTACCCGATTGTCCAATAGGTCGAACCTGGCCCCATCCACGCGAGTATGGCATGCTCACCCCGCTCATACCCTTGAGGATATTGATAGCTGCGAGATACTCTGACCGCTCACCATATTCATCACCGATTTCACCATGTTCGTAGGAGTGTTCATCATGAAAAGTTTTGTAGGGTGCACCCTTTCGAGTAAGATTAAGCAGGGGATTGAATGATTTCCCTTTTTCGTATCCTACCCCTTTCAGAATTTCTGGGTCTACGCGATGAAGACGCAATTCCTTATCCGTCCCCCACGAAACAAGTTGAAACTCTCGATGGTCTAAACCATCTATAATGCTCCCACGCTGCCTCCAAAGGAATTCCTTGACCTGGCCTTTGTGCCCTGGGAAACTATGTACCAGCGGTAAATCGCCATCTTCATCATCGTTCTTATCTCCAGAAATGCGGCTATACAAATGGAGGTCGCTGTTTCCACGTTGGGGCATGGCTAGAACTCCCCACCCAAAAGGGGTATGTCGTGTCCGCCACACTGGAAATGGCGTATGAATAATCTTCTCCGGATTATCATCTTCTCTTGAATAATCCCAAAACTTGATCGTCTTGTCTAATGCACAAGTGACTATTGCTTCAGGGCGAGCTCTATTCCAATCAATGCCATATATTTTAGTGCCATGTGCCTCAAAGGTGCGCAGAGGATATGCGCCCTTTCTATCATCCCAGATATGAAGCGATTTATCATGAGAACTGGCAATAACATGGGAGTCTTGCCTGTTCCATTTGACTTGGGTTGCTCCGGTGAACCAGTCCGAGAAAGAAACAACGGGCCTTGCTGGCGTTCTTAGATCCCAACAATGCACAAAGCTATCGACAGCACAAGTTGCCAGCAAGTCAGGATGGTGGGCTGAGAAATTTATATCAGTGATTGCCCTTGAGTGTGCGTGTAGGACATGCTCGATAGAGTTCTGTGATGTTCGCATTGCTAGATTCCAGACCAATGCCTTCTGGTTTGACGTGCTAGCTACCCACGAATCCCGAGCAGAAAAAGGAGACCACTGGACATCTGCAACTTCCCATGCTGTCCGATGTGGGAGGTATCGGGGTGGGGAGTATGGATTATCTAGGTCTATAACGTGTAGGCCTTCCTTTCTAGTATATCGTTAGTGACATCTGTTCACTTAGAAAATTCAAAGACTTGCTTACGATGCAAGAACAACATCTCTCCCGCAAGGCGATATTGACATTGAACCAACCGCTTGGTCAATATGGAAGGAGCTGTCTTCCCCAAATGTAGGGCTATCGTACGCCGACGCAAGCGGCCTTGACCCCATATGGTCCGTCATTTTTAGACGTAGTTTGTGGGTGAGCCCTGGGACTAGATAAAATATTCACGAGAATACTGGCTCTAAGATTCCAGATAGTAGCTGACTATACACCCAATGGAGCAAACCAGAGGTTCGCAATAGCTTGCAAGGCCGCAGTTTGCGCGTTCGAAGATATCGTTCGCATTCTGGGGATTAGGCGGGATATCTACCCGTCAGTATCTCTAGGAATTGCACTAGTGAGCTTGGGGATACTGCAAATATAGAAATAAAGTGAGGTCATGGAGCACTATCTGCTCTATAGAGTCGCAGGCGCAAACGTATATCTTGCAGATTGAAGCACATTTCTGCAGTTGAGTTTAAGTAAGCAAACATGCTTCCCGCGTTGGATTTAGCTCATGGCACGTGCTTCTGTTGCACCCAAAAACTTGGCGCCGGCGGGGAGCGACTTCTGCCAAAAGTGGGATATTTATATTTATGAGTGACTTGGAGCACTTCGGCACTCTTTTGTTTGTAGAACCAAGACAAAGGGATAAAAGGAAGAATATATCCACTATTTTAATCCCGAAGAATCCGCATTCAATACCCCGGACTCAGCATCTTGACTAACAAGTTAAAAACGCGGCTGATCCAGGCTTGACAGGGACAGACCGCCAAAAACACCACCCACGGAAATAGTCTATCTACTCATTTTAGAGGGGGAGTCGTAGGCACATCGTTGCCTAACTTAACCTTGGTCGCGTTACAATCGATCGATACCATTTCTTTGGATTCTCCAGCTCTATCATAGGGGGCAGATTATGGCGGGGCTACCAAAGCGGATAGTGAAGGAGACGGAGCGTCTGATGGCAGAGCCGTAAGTATAACAAGAAGAAATTAAAAGAATCGCTGGATGCCGTCTTTGCTTCTCTGCTGACATTTATATTGTCCCATGTAGTGTTCCAGGCATCAATGCAGTTCCTCATGAAGATAACCTACGGTATTTCGACGTTCGAATCCATGGCCCAACACAGTCACCCTATGAAGGTTAGAATAGCATTTGTGGATGTAGCTATTAGCACTCTTTTCGAAAATGGGCTAATGGTAGAAACATAGGAGGAGTTTTTAAGCTTGAATTATTTTTGCCAGAAGATTATCCCATGACGCCTCCGAAAATTCGTTTCCTCACAAAGATTTACCATCCAAATATCGACAGGCTGGGGAGAATTTGTCTCGATGTGTTAAAGAGTGAGATGAAGTCCACATTAATGCAGTCCCTGTCATTAGCAGCAGCAACTAAACTGATATAACATTTACTAGATAATTGGTCACCAGCGTTACAAATTCGGACAATCCTTCTATCCATCCAAGCATTGCTTGGTGCACCCAACCCCGATGACCCCCTTGCCAACGATGTTGCGCAGCGATGGAAAGAAGATGAGCCTGCAGCTATCCAAACAGCCAGAGAGTGGACAAGGACGCATGCAATGGTTTGAGATGGGTCCTTTTCAAAGACATTAGATTATTCCGCATCAGCTAGCAAATTATTTGAGTTTATAATTATTCTCTCGACCAAGCCCTTCTACGCTCCGTGAGGAAAGCTTTACGGAGTACACAGTAAGCAATCGACTGTTCAATACCCTCTGCACATGGCATTTTCTTTCCAACAAGACCCGCACTTCATTAAGCTGCGATAGCCTATCGTGTTAAAAGAGGGCTAATAGGATATCCTTTAAACAAAGTAATTCTTAGAATGGTAGCAGTGATCATTGTAGCAGATTATTGTCATGCAGCTCGATGTTCAAGCTTGTTCTTGATGTTCTTGATTCTTCGAGATCGCGCTTGGCTTAGTTTGAGGGCTAGTAAGTCACGTGACGCACATTAGCGAGTCACCTCACACCAAACCATCACCAAGTTCAATCTGAGTCGCAAACGAGTTAATTCACATCGACGTCAACAATTCAACCTCGTAAACGCCGGCTGCGCATCACCACAACTCAAGATGCGTACCTACGACGACTCCTTCAGCGGTCAGAAGATCTACCCCGGAAAGGTACGTTTCAACCTGGCTCATCGACCATTGAACTCCACCAAACGACTCCGAGAACAGCTTTGAGGTTCAAGGTTGATGAACTACTGCTAACTTAACTTTTCTTTGATTTACAGGGTAAGCTGTACGTCCGAGGCGACAGCAAGATCTTCCGATTCCAAAATGGCAAAAGCGAATCTCTCTTCCTTCAGCGCAAGAACCCACGTCGGATAGCCTGGACCATCCTTTACCGAAGACAACACAAGAAGGGTCTTTCTGAAGTGAGTGATCACTCCTATATTCGAGTTCATGGGGACGCTGTCCCAGGTGTTTATTCTGCGAAAAATTTGACTGGCGGAAAATATTGGCCGAAACGAGATGATTAGAGCGAAGAATGGATTTGGAGTGGGATACTATACTGCATATCGAGACTGACGACGCGATATTTTCGATATATTATAGGAAGTTGCCAAGAAGCGTACCCGTCGTGTCGTAAAGCACCAGCGTGCCATTGTCGGTGCCTCTCTCGATGTCATCAAGGAGCGCCGAACCATGCGTCCTGAGGCCCGTATGGCCGCCCGCCAGGCAGCCGTAAAGGAGGCTAAGGAAAAGAAATCTGCCGCTGAGAGCAAGAAGAGAGCTGAGAAGGCCAAAGCTGCCCAGAACGCCGCCCGAGGACAAGGTGGCCGAATTCAAAGCAAACAGGGTTCAAAGGGATCCGCTCCCAAGGTCGCTGCTAAGTCTCGTTAAATCTTGCTAGATGGGAGGTGGACGACGGATTTACGGACTGTGTGGTATTACGATGGGTGTTTGGGCCTGGCATGCTTTTTAAAGGGGTTAAAAAAACCATCCTTCATAATGAGAGCGTTCCTTCGTGAGGCCTGTTACCATCGATTGATGGGTAGGCCTGGTAAAATGAACTATTCTCTTTTACCTATTCCAGCAGCGGTTTCAGCCATACCATGCTTCTTCCTTGACAGAACTCACGACTATCTCAAGTTATATCTCGCCGTTCAAACCCCTGGCGAGTTTGATGATAGCTAAAAATGAGATCCTTTTTACCATGTACTTCTGTTAACTACGTGGTTTGGACGATGATATACGTAATTCTGTAGCTGTATCATCATATCTTCATCTGAATGAGCTCTCGGGATACACTCTATAATTCTCCCCATGATGATAAACTCATACAAACCGTCTTATCAAGAAAGGGCACTCCCAATAACGTCCCGAAACGGGTAAGGTTAGGGCTCAAACCCTACGAGGGAAAATACTGTGTCTTGGCGTTCGCTTCCTCCAAAGAACTTCGACTCCAACCAAAACGACAAACCCAGCGAGAGACCATCGGCATCGAAAGAACAAAGTCGTCAACGCATCCAAAGCACACGGTTAGTTAACTACATTACCCTCTCGAAAAATACATCTCGGACGGTTTCCCTCGTTGCGCCCTTTCTTTTATGAACTTGGGCACGCCGTTACCGTCTAAGACTCGCTTAGCTTCAACCCTTTGAAAACGACCAGACATCAACTAACCTAGAAATTTTTGTCGCCTAAACAGTTGCATCTCTACGATTTACGAACCGATCACACATCATGGGTAAAGTTCACGGTTCGCTCGCTCGTGCGGGTAAAGTCAAGTCTCAGACTCCAAAGGTCAGTTTTACCAGCCCAACATGACAACTTCGGCGTGCCACACGAAGTTCGAGCGAACCCCAGGAGAACATCTGCTTTCTGTTGTAATATGGAGGAAGGCACCCGGGAACGAACGATGCGTTGGCTTGGGGCTGTCATGTCCGGAGTAATGCTATCATGAAGATCTAGTAGACTGACTCATCATTCGGAGGAATAGGTTGAGCCACAAGAGAAGAAGAAGACACCAAAGGGCCGTGCTAAGAAGCGTCTCCAATACACTCGACGATTCGTCAACGTCACGATGACCGGTGGAAAGCGAAAGGTATGTCTCCTTGGTTTAAAGCACGGAATAGAGACAGCATATGACACTCAAACGGGCAACAGAAGGCTAACTTACCCATTACAGATGAACCCCAACCCAGGCGCCGCATAAGCAATATAATGTGTCGATATTTTTTTTTTTTTTTTGCGCTTCACGCCTCGTATCATCAGCTTTGCTTTCTGTGAAATCCCAAAAACGTTCGAATATGGTGGAAGAACCCATGATTCCTCTTCTACCTGGGCGGATATGAAACAGACACTCGGAGAATGAGGATGGAAAATGCTATGGATATCAAACCCGGAAATGGAGCGGAGTGGTTGAACATGGTATTGTCTATTGCGAGCTTGGTATGGATATTGAGGGAACGAAATAGAAATCAAAGCTGCAAAGAGGTGCATAATGAATGGGTTGTTGATATGGGAATGAATTTAAGAGATCTTTAATTACATCTTCCCATAAATATCACGATTGTTCATTTTGATTTCAACGTGCTGTCCCATCCGTGCGTCTTAAGAGATTTATGTACTCTTGAGACTGTAGAAATTGTCTTTTACAGTAACTGTCCCAACACTTGAAATCTACTGGCGGATGCAAAACGTACGCTTTTATTGACTCTTTTCATGGGGTTTTGTAATATAGGTGATGATGCAAAGAGCTTTCTTTGCAACTATTCTACCATGGGAGAAAGAAATGTAAGGCTCATGGCCCATTTAAAGTCAGGTCTTCCACCTATATATACAGAGGTCTGCAATAGCAGCCACCGTCTGTAGTTGAGTCTAAGTCGCGTAACGCCATAGATCCGCCGCTTCAGCCCATGTCTATCATCGTCATAATCATTAATGGGCCGTTCATCCTACCTACAAATATATAAACTTCGGAATAACGATCTCCAAACAAGTAACAAAACCCAGCTGTACCTGCACAAGACATGGCTATAGCTTGCAGCATCACCTGTTTTAACACCTCAATCCAATAGCGGATACAGAACATGTGACAGGTATTTCAAAAAGGTGCCTCAAGCTCAGCCCTCCGTACACTGTTGTTATAAACAGGACTGGAACGCAAATAAACCCAAACCCTGGACCATCTATGATCTATGTGGAATGTTTAAAGAAACTTGCTCATCCAGGAGTCCAATAGCGCAAAGGGGGAATCAGTAGTAATGGGCCATTTCCAAGCCAGCACGCTTAAAGCCACATTTTAAATAGAAGCCCTCGTTGGCTTCGGAACAGTCAAGGATGGACTGGAGGTAGAAACAAGAAATTAGCAACTGTCTTTCCAATAAGTAATATCAGGGGTAATGTACCTTGTAGCAGCCGGCTTCTTTCGCAACATAGTCCAAAGCATGAATCATACGCAAGCCCAGCTTCTTTCCCTGCTGGCCGCTTTCAATGGCAATATCTTCGATGTGTCCCACCATTCCAGCGGAATGGATAAACTTCCTTTCAACGATCAAACTGCCGGTACCAACGACTCGACCCGTTCCGTCACAGATGACGAGTACATAATATTCATCATTACGCTTGGCCATCCAGTCATATCGCTCATTCCAGAGCTCGGTGGTAAACTCTCCCACCTTCGTGAGGACGCTGAGGACATCAAGAAAGCCGTTCTTGTAGTCTGAGCGGCGAAGAGGGCGGAGCGTATAGTTCTCAGGGAGCAGGGAGACAACCTCAGGAGAGATATAGGAGGATGAAAAGAGGCCCTCTTCAGTTTCCTTCTCACTGGGTTTGGCTACTTCAGTCACCGCTGGTTTCACCTCTGGTTTAACCTCCTTGGTATGAATCGCAAGCATCTTGGTGTCGATGCAGTTATTTGTAATGGCCACAGGAATGTTGGCGGATGGGATGTCGGCTGCCATTGGATAAGCTGATGGTATGCAAATTGAAGAGACGGGTTAGTGGAATATGTCTGGGGTTGATGGAGCAGGATTCAGGGGTGAGAAGAGGCGGGGTGCGGCTTGCAATGCAAAGCTGCAAGTGTGATAGTTTAAGGGAAAAACTGCGTGACAATGGCAAAGGAAGAAGAGAATTAAGCCAACGAAACAAAGACTCTCTTGTTATCCAAGGAATTGTAGGCAGGAAGGAAGAAAGGGAGTTCGATCAAGGGGAGAAAAAAAAGGAGGCGGTAACTTCTTGTCTCAAATCAAGCTCTCAAGGCGCTGAATCATCAACTCTTTAATGACGTCAGGTGATACCGCCTATTAAAATAAGCGCCGTCAATTTCTCTAACTCGATATCAAAGACCAAACATATCTCTTGCTAATACACATCATAATCTTCTAGTTCTCCTCGATGAGGACTCTATAGACATAAAAATCGATGTCAACATTATCGGCAAGATACGCCCCAAACTTTGGATCCGCCCGACCAGGAAACGTCGTTGCGGCGAACTGAGTATCCCCCTGAGGACCAAGTTTTTGGACTTCTCCATTCCAGGAAAACTTGACCCAACCCGGCGTGTTTGTGTTGATCAAGAAGTCTGCACGGTACCTGGTGTTGACCTTAGGCGTGGTTTGCCATAGGACCTGCCGTGGCGCATCCCATTTAGGCTGATACTGAAGCTGGAGATTGTTGCGAGAGAATTTCAAGGCCAGAGGGACGTTAGCCCCACCATCTTCGGCGTTATCCGTGAGATATTCCTTACTTTACTTTGAATTAACTTAAGCTCGCCTTATGGAACGAACGGCTGTATAAACTTACAATTGCCAAATGCTGAGGCTCTGCTGAACTTCCCCCAGGGAAAATTCATAGCGAATGGCATAGGTCTTATTTTTCTTCGTTTCTTTGTTGAGCGAGTGATACTCAGCGCGGAGCATTCCCATCTTTTTGTGGAAATGGGCCGCGGGAACGCCATTTGGGTCGTTTCCTTTCTTAATGAACAAGTCTGGAATATTATCCTGGATCATTGTTCCTCGTGTGGTTTCGAGGTTCCGCAGGCCTAGGGTGGATGGATCATCTCCTCGCTGAGACTGAAAGTCTATGAGGATTGCACCGAGTGCCGAACCAATGGTCATGACAATTGGAAGTAAACGCATGATGGGCTGCTATGAAGATAATGCTTGATAGGGTATAGAGAGGAATAAAGGGCTTCTTTGAATATAGAGCAGACCATATCGCGGACTATAGACAGTTTTTATAGCTGATATTAGACACCACGGCCGAGCGGGTGGATGCTGATCTCATAGATGCTACACTACTTGAATACGAGCTGCAGTCGACTATAGTTTCGATGAAGCGAAAGTATGCCCCCAAAACTCCATAAATGCAGCCTTGTTAGGATATTACTGGGGGCAAAGGTCGTACGTGAATCCTGTAGTGAAACAAGAGGCCCAGACCCAGAGAAAGTGGTAAAGGGGCTAAAATCTGCCTCATTATAGACATGAATATATATCTATTAAACTCAAGATGCTTGGTTATTGCTTAGCAAGAAGAATGAAGTTTAACATCATTGTCATTTTAAGCACCTCTTAAGACGCATGCTCCAACGTAGGACTAATCTAAGATTTGGTATTTACATAGCTTTTTAAAACAAGGGCCCCCAAGTTTAAGGTATCATTCGAGGCTTAAGCTAAGGAATGGACTTTTACTTGCGATCCTTGGGGCTAATCATCAGTTCCGGTCGAACGTGCTTGTCAAAGTCTTCCTCGCTGAGAGCCTTGAGTTCCATGGCACTCTGCTTCAGGGTAAGACCCTTCTTATGGGCATTCTTGGCAACCTTGGACGCCATATCGTAACCAATAACGGGGTTTAGGCAGGTGACAAGCATGAGACTAGATGGATTCAATGTTCACATAAGTATCAGGAGCAACACAACAGTGAGGGGAAGAGAGAGAAAAAAGAAGAAACCTTACCTCTCGTGCAAAAGAGCGTCAATTCTCTTGCGGTCGGCCTCGAGGCCAACCACGAGGTTCTTCTCGAACGACTTCATTCCGTCACTCAAGATGCGAACGCTATGAAGCAGGTTGCGGATCATGACTGGCTTGAACACATTGAGCTCAAAGTTACCGTTCATTCCGGAAACGGTGGTGGCGACATGGTTGCCCATAACCTGGGCGCAGATCATGGTGAGAGACTCGCACTGGGTAGGATTAACCTTTCCAGGCATGATGGAGGAACCGGGTTCGTTCTCGGGGAGCTGGAGCTCACCAAGACCGCAGCGAGGACCAGAACCGAGGAAGCGAATATCCTGGGCAATCTTGAAGAGAGAGGCGGCGAGGGTGTTGAGTGCGCCTGAAGCTTCAACAACAGCGTCGTGAGCAGCAAGGACCTCGAACTTATTTGGCGAGGTCTTGAACTGCTTGCCGGTCATCTTGCTGACCTCCTCGGCAATGGCTTCATCGAAGCCCTTGAAGGTGTTGAGACCGGTACCGACGGCGGTACCTCCCTGAGCAAGCAATCGGAGATCAGGCAGGGAATTCTCAACGCGAGTAATGTTGCGCTGGAGCTGAGATACATAGCCGGAGAACTCCTGGCCGAGAGTGAGGGGAGTGGCATCCTGCAAGTGGGTTCTGCCAATCTTGATGATGTCGTTGAATTGGTCTACTTTCTTCTGCAGGGCGTCCCTGAGGCTGGTCAAGGCTGGTAGGAGGGAGTCCTCGAGCTCCAGAACGGCAGCAATGTGCATGACGGTAGGGAAGGTGTCGTTGGATGAGGCGGACATGTTGACGTGGTCATTTGGGTGGACGGGTTTCTTGCTGCCCATGGTTCCTCCCAGGATCTCAATGGCACGGTTGGAAATAACCTCGTTGGCGTTCATGTTGGACTGGGTGCCAGAGCCGGTCTGCCAGACAACGAGAGGGAAGTGGTCGACCAGTTTGAGGTCCGCAACCTCAGCAGCGGCCTGCTGGATCGCCTTGCCAATAACAGGGTCTTGGTACAAGTGTTCACATCAGTTGATCTGTTATTTATTGCGTAGTTGCGTCGAGAGGAGTAAATACCGAGTCCATATCTCATGTTCACAGTGGCAGCAGCACCCTTGAGGATACCGAGGGCACGCACAATCGGAGTGGGCATGCGGTCCTGTGGTTGTCCAATATCAAAGTTCCCAAGGGACCTGTAACCCTGGAGTATCAGCCATTCCATCCCACTATATCTTGCTACTACTTTCTTGTAGACTTCGATTATCTATCTGCGCACCTCTGAGTCTGGGCTCCCCAGTATTTATCTCCAGGAACCTATAGCCATAAGTCGGTGTCCGTATACAACTGTTCGAGTTGACTATAGAGCAACCCTACCTGGATCTCACCAAAGGCATCGGTCTCAGTACGAGGAGCAGCCTATGTAACCCGCCGGTCAGCATCTATAACACAGTGTTCACTATAGATAGAAACATCCGCACCATCATTCTTGCGGTAGAAGCGAATCCTCTGACGTTGTATCCGGTAAACTGGCACTTATTCGAGACAGACGACGGGCGGAGGGCACTACTTATAGAGCGGCCGCAGGAGTTCCGAAGGTGGAGAGTATGATGAGAAACGAACGATCGAGCTGCGGGTTTCGATGCGACACGCCCGAGGGCTCGAAGGGACGTGGAATTAAGCATTCTACCGGGAGCTAAAAGGCGCAAAAGTAAAAAAGGAAGAAGATAATATTATACAGAACAGAACGCAGGAAGAAGTCAATGAAGATGGTACACGGTCAATTGGGATACAAGCACACAGCAGTGAAGAGAGAGAGAGAATAAGAAGAACTAAATGAGGAAGAAGTTGAAGCTGTCCTTTTTTTTTTTTCTGGGGTGAAAAGGAAGAACCCGAGTTTTTCCGGCCCCGTCGAAACAGGGGGAGGATGAAGAGTTTCTCTCTCTACTCTAGACAAATTGATAACAACAGCTGGGATTCAGTCATTATTTGTGGTTATTCACAGAGAGCGCCGGCCAGGGCAGTGACAGACTGCTTCATGAAGAGCCTCCCGCCGTCGAGGAGCCCGTTCAGGTGGGCAAAGGTATGGGGCACACCAGGGACACGGATATGCTCGACCTTGACCCCTGCGGACTCCAGTTTCTTCGCATAGGCAGCGCCTTCGTCTCGAAGAGGGTCCATCTCGGCGGTCCAGACGACAGCTGGAGCAAGGTTGGCGAAGTTGGGGGCGAAGATGGGTGATATCTTCCAGTCCTATAGCCCTGTCAGCTAACGCCAGACTGGTTAAAGAGAAGGTACAGGAAGCGACTTACATCGTCGGATCTCTCTGGGCGAGGGTTTCCAAGCCAGTGACGATGGAAATATTCCATTCGCTCGACAGGCAGTGCAACGGTATGCTCCATCTCGCGGTATGACTCGTACGGGGTGTTTTCACGGTCAAAATCGCCGGTCGGGGTGAAGGAACTGTGCATGTCGACCACCGGCACCACGAGGAGTTGGAGGCTCAGTGGGTAGCCATGGTCTCTACACATATGGGCAACCACTGCGCTGAGATGGCCGCCTGCCGATGCACCTCCGACGGCAAACCTAGAGACGTCCAGGTTGAATTCGATTGCCTTGCTTCTCACCTGACGGGAAAATGTTAGAGCATTCTCTTCTCCTTCTTTACAACCGAGATGCAACTCGTCTTACCCATTCCAAAGCAGCCCAGCAATCTTCAATGGCCGTGGGATAGCGGTGCTCGGGTGCGAGACGGTAGTCGACGTCAAAGACAACGACCTCGCCTTGAAGGTCATGGACGATTCGCTTGCAGACGTGATGGTCAGCGAACAGGCCGCCAAACACCCAGCCGCCGCCGTGGAAGTTGAGATACACTCCCCGTTTCTTCTCCTTCCCCGCCGCGTCCTTGACTGGGGCCATTTCAAAGACCCGGATGGCGATCTCGCCTCCCCTGACTGGACATTTTCGCTCAGTTATACAGTGCACCTCCGGCCCGGGAGTCTGGCCATAGGATATCAGATACTTTGAGGGGTTCTTCCGGAACTCCTCTATCGGAATCTGGTGGGTGTGCAACCGTCCAGCGTTATGGCGGTTATAATGCTGGACAAACACGGGATCGAACCTGTCAACCAGGTTCTCGGGGATACTGTTGAGCAGGGGCTGCAAGACCTCCGTTGGCTGGAGCTGGAGCAGTGCCGGATCTGCCACCCGCTTGGTTGTCTAGATGTATAAACACAACGGTCAGCCCACGTCGTTGGCTTAAAACAGCTGTATCCAGCTATGTCTCGGTATCATCACCATTGCCAAAGTGCCAGCTGTCTTCCTAGAGCTCCCACTGTCCTGGAATCAAGTGTGGTAGTCAAGATATACACCGTATGGCATCAACTTTCCACTGGGCAAAGCTGATAAACACGAGAGTAACAAGTATAAAACAGGGATTGAGCTGGTCAACTTTCAACCCCTCTCACTCGTCGGCTCTTCGTATATCTCGGCTCTTCTAGGCACCTCGGCGTTTTCTCCATGCATAGAATATATATATATATACATGTAATAGAGGGACGCAGGGAAGACTCACGCTGTTGTCCAAGAGGAGAGGATACTGTAGATATCTGCTGGCTGCCAGGCCCGTGGCCCTCAGGCGCCGCTTGAAACCAGACATTGCGGTTTGTCTCTGAGCGCGTTGTATGTCTAGAACTTGTCTCTCTGATGTTGTTTCTTCTCTCTGAAGTGTTCTATATTCTGTCTCTCTCATTGGAGTGTTGCTACTTAGAGAGTTCTTTCTCACGTGAAGCCTGGAGGATCTGGATAACTAAGTAAATAACAAACATGAACATGGACTTTTTGTATATTCGCCCCTGAAGCCTCCAACACTCTATCTACCTACAAGCCATTCTTTTATGCTTTTATAAAGTCTTGTCTATATACATTCATACACTCTTTGACTGGTTATTGGTGCAGTGTCAAAGATGGGGCTGAAGGTAGCCATCATAGGAGCCGGTAAGAAGCTGCCTCAGCAGCCTAAAAGAAACCGTACCTGACTTGTTACAGGGTTATCTGGCCTTGCATCGTTAAAGGCGTGTCTGGAAGACGGTATCACGGATGTTACAGTCTTTGAAGGACGAGATGTCATCGGTGGACAGTGGAACTACCAGGAGCCTGATCCAGAGTCTGGCGCAACAGCCTCGTCCATATATGACAATGTGATACTGAATTCATGCCGCGATACCTCATCCTTTAGTGATTTCCCCATCGATCCAGCTCGGTATCCGGATTTCTTTGGCCATCGTCAGTTTCTGCAGTATATCCATGAATATGTTGACCACTTTCGACTGGCGCCATACATCAAGCTCCAGACAACGGTCATCTCGTGCAGATTTCAGCAGACCAAGGCGGGAGCTGACGGTGTGATCGGGAAATGGGCGGTCGTCTACCAGAATCAAAATAGTGAGCCGGTTGAAGAAGTGTTCGATGCAGTGCTTGCATGTACAGGCACCCTCTCTAAGCCCCTGATACCAGACTTTGACGGCAGAGACAAGTTCCAGGGTGAACTATTCCACAGCCACACGTATCGAAAGCCGGCGAAGTTTGAGGGAAAGAGAGTTGCCATCATTGGGTTTGGAAACTCGGCGGCTGACCTGTCCTCTGAAATCAGCACTGTTGCCAAAGAGGTGCATTTGATTACTCGCAGGGGCGGATGGGTTATTCCCCGATATGTGCTGGGCAAGCCAGCAGAGGCTTACGACAGTGAGTAATATATCACCGTGTAGGCTGGGCTGATTCTAGATACATGCTCAACTGCGTATAGGTCGTGTATTCGAGACCATCCTTCCAAAGGGACTCTCGGAGTGGTGTCAGATGAAGCTGTGTGATGCCGTCATGGGCGCCCCTCCTGACGAGATCAAACCCTTACATAGGCTTTCTCAAGCAAACCTGACAGTTCGAAGCGACCTGCTAGAGAACATACGTACCGGACGTATTACTCCTCACCGTGCTGGCGTTGACCGGATCACTGAGTCCTCGATTGTCCTCACCAATGGAACCGCCCTGGAGGTAGATGTGATCATCTGCTGCACGGGCTATGATATCGAGTTACCCTACCTGTTAGATGAGTACTACCGGATGGAGGAGAAAGACAGCGTACTGCCTTCGAGGAACAGTCTTAATCTGTACAGGCTTGTCGCTGCGCCTCGGTTTCAGAACCTGTACTGCATAGGTTATATCCATCTCGAAGGACCTCTGGTACCAGTGGCAGAGGCACAAGCAAGATGGGCGGTCGGTGCCATCACTGGGCAGGTAACATTGCCTTCCGTGGAAGAAATGGAGAGATCGATCCGTACCTACCAGGAGGACCTAGCCTCTCAAGTAAGCTTCTCTTTTTTTCATTTTTTTTTTTGTTCCTTGCTAAGGTGTAGATGGTTACCTCGGACCGACATACAAACATAGTCAAGTATCTACCTTACTGCGACGACTTGTTCTCTCAGTTAAACGCAACCCCGACATTCTGGCGACTATTCCGGCAGATATTCACTTCTCATCCTGTACGAGCTTACAGGGTCCTTCTGGCAGTGTACTTTGGTCTCAACTCACCGGCTCAGTACCGCTTGTTTGGCAAGGCGGGAAATCCCAAGCTGGCCGCAGAGACCCTGCTAAGGCTGTCGAGAGGGGATAATAAGATGACTGACGAGGAGAAGAAGTGCATTCTGGACTACAAAGATACACACAAACCTTTGGAATAGCCTTGCAGCCGCCTTAATCCCTATACACAACCTATCATCAGAAACCCTAGGTGTAAATATATAGTCCTATCATAGACTAGACCTAAGAAGACTATGACAATGGAGCCGGAGTAACTCTAAGCTTTAATCCGTCGGTGGGTTTCAATGCAAAGCCCGTCTTTGGTATGTTGATAACTCTTTCAACTGGGTGAAACGCCCACTTCCGCAAAAGCTGTATGAGAAAGACCTTGATCTCAAGTAGTGCAAAGGCCCGCCCGATGCAGACACGCGGTCCGCTGTGGAAGGTCTGAAATACGTACGGGTCCTGCGCGGCTTCGGGCAAATTGTACCATCTATCCGGATCGAAGTCGTTGACCGTAGTACCCCATATGGATGGGTTGAGCTGGGAGACAGCAGGATATATCATCAATAGAGTCCCCGCGGGTACGATGTTGCCGCATATACTGATATCCTCTGAAGCAGTGCGCAGCACGGAAACGACTGTCGGGGTGCGTTAGCCAAATGCCGGGAGGAGATGAAGTAGGGGAGAAATTTACAAGGGGGGAAGAGCCGGAGAACCTCCTTTACGACGAAATCCAGATAATCTATTGATTGCACTGTTTCGTAAGTGTAGGTTTGCTCACGGATTGCTGCGTTTATGGCTGAGCGAAGCCGGACCTGTATAATCGGGTGGGTGGAGAGTAGATGGAGACACCACACTACTGCATTGGAGCTGGATTCGTGCCCTGCATATGGTTCGTTAGTGGGTTGTTAACATTCTCATCATACGGCACAAATGTACAGACCTGCAACCATAAATGTGCGTAGCTAAAAATTTTACTTTATTAACACGGTTACATGTTCTGTATCGAGTGGGACTGACCTGTGAAACCAACTGGTCTTCGCAAAACGGCTCACCCCTATCGAGGTATCCGCGTATTGTCATTGTGAGCAGATCATCGCCTTCCAGCACTTTTTCGGTGTAAGTTTCGACACTGAGAGCGAGGACACGCTGCTTGATGTGTTCTTCTAGCATCTGCTTGATGATTCGGTTTCCGTCGAGAAAGCGGCGGTTGGCCTGTATGGGTATCCATTTCCGGGCCGGAAACCAGTTATTGAGAGCTAGCATGATCTGGTCCGTGGAGGAGAGGTGCATGACATCGATGTACCGCTGGTCAAACTCTGAAGTCTGGGTGAGACTGTCGAGTTCGTAGCCCAGAACCGTCTTCCCTATCACGTCGAGGGTCGCCTTTGCCAGGAAGGATGATACTTGTTTGAAAAAAGTTAGAATATGGCGGGAGTAGATTATGCACTTTGGCCTTACCGTCTACCACCGTTCCATGCTCAGACGCGTGTGTCCCTATCAAGCTGGCCAACTGCTCACCCTTTGATACGATGACGGGCAGCAGCTTCTTGAGGTTTCCAACCAGAAAGGGGCCTATCATTATTAGTATATATATATGTATGTACATGGTATGGGGTAGATACCGGCAAGAATCCTGCGCTGGTGCTTATGGGCCTCTCCCTCCGCGAAGAAGACACCGGTCTCACCGATGAACTCGCCCGCGGTGCGGAAGAGGAAGCCAGGCTTGACGAAGGAGTAGCAGTGTGTCTGTGAGACCTCCCGCAGCGCCCTGGGACTGTTGACCAGGACGATCTCGGAGTTCCCCAGCATGAGGGGACGGATGAGGTCTGCATCCGGGAACTGTCTCATCCAGTTGACGGGCGCGGCATGAGGACTGCCACCGGTGAACTGTTTAATCGTCTGACCGAGGATTAAGTTCCCCTGTTTAGACTTTTTAGCAGTCGTGTCCTGTAGAGGCAAGCCGTCTATAAAAAAGATGACGCACCTTTGGAGTTGGCAGATGGCGCAGAGGAGAGACGGCAAAAGGGTAGATCAGAACATGGTATATCTTGACCGCCAGGTAGAAGAGAGCAGCGAGCAAGAGAGAGACCCGGATATCTATAGAGTGTGAATGGTATCTCAGGGCTTCTAGACCGAGCAAGCCAGCCACAACGAACGTAAATAACAGCGACAGCATCTTCCAGACGTTCGTCCAAGAGAGCAACGCATCAGCATCAATCCCCTGGATAGGAAATTAAAAAAAAAAAAAAAAAAAAGGAGAAAAAGAAAAGGGAGAGGGAGGCGCCGTCCTCGTTCTTTTAAATGACTTGCTTGTTTCCATGGCCTGGAGATCGCCCCCAGACCAAGATCAAGCTGGGACAGGTCAAGCTGGGACGAGACCAAGGAGCGGCCGTCCTCCCCCCCTGCAGCTCTCTGGACGGATATGCCTCGACCAGTGGAAGCAACGTACGCCGTATGTACTCCCCCTGTGTTGGTATAGGACAGTAGTAGATGCCTCCCGCAAAGCCGATAGGATCGATCCGTCGCTGTAAGCAACCACGGCCGCGTCCGCGATGCTCTCTGGCCTCTCTGTGCATATGCCCATTCCGGCCACAGTCACGGTCGAGCAAGGTCAAGCATGGTCGAGCATGGTCGAGGGTATCATCCGGTATGCATCATCCAGCTGTCGTCCGGCATGGCACGGCCTCGACGGTAGCAGTGAGAGAGGCTGCTTCTCCCGAGTGGCTGGCTGGGCAGATCACTCTTTCAACCCGCGGCCATAAACAAAGAAAACGAGAGAAATAAAAAAGAAATCCTTTGGATGCTTCTTTTTTATTCTTTTTCCTTTCTTTTCTTCTCTCGATCGATCTTCATCGGAGGAGTTTTGACATGCTGCAGCAGCTCCGCAAACAAGGGGCAGCAGCTTGCAGGGTCTTCCTTGTTTCCTCCTTCATCTCTCGTCTCTCCGTCGACGGCCTGCCAACGGGCCTGGCTCGACATATAAAACATCCATCATATAGACATGATAGAGTTGCTGCTAGAGAATCAACCTTGCAATCACGACATTTTCCTCTCTCCTGGCTTTCGTCCGTTTTTTTTTTTCATGTTGTGTGGAATCGATGGATACAAGAAGCTCCACCGGGAAGAAGAAAACCTCCACCGGCCAGAGACCATAGAGAAGACGTCGGGATGGCGTCTTTTTCGCCTGAGATAGCGAAGATGGAGAAGATGAATATATTATATCCCGGACGTCGAGGTCGAAGATGTCGTTCGTCTTCGCCGTCCATGAGAACGTATCCTGAGCATACGGTATATATCCATAACTACAGATGGCTGGAGCAGGGCCTGCCTCGTCGACGGCGAAGCTGAACAGCTACGAAGGCGAAGGTAAAGCCCTTTCTTTTTCAAAGTGGTTTGGATGGCTATAGCTAACGGGAGTAGAGAACGATGGAGATGAATACCGCACGAGCGAGTCTCGTCGCCAGATCGGACTGGTGTCCGCCGTCTTTCTCATCTTCAATCGCATGATCGGGACCGGCATCTTCGCTACGCCCAGCGCCATCTTTGCTCTCTCAGGCAGTGTCGGCCTCTCTCTCGTCATCTGGGTCGCGGGCATGCTCATAGCCGGTGCTGGCATGGCCGTCTACCTCGAGTTTGGCACGGCCTTGCCGCGCAACGGCGGAGAGAAGAACTATCTCGAGTTCGTCTACCGCAAGCCCCGGTTTCTCGTCACGGGCCTCTATGCCGGCTACGTCGTGCTCCTGGGTATGTATTCGACCGTATTATACATGTAACATACCCGGTCACTGACATCCACAGGATGGGCGGGTTCGAATTCGGTCGTGTTTGGAGAATACATCCTCCACGCAGCGCAGATAGAGGTCAACCGGTGGAATCAGCGTGGGATCGGCCTCGCCTGCATCACCGCGGCCTTCCTCATCCACGGCCTTGCGCTGAAATGGGGGCTGCGGCTGCAGAACTTCCTCGGCGTCGTCAAGCTGCTCACCATCCTCCTCATCGTCTTCTCTGGCTTTGCCGCCCTCGGAGGCGCCATCAGGGTGGAGAAGCCGGACAACTTTCGCAACGGCTTCGAAGGCACCACCGGGAGCACGTACGGGGTCGTCACGGCCCTCTACAGCACCATCTGGAGCTATATCGGCTACAGCAACGCCAACTACGCCCTCAGTGAGACCAAGAACCCCGTCAGGACCCTCAAGATCGCTGGCCCCCTTGCCCTCGGCACCGTGGCTGCTCTGTACATGCTGGCGAACGTAGGCTTCCTTCTCCCATATTGCTATACTTAGGTCTAACGGTTATAGATCGCCTACTTTGCCGCCGTCCCCAAGGATGAGATCGTTTCCTCTGGCCGAATCCTTGCTGCATCTTTCTTCCGTAACATGTTCGGCGAGCGTGCAGAAAGGGTTCTGTCTGTTCTCGTGGCCCTATCCGCCTTTGGAAACACCCTCAGTGTCATATTCTCCCAAGGCCGCCGTACGTATATCCCGTTGCTAGGTGTATCCCCTCGTATTCCATCTTATACTAACTCCTCTATAGTGGTGCAGGAACTAGGTCGTGAAGGTATCCTACCTTTCTCCAGGTTCTGGGCCAGCAACAGGCCCAGGAACGCTCCCTTGGCTGGTCTCTTCGCACACTGGCTTGTCTCTGTCGTCATCATGCTCGCACCACCCCCTGGCGACGCATACAACTTCATCCTCAAGTCAGTGCGCTCCTTTCTTCCTTTTTACTATTTTTCTCCTTTTAATACTAATATTTCGAAGTGTAATATCATATCCTCTTGCGGTCGTCAATGTCTTCGTCGCCGGCGGCCTTATCCATCTCTACCTTCACCGCGACAGTTTCCAGTGGGCTCCTCCATTTAGCGCCACTCTGCCAGTTGCAGTATTCTTTCTCCTGAGTAACATTTACCTCACCGTTGCCCCGTTCGTACCTCCCACCGAAGGCCAGAACGTGTACAAGAGTCTCCCGTACTACCTCCACTGCATAGTCGGAATCGCAATCATCGCTGCTGGCGGTGTGTACTGGCTGGTCTGGGCGCGACTGCTCCCCTGGCTAAGGGGCTATACTCTCGAGTGCGAGGTCATCACCCAGGAAGACGGATGGTCGAGAAGGAGGTTCTACCACAAACACTAGTTGGATGTGTGCGGCCCTCGGGGGAGGGCTCCATCCATGCCTAGTTACGAAAGAGGCTTGCTAGTTACCCCAAAAAAAAAAAAAAAAGAAAGAAAGTATCTTGACCAGAACGTCCACAGTGCCAGCTCCTGACGAAATTGCTCCGGATGTGATACCCCTTGAGCTCGTCGGCCCTGCCACACAACCGGAGAAATCCGAGATTCCCAACTGGACGAAATATTTACGGCCATTTTATGACGATGTAATGACTTATCTTCAACAAGCAAAAACTGAGCCATCCTGGGCGCTGGCTGCCCATGAGAAGAATATGGGCTTCAACATACTCCGTACATAGGTATATTAATGATACATAACAACTCTAGATTTACGCCGGCAGAGAGGACCCGCTGGTTACTTCATAATCATCCCGCATCGCGAGCTCATCCATATCCCTTTTTTATTCCATATATAAGCATAATATATATACCTCCTTTATCCGTATAATAAGCTTAGCCAAGGTGAATAACTGCATAGTAAGCTATGATCCTCTTCACGATATTAATTGTAGCTGGACAAGTGGGTTCTAGATATTATCTCTTCTATAAACAGGGAGTTCATCGACTCTCTACATACACACACTCAGACTAATCACCAGTCATCTCCATTCGTCCCGCTTACATACATAGCCAAGCAGCTGTCATCTCCACCATCTATTTATATCCATCTATAAACCCACCCATACTATAGCAACGTGGGCACAAACACGCAACTCACAGCTCATCAGCTGAATTCAGCCCCCATCTCTCCCACAGGTCTTTCGCAAACTCCCTTGAGCCACGCCACAGCTTCGCATATAGAGAATTATACTCTTCCCAAGCCTTGACTTGCATCGGCACAGTGCGGCCCGTATACACCTGGTTCGGATGATCCATTGCCCATCTCCACATGTGTGTAGACGACTGCTCAGAGGCAGAGGCATAGATATCGCTCCATACAAGACTGCCTAATACCCGCATTCTGCCTTTCCAGCCCGGTAGCTCATCCTTGCGCAGATCAGGATCTTCAGGATCATAATCGGAGGAGACTTGTAGTACAAACGGTTGGAAGTCTGAAGGGTGTAGGCCCGAATTGTCCGTCGATGGCATCGAGAATTTATCTGTCATGTATGAGGAGAAAGAGGCGCTGTCTATGACCAGCAAGTCATAATCTAGTAGATTGCGCTGGCTGAAGTCTTCCGCTTCTCGCATTTTTTCAAAGTGTCTGTCAATCACGTTAGGAGCCATTTATCTTCTCGAAATATCACGGTCAAATCGCATGGGCTGCAAGAGGTGTCATAAACTCACTTCGCCGCAGCATCTACATCATCTTCTGGTATCCCAAGCTCCTCGCCATCGAACCATTCTAGCTTCAATAGTCCCTTTATTTGGTTCGCTCCATCGATGCCGTCACCCCAGTTATTCATATCAGCTTCCAGTTTCTGCATAAAGGCGTTCCATTCCTCGTCAGTCTTGCCATAGACAAGCTTATACATCGTGAACTTTGGTGGCTTATAAGGCTCCGGATCTTCCTCTGTGCTCTCGGCAGAATCCATCAATTTTTGTATTCTCATAATCCATGCTGGCGGAGGCAGTGGCTCTGGATTCCCTCGGATCATATGTCGAACTTGAGAGTCTGCGCAGCTATCTGACAGTTCAACGTCTGAAGTATGGATTCGGGGTTTGCCGTCCCTAGTCGAGTTGAGTTGAGACTGAGAGCTATCTCCCGCACAATATTGAAGTTTGTCAACGATTTGACTGTAGCCGCTGCCGCCTTGCGGCGTATATCAAAGGACGGGCTCCGTATGTCTTCGACTAAATCCGGCGCCGAGTAGCCCTTATATCCATCCATGGGTATCAAAATGGTAAAGTCAGACGTGACAGTAAGCTCAGCTAAGAGATGTAGCTTGTTGGTTAGTGTCCATTGTTCCGGGCTGTATGTTTCTTCAGATGGCGGTTTATGCATGGCTAGATCGCGTAATACGGGACCCCTGAGCTCCTCGATATGAGAAATAACCCACGAGTGAGCCCGGGTGGTTATGGTTTGATAGTGTGTGCGGATATATTCTTCCCAAAGGGCTGCCATGCTGATGGTCTCTGTAATGCCAGCAGAGGAACGCTGGGAATTGATCGCTTTGTCAAAGTATGAGAAATCGTCATATAGGAGGTTATACGTCTCCTTCAAATTTTTCTGTATTTTCTCAACGTTCAGGTATTCAAATACCGCTATCGCAGCAGAAAGATACTCGCAAGCCAGATCAAAATTCTCAGGTTTATTCAGCCCTTTTGTCTGCCACTGAGTAGGGGATATGGGAACCATGTCTTCCCAAAATGTTGATTTCCATGAATGAACATTGTATGCCACAACCTCCAGACGACTGAAGTCCTCTGTCGAGCCAATTCTCAGCGAGATTTGCGACATGAGGTCTTCACTGAGGTTATATGGGTCAGGAGCCCATTCATTATACGGCCTATTCCACTGCAGGAACTCATCTTCACCTAGAAGAGGGAGCTTGGTGACCTCTCCATTTGGCAAGTTTCCAGAGACGCAGAATTCCAGAAAATGGACAGTAGTTTGGGGTTCGATCAACCGGTCGACTGAAATATGGTTAATAAAGATGGCTTGCAATACGAAAAAGAACTGAACTCCCGTAGATAAGAGAGCTTCACTGACCGATGAGCAAGGCGCTAAATGCCCAATGAACTGCCGTTATTGCAAGGGTCTCGAACATGGCAGATATCTACAGCCCTGTTGAGGGCGTCTTTTCTATCCACTGTCTGAAGATGCACCCATATATGTATATAGCAGTAGATGGCAGATCCAGCTCCAGCTGTTCGTTTCTTCTCGACACTGAAAGCCTGGATGAAAAGAGGCGACTATTTCAACTAAATTTTCTGTCTCAGGCAGCAGTCCGAGGTACGGCAAATCCCAAACTAGTCAAAAACGACTTTAGGAGGGCCTAGGCCTTTTTTCATACTGGAATGACTATAGCGACTTTATTTTGAATAACCATGCAAGTTGCAGCATGAGCAAGGATCAAAAGGTCATACACGAAGGGTGCGAGTGAGGCTCATTTTATATTAAAAAACCGAGTTCTTGGTAAGTAGCCATTATATTCAACTTTACTATCAACTTAACTCCTTTTGATTCCATCTCTTAATCTCTCTTTTTTTTTTTTTTTAGTTGCTGTAGGTAAAATGGGATATACCAAGAATATTATATCTCTCGAACATGGATAGATTACTATTACGCGGCTTTCACAGTGAGACTCTCTCCTTTTCCCCGTTATATAAACGAGTACTAAGTCTAGGCAAGGGAAGCCAATGGCCTTCAGAAGGTGAAAATACTGATATATAGCATTTAAATCATTAGAGCGGACGGTCATGATTCACTGTAATATTCTAAGGCCACCAGGATATTATTCCTTATCTCAGCTTTCAATATCTATCGTCACTTGTTGGTGGTGTGCCATCAAAATCTGAATAAAATCATTGACCGCCTCTGGGGCTGGGTTTTTCAGTCTCACCGTCATGACGGAGCAGTGGGACGATGTTAACCCAGACCAGCTCTCAAGCGAGAGGGCACTATTTTGGCAGTCGGTAGTGAACTGGCCTTCCATGCTTGCCGAACCTATCGCACTCGCTTCCAACGCTGAGTTGAAATACCCATTGCTAGAGGGGCAGGATGAAACAAGGAAGCTGTCATTGTCAACACTGTATTGCTGCTGAAGGCAACGGCCATTATTGGGAGTATCTGGAAGGTCTAGAGTTGAAAGCCCAGTTTGATCATTAGCATCGAAGCCAAAATTTGGCAGGGTATAGTCTAGTATGAACATGTCATCGTGGGAAGTAGGCGGTGGAGTGGTATGCTCCATTGAAGAGAATAGCTGTTGAGGGTCTTCGGTCATCAGGTTGATACTTGGGTCTTCGCTGTGAGACGCAGGGCTGGAGCTAACTGTGCTATCACTCTGTTCGTGGCAGTGCCCCTGACTCTTACAGCAATGGCGTGAAATGAAGGCATACCTATAGTAAAGGGCATGATTTAACAAAAAGTCATTGAAAATTGATATTTGGGAATAGGTTGCGGTACTGACTGGTTCTTTAGGGAGTTAGGAGAACGCATGGGAAATAGGTCGTTTCGAATCTGTAGCCAACGACGACCCCGTTGCCTTACTGCGTCCCATAAAATCTGGCACTATTAATATAGCCTTGTTAACTTATTAAGCGCAGTTGTGAATTCTAGGTGCCCCATAACATACCTCTGATTCAGTCCACTCCGACCTATCCAAGGTAGGGTCAAGGAAGTGCTGCCACCGTTTAGCACATTCTAAATTTGCACAGAACCTATCAGTTAGTCTTGAAATATCATTTAACAATGAGAGTATGCGGAACAACGTACGGTCTGCTGTACGGCGAGGGACATGCTGTGATACCCGCATCCATCTAAACAATGGTAAATATAAGCATTGGATCTCGTATATGCCTAGAGGATCACCAGAATATCCAAGCAAGGACAACAAGGATTATTCATTACACTTTGCCTTCTGTCTCCACAGCCAGACCCAGAAGTTTGTCTTCATCTGCAGTCCAAGCACCCTTCCTCAGGTCCCCGTTGAGCACATTAAACCATCTCTTTCGACAGTCTTTGTTTGTCCTGCCAGGAAGTGCTGCTGCAATCTTCTGCCAATCTATCACCTTATCCGGGGGGTTTTCTGATGAAGTGTTAGGGCATGCATAGTAGGAGGCAGACAGATTGTAAGAATCCCACACATACTAGACTGTTGTTCTTGAAGTTTTTGAAGCAAGACGGAGTCCTCGTCTTGAGTCCACTTATTGATTCGGCGTATAGGCTCCATGGTAGTCATCTGAGGAAGAGGCCCAATAGGTAAAAAGCTCCCTGTGTTAGGGTATCAAGGGTATGGATGGACTGCGAGCGTGGAGATTGATGAATATATATATCCTAAACTGGTGATTATTGTGCAAATCTGACACGATACTGCGGTCTCGTACTGTAGTTTGGACTGTGGAATCTCCTTATGATCAACAAGTATAGGGATCTTTATGCAGCCGCGTATGCTATAATATAAAGCAATTTTGTATTGGTACCAAATTGGGCAATAGCTGAAAAGCACTGGCTTTCGCCCTACAAACCCTCTCCTGTCACCTTAGTGTAGATGAGGTGTGGAGAGCTCTGCAAAGGGTATAAGTCCCGGGTAGATGTTACATGCTAGGGTAATCTTCACGCATAGCCGAAAATAATGCGGCCTGCAAGACTGGAATCTACCTCAGCTAGCCCCGTATACTATACTTTTATTTATTTGCCAGTCAGCATTGACCCCATCGTGGATATCCCGATAATTGGGGAAGAGAGAGGCTGGCATTGCGTGTCGCCCGTAAGCGCTAATGGTCTTGGTTGTGGTTCTGAATCTTTTGAAACGTAGCTATTTATATCCGTAGAAATTCTAGATGTTTCGAGATCCAAGGCGGGAAGATATGAGGTAAGATAATCTAGGTATCAACGTGCCAATCTAGCCCACGAACATGAGGCCTGTTAATCTGATTTTGCGTCTTGGTATAGTGCTCCTTATTATTCATCAAGTAGCCAAGCTTCGGCCCCGTCCGGGTCAGACACCTTACTATGTAGGCACTGCTGATACCAAGCGTTTCAATGGATAACAATAGAAGTGCTCCCAAGGTAGTCGCCCGCACTATTGGTCACATATGAACGGAAGTATGCCGGTAGACAAGGGTGCGATCCTAGGGACATCAAGAAAAACAGTCTAATGGTCAAAGTTAGCCTAGATTTAAGTGTATGTTATATACACTGTTGACTGATGTATAGCTCGTCTTGAAGAGCAAATGATACCGACTTGAGCAATTTCCTCATCAGTGTTCCGATAAAAATGAAGTCGTCAATCGACACAATGACCAAGCCACCGACACAGTTTTCACGAATAGTTACTGGAGATTTATGACATTGATCATAGAAAGCGGGATACTCAGCGTCATATTGCTTCAGGAAGGCTAGCAAATCATAGCCAACAACTTTTCCGAGTCAAGTAATTCATGGAGGTATAATACAAAAAGGTGTTGATATCGCGAGCAGCTCCACCGTTTACATTCCCGACTATACAATGACAGAACATGCATGATAGAGGGAAGCAATGGCTGACGAGTTCTTTTGTGGGAATCCAAAATGATAGTATGATATCACCAGCTCAGGGCTAGATCAGTCATCTCTCCTGCATGTACGGAGTATGCCGTGGCGGTAAAGGGGTATGCGGAAAGTTCTAACGTTCCGGCCTGGCAGCGCCACTTCGGGGAAATAGCCAAGGCCGCAGGTTTTAGCTTGAACTGATATTCAAGCGTTTAAAGGCCGTTAGCACGCTGGGCAATTTCCGAAAGGAGTAAACGTTGGAAGCAATGGAGCGGTAATAGATAAAAATAGTGCTTACCTTTGCCGCAATATAGACTTTTATTCCCTTCTGCAGGTGCAAGTAAAAGCATGCTCACTGCAGGTTGAAATTTTATCATGTTGCACTCTTGATTTAGGGGCTGCAGCCCATGGCTAATGTCGTTAGGCTTCTTTTATATGCTGAATATTTGCTCCAAGGACGCCTTATTTTAGCCTAGACCTGCTCTAGATATGGCCAGTTTATCGCCGTAAAACCCTCTACCTTTTTAGAGGACAAGGAAGGTGGCGTTTCTTCGGCTCTTCGAACGAATCATGGTCTGCAAGGACAAAGTCTCAGGGGTAAGCCTGCTATAGACAAGGGTTTTAACTTGTTAATATTCATGTTTGATGAGTGCTCACACGCAGCATTTTTGAGGGAAAAAAGAAAATGACCATCTTACCATAAGAGCCTAGTCTTATCCAGTTACATTTTCACCCTTTTCCGCTTTTCAAAACGTCCAAGCTTACAATGTATAAAGTAATACCATCAGGCTGGTCATTCCAGGGAAATTTTGCATAGATCCCTTTACACTTCGTATAGAGGGGATGGTGGTATATGCAATAAGTATGCCTTGAACCAAAACAGCCTAACTGGAGAGCAGAATATGTACGGAGTACTCCGTATAGGACATGGTCTTCATTAAAACCAGCGCACAATTTCCCGTGGAAGGAGGGTATCCAAAATCCAGATCTCACTAATGTCGATATTCTCTTTTTTACCCTTCAATCCGAATGCATAGAGCCATCATTTGGTTCCGTGTTTCGTGGGGTTCGTGAGCTAGTGGCTCCTGGCAGCATTGACGGGAGCACTCGACAGCGGATCTATGATTTTAACAAATACCCGGGAGATAGGGGGAATATCCGACTTAATTAGACCATATTATGCCTGGTAGCTAGTATCTAGAAGATTTTTTTTTTTATCGAAGAGGTTTCCTCCGTGATTTTGAAGGAGCAAGATATTCTTCTGCCTTGAAATCGATGAGATATCAGATTGAATAAGGTTGTGGACACGAAGTTAACGTACTTAAAACGGATCATTAGTAATCACTCTATTTCTACTAACTATGCAACATGGTTGGTAATGCAGCCATGAATATTATTTGGACAAGGCCAGGTTCTCACTGTCTTCCAAGTGGCTTGGTGACCAATATTATTACCTCGTGGCGTGATATTGCTGTTGTTGTCCACACAGAGGCCGACACCACCCTGCCAACTGGATCGACGGAGCAAGATCACCCTCCATTTTTGTTATAATTGTTGATATATATATCCTACGTTTATGTGCAGTCAATTCATCGGCCAACCAATGGATGTTAGCTTTCAAGGGTAAGAGACTAAGCCCATCATCCAAACCCATGGATTGGAATCCACTTCTGGCCTGGGGTTCTCAAAAGGGTAGTTATGGGTGTACGGATTTAAGTCAAGAATTGTGGAGTATAAAGATGTATACGCTCTGAGTCGATGTCTTCCACAGATAACAATCAGCTAGAGAACCAATACCTATTGACTGAGGTTGTAGGCGTCGTCTCTAGCTTTCCATCTACATGTCCTATAGTACCTCCCCTCCGTGCTCGGCTCAAAAGGCTTCGATATAACCAGCTATCATTTAAGAGTCACAATGGAGCAGTCAACTACTATATATGGATGACTAGGGGAAGAAATCCTCCTTGAACTGCCACAGACAGTACTTTGAGCATTGATATATTGATGACAAGCCATGGATATCATATTGAATGAAATAGGTGCGGGTATTCTACCATATGATCTGACTTGATGGTACTGGTGATGTTCGTTTAGCATGTCCATGCCATACCAGTTCGAGCGCCAAAAACACCAATGAGTTTCCACGACACAGTATCAGGGATGCGCAAGTTGTCTGATTTGTATTAGTTAAATAAAACTTTTCATACAGATATTAGAGAGCAAGTCTCATATCGTCTATTCCATCATTTGCACTTTCTTTTGCAATAGAAAAAATTCCAGTAGAGGCTGGTTGAAAAATACCAAACTTCTGAGCGTACCGGTATCTACGTCTAAAAATAAACTGACAAGTGGGATAATTGAAACAGAAATGTATTGAAGATGATGTACAATTGGTTTATTTCTTTTGCTCTTCTGGCTTCTCCTCTGGCTTCGGGGTAGGAAGTTTGAACTATATATAGATAGGGTCAGTGGTGCATTACTTGAATCGAAGGGATAAGATGGGTGATTTTACTAACATTGTCTGGTTTCCTGTCAAGGCCCTGCCCAACTCCTTCCCAAGCAGATGATCCGCCCTCGAAGTTTCGGAATGCCTGCGTCAACTCCAATGGCTCAACCACGATACGCTTCTTCTCCTCGTCATATCGGATCTCGGTGTATCCAGAAAGAGGGAAATCTTTCCTTAATGGGTGGCCGTCGAAACCGTAATCAGTCATAATTCTTCGGAGGTCGGGATGGCCAACAAAGAAGACGCCAAACATATCATACACTTCTCGCTCAAACCAGAGAGCTCCGTCGTACAGGGACGTGATGCTAGGAACTGGGGTGGCCTCATCTGCATAGGTCTTGACCCTTATTCTGGAGTTATGGCGCACGCTGAGGAGGTTGTAAACCACCTCAAAACGGTACTCTCGAGTGGGAAAGTCGACTGCAGTGATATCCGAGACTTGGGTGTATTCGGCTGCGGTATGATCGCGGAGAAACGTCATGACGGGGACAACTCCAGCGGGCGGTACATAAATGGTCAATTCATCTTTCCACACTGAGAATTGTTGGATATATCTTGGGAGACAGGAGATGAGATATTGGCCGTAGGTATGTAACTTTGCCGACGTGTCTTTATATTTGTCTGTCGGGTTAACGATTGGGCGATTCAATTGACCGATAGCTATCAGTACTGTTAGTCGTTTATTGATTATTTGGACACAAGATAAGTCAGTTAATAGGGCCAGGCTTACCAGGGCGTGGTTCCTCGCGAGGGTTTGGAACTCCCTCCCTCGATACAAACTTCGCATCTTGGAATTGCGCAGACGCCGAAAACAGTCGCAGAGAATTGGAAGTTCTCCCGGTCTGAACAGGGGCCAAAGGGTGGTAGCCCCTCAGCCGCATGACAGATCGCCTGGATGCCATGGTTATGGGAAGAGCAATTGAGCTGCGGCTCGATGAATTTATCACAGGCGAGTCGTTCTTGGGATAAGTTGAAGTTGCCCGTTCTGAGGTCTCTTGTCGTAAATGCAAGACGATGATTGGTTGCATCATGTGATTAATCACTCTACACGTGATCTAATCAAATCACATGATATTACACGTGATGATATGACTAAGCAGGCGCCAAAAGAAGAAATGCCAAGCCTTTTGCAGAAAGCTCTCACTTATTCTTCACTCCTCATTTTTCGCATCGCATCCCATCTCGACTTTGGCATCTTCCTCCTCCGCCACCTATTTTGCACTCTCCTTGGTGTCTCTCCGTTCCCACGGCAGGTTTTTCATTTCTTTGCATTCATCTTCGGGGGACACAGCAGGTTTAACTTGTCTATTTTAATACCGTGGTTGTTCATGGTCCTTTTCTATCACAACGTCAATTTTTTTTAGCCCATATTATCCAGCAGTCTCTGAACCGGTGCGAGTGGTTATTACAACATGTCTTCAAGAGCCTTAAATGACTCAGTCATCGATGACGATGATGAGCTTTGGTGAGTACCTCTCCCAAGAGAGTGGCAACTTGTTTGCATCTACTAATGTCGATTTATTCCCATTCCCCATAGCCCGCTCTGTATTGAAGAATTTGATCTCTCCGATAAAAACTTCAAGCCATGCCCCTGTGGGTACCAGGTACGCGTTTATACGGAAATAGCCCCTCACTGCCCCTAGTGAAACGCCAAAAACTCTAGCAAGTATTAACGACTAATCGGTCAATGTTAGATATGCCAATTTTGCTATAATAACATCAAAACCCATAGTGAAGAAGGCCGTTGCCCAAACTGCAGACGCGTTTACGACGAGAGCAACATTCAATATCGTGTCCCAGATGTCGATGAGTATGTACCATACTATTCCAATCAATTACTATTTACTGACAGGGATTACTTTGCACAGGTTCAAAGCTGATCTGGCTCTAAAACATCGAAAAGCCGCAGCAGCAAAGCGGAAGGAGGCCGAAAAACGAGAAATCGAAGCCTCAAGTCGGAAAAATTTGGCTGGCGTTCGGGTCGTCCAAAAGAATCTCGTTTATGTTATCGGCCTCAACCCAACAATCAGGGATGAAAACCTATTATTACAAACTCTTCGTGGTGACCAATACTTTGGCCAGTATGGGGACATTGACAAAATAGTTGTCAGTAAGGCAAAACCAGGTGGTAACCCGAACCAAGGTATTGGTGTCTACGTCACCTTTGCGAGGAAGATAGATGCAGCTACGTGCATTGCGGCAGTTGATGGTTCACCCAATGGTGATAGAGTCCTACGGTATGTAGATACACTTAGATATAAATCGATATACTATGCTAACACAATAAATAGGGCACAATATGGCACTACCAAATATTGTTCATCGTTTCTCCGCAATGAATCATGTAATAATCGGAACTGCACTTTCCTTCACGAAACCGGAAACGACAGCGACAGCTTCAGTCGACAAGATCTTTCATCAATGAATACTATATCTTCTCAACGTTTCCCCTCAAACGGATCGTCCTCCGGAAACCCACAAACACAGAATCAACGGCCATCTCCTGCGACTAGCCATGCACGAGCTGTCAACACACAGAACACGCAGTGGCCAGCTGTCAAGGACGATGGTGGGGTTCGTGCATCGAGTGCGGATTCCTCTGCCCTTCCATCATCTGCAAGTTGGGCAAATAGGGACTCTTTGGTTCAGAGGACAAGACGGGAGAGTATAGCCGCCAGTAGGTCATCTCCGAGCCCTAAGCCTACAAACGAAGCAATTGCCTCTCGACCCATAAATGGCTATGGCAAGGAGCTTCAACGAGCAGCAGAGCAACCCAGCACTGTTTCAGACTCGGCTGGGCTTACCGAGCAGGCCAGTACCGTGTCACAACCTACATCTCCATCACCTACCATGGTATTCGATAAACTGGTGAAAGCTGTGAATTCTCCAGAATTCCGGTTTCATTTCTCAACTGCAGCCTTACCTGATGACGAGCTAGCATTTATTGAGAATCACCCTTCGCTTATCGACCCCTATGGGGGTGTCAAACGTCGTGCTATGCGTGAAAAGGCCGAACAAGAACGTGCAAAACATACACTTGACGGAAAGCTTCTACAAGCCCCCGTTGAGGAGGAAAACCTTGAAAGTGGCAGCTCACAATTAGGTGGTGAACCAGAAGATTCACACGGTAGTGTTAGCGTTTCAGGGAGGCATTCGAGAGAGCCGCAGTCTGCTATCCAGCCCCCTTCTCAACAAGCCACAGCAAACAACTCTGTTGTTGGATCTCCTGTATCCAACAGCCATCAATTTCAAAGCCTGAATGTTAATGCTCGCAACCTTTCTCAACTCCAACAGCAGCAGTTGATGCTGCTTAAGTCTGCTGGGGGGCAACAACATAATACCATGGATCTGCAAGCTAATACTACTTCTGGCACTTTTGATCAAAATGCACGAACGTTCCAAAACCAGATGGCTGGATTGAACAATATTCCTGGACATACAAGACAGTCGTCGCGTTTTTCATTTGCCTACGATGTTAATTCCAAGAACTCCAACAGCAGACTCCTCGGCTCACAAGGGCCGATGATGCAATCCTCGAGCCCCAATCCTCTTTCGATCCCAACTACTCAACACAATCTTGGCAACCAATACTTTGTTAGTGGTATTCAGGGTCCCCCGCCGGGGTTGAAAAGTGCTGGTACTCCTCCTGTCAGTGGCGGTGGCATGTTTGCTCAAGGCCATGGTTTCACAAGCACGATGAACAATAATCTTGGGCTTGGGACTAAACAAGATGGAAATGCTGACTTGATGCGTGAAATTATGCGTGCCAGGGGCGCCGCAAGCGGGAGTGTTCAATCCCATGATGCAACAAAGCGTGAGTTCATGTTTCCTTTACTCCAACAAAATAGCACACCCCCTCCTCTGGCTCCCGTTTCAGGCCTTTTAAATCCGCTCTATGGCCAGCAACTTGGTTTATATCAAGACCAAGTGCCACAGAAGCAGAAAAAGAGGGGAAAGAAGCATAGACATGCTAACACTTCCTCCGGCGGAGGCGGTGTAGTAGATCTTGCAGACCCGAGTATTTTGCAGGCGAGAATGCACCAAGGTGGCGCCAATGCTGCCACTGGGCAGGGACTGTACGGGAGTCAGGGTCAAGGTGGGTACAACCACTCCAACATGGTGTATAGTGGAGGGTTCGGGAGGTGGTAAAAACCCGTCTCAAAGCTGTGTGGCTCCCCCGATCACTTCACTTTTCACCTTACCTACCGTCCAATCACATTGCTTTCCCTTTATCCTACCTTTTCCTAAATTTTTGGCCCTTGTATGAGGCTTGTTCATTTCTCCTTGCGTTTACCCAAGCGTTATGTTTTATGCGTTTATTTGTTTTTTTTACCTACCCGCTAGGAGTACAGAGGCTGCTGTTTAATTTTTTTTTCTTCGGTTTTTTTATTTGGCATTTATATTTCAGCACTGCATATGGGGAAAATTCGTTGAATCGCGTTCAACTGGGTGTTTACATGGCATGTTCACAATTTGATGAACTTGGCTGGCGGGAGGCGTCATACACATTACATTTATCCAGGAATATGCTATTTCGAAGGGCTCTTTCGCGATATTGGGGAAACGTTTTCAGATTGCCTGCCAAATAATGGCTGGGGTTCAGGTTTCCTTTCGCAACAACCTACCCTTCTTCGGATTATACCCAAAAACACATTTTTCCTTCGAGAGGAAATCCTTTTTTTTTGTATGTTAAACCTCCCTGTTTTTTGGGCTTGTACCCAAGCCCAGTCCTACCTATGTCGAAAGAAAATTTCTCACTGTTATTTTGCCCATATAGATGTCTCCAACTTGTTATGTGATCCAGTATCCTCAACCCCGACCTTGTAGTGCCGACTGCAGCCATTTTGTATATAGCAAAAAGCCCAGGCATAACCTGTAGCCATTCCTATCACTGCCACCTCCCTCAGCTACCCACACCAGGCCTCATATCATATGCATTTGGGGGGGACAGATATATATTTGTGATAACATGCTAATACTTTGAGAATAGAGGACGAGGATTTCCCACCGTTAGCTCCAGCATCCAAGCCAAATTATGACAAGCAGTCTCCCGATACCATTCGTTTCCCGACGCGGACAACTGTCCCTGGCGAATCTTCGCTTACTTCAAGCAGATCTGGCACTCCTGCTGTGCCACCTGGGTTTAGTTTACCGCATGCCCATCCATCAGCGCCTTTCGTTCGCGAGTCAAGAACGTCAAGTCCATCGCTACCAAAGACGCCTTTGACAATAAACCCACCTCCAGGGTTGGTACATCCCCAAGCACTTTCAGAATCAAATGCTCCTCCTGAATCAGCCAAGGGTTCTTTTGCTGCCACATTTAAGCAGCCTACTAATAGAGCTGCTGAAATATCTCTCGGGTCCCCTAAACCAAAAGCCAGCAGTGCTGCCAAATCCACTACTTTAGCAGGTGATGCGCCAATGGTGAAAGCACAGCAGTCTAGCCATGGGAAGTCAAAGCCATTGAAGCTTGACCTTTCGACTTTTGAGAAAATTCGTGAGCCTCTTTCTCACTCTTCGAATTCTGTTGCAGCACCGACCACTTCCTCAACTGGCCCGGAATCGAGGCCAAACACCCCGGGAACCAACTCTCGTACATCAAACTCTCCTGCTCCGCGCCAGCCAAGGGTTTTACGTGTTGTTGATACCCCGAAGTCGGAGCCAGTAGCCCCTACGATCTATGCTAGTACATCTGTCTGGGGCTCAAAACAGCGGCCGGGTGTACATGGCCTCTCCTCTGTCAGCCGACCAACAACACCAGCAGGCTCTGAGTACGACGCCCAAACATCAGCGTCAGTTTCACGTGCGAATTCGCCGCCGCCATCCAGAATTGGATCCGCGCCAGTCAGATCAGTTACAAAAAGCCAAGTAAAAAAGGATAGGAAATTAAAGGCCAAAAATGCGGAGGCAAAGAAAGATGAAATGCTTTTAGCCAGTACGCCAACCAACGGCGAGACTCAAGCTCCGATCATTGGCCGGAAGCGCAAGACAAAGAAGGCACCGAAACAGACGAATGGAGATGTTGATACCAATGCATCAGATGGAGAGCAAAAAGAATCATCTGGAATCGATACTGCCAAAGCACAGCCTGAGCCTTCCAGCAGTCAACGCGAAACCTCATCCAAGACTAAGGCTGCAAATCAAGAAGAGCCTAAAAAACAAGAACAAAAAGCCACGGTACAGAACGAGCCATGGCGAGAGAATAACACCCTTCAACAAATGACAATAGACGCAGAGGCGAAAGGTATTCCAGTCAAAGATCTATTTCTTGAACGTACAGCGCCACTTCCTACTCTCCTGGGGCAGCTCCAGCAACTTGAAGGCTTCGACTTGAATGCCCATCCGCTTTTCAACCCACCAAACCTTGGTCAACGCACAGATATGAAATGCAATGCAGATGACTACGATATGCTGCACAACCCACTTGAGTTGACTGAAGAGCACAGAAAACAGCTCCTTCACGGCGAACCTGTCCGCATCAATACTGGTGATCCTGACAAGCTCAAGCACCGTGCCCTCATTACACCTACAGGCTGTATCTTACGCCATCTCTCCGCCGAGGAAGAAGACCGTTACTTGGCGTTGGAGAAGAACCTCTCATTTGTCCTGGACGTCATCCAAGACTCGTACCCCTCTCTCCTCATCTCTGAACCTGATATCACCAACCGTGGAGGCGGACTCGATGCCCTCTTCGCTACTCCTGAAAAGTTCAACATTTGTTGGGTTGACGAAGACTCCACTCGCAACGGCCTCGTATCCAGCATCACCGCTGACGGCTCATCCGCCATTCTTTCTAATCCACTACATGCAAACAATACAGGCACGTCCACATCTGAGCCTGAAATGGTGCGCTCACATAACTGGGCTATTAGCAGTGGCGGCGAAACAGTGCCAGTTCGCTCGTCAGCATCCAAGTCAATGATGGGAGGTCGTTGTCCAAGTATCGGCCCTGGGCTTGAAGAATTAATGAACATGTCTGACGCGGAGCTTCGGGCTATGATTAGTACCTCGCAGGCTGAACTGGATGTATCGAGACGAGAGGTTGATGCCATTGATAAGAAGATCATGGCCCTCGTTAAGAGGAATAAGAAGCTTGTGCAGCAAGCTTTAGCTGCAGCTCAGGAGTCAATCGGCTCTTCACACTAGACTCGACTTGATCTTGGATCTAACATTGTGATGTCCCCCTATTTTTATCTTTCCTGTTTATCCCAAATTTCTATTGTACCAGGGGTTCTAAATGTGGGCTTTCTTGGTTTCTTTCTTCCTCTACATATGCTTCTGTTGGGAGTCCGTACATTGATACCTTTCCGTTTACCTGCATATTTTTTGGCATTTGACGTATTATCGCTACGATTATTGATGTCTTTGATGTACTCTTTGTAGGACTAACATAATGTCTTCATTTCATGTTGTATAACTAGTTTACCTTTGGCTTTGTGAGAGTGATCCAGGTAGCAGAAATTGGATGCAGACAACATGGCCGAGGAGGTCACTTCCGAAAGCGTGAATTTCTATATCTAGCACTCTGCTCCAACAAGAGTATCTTGATCTATTGTATATACATTTTGATCGCTTCATGACAAGAGGACGGAAAAAAAAAGAGAAAAAAAAAAAGGTCAACCAGGAGGTTCCTCATAGGGAACGCAACGCCAAACAACGTTAGACCTTCAGCGTGTATGAATATATATCTGTCTGTTTCAGTGAATGAACGATGAGCCAGGGTAAATTGGAGACCACAAATCTAATAAGAAGCGGCGAACAGACAGTTTGGTTGGATATTATGGGACGGAATTTGACTCTGCAACGGCCATCTACAATCCCTTCAGGCCGCCCTCGAACTCGCTAACGTCATACTCCTTGGGGTACTTCTCAATAATACGCTTCAGCTCTTCTCTCTGTTTCTGAACTTCAGGAGTAAGCTCTTCAAAAACGTCGGTGAATATCTCCTTCAGGGCAGGCTTCTTCTCTCGCTCGGCGGCGGCGAACTCAGCAAGGACATCTTTGCGGAGTTGTTCACGGGTTTCACGGTCAAGATCCTCGTTCCAGATACCCTTGTTCTCCATCCACTTGCGAAGACGGGAGATCGGGTTGTCACGGCGTTTCCAGTCCTCGACTTCGACGCGGGCGCGGTAGGCAAAGCTATCGTCACTGGTACTGTGGTGAGAGATACGATAGCTCATGGCTTCAATCAGGATAGGGCGCATTGAACCCTCGAGAGCCCGCTTTCTAGCCTCGAGTGTAGCTTCACGGACAGCGAAGATATCGTTTCCGTCAACACGGATGGTATCAATGCCATAACCGATACCACGGCTGGCAATACCGTCACCTCGGTACTGCTCGAGGGTTGGTGTGGAGATGGCATAGCCGTTGTTACGGCAGATGAAGATGACTGGACAGGAGCGTGTGGCAGCAATGTTGAGGGCGGCATGGAAATCTCCTTCACTAGCGGCTCCTTCACCAAAATAGCAGGCGACTACCTGTTTCTCTGCGTTGGGATCCTGGAGGGCCTTCATCTTCAGAGCGTATGCAGCACCAGAAGCGTGTGGGATTTGAGTTGCAAGGGTGGATGAGATGGTGTACTAGGATGTGTTGGAAAAATGATTAAAAAATAAAAATAAAAATATAGCAGTGAGTATTGGTTGACCTACAGTCTTTACGTCCTTGCCTCCATAGTGGACTGGCATATTACGACCCTTTCCGGAGTCATTACGGTTCGCGAAGAGCTGGCTCATAAACTGCTTCAGGGTGAATCCGCGCTGCTGGAAGACGCCAGTTTCTCTGTACTGGCAGAAAACGACATCATCCTTGGACAGGGCTGCTGCTGATCCAACTGCAATACCTTCTTCTCCTGCGGAAACCTAGAACAAGACCTTAAGCCGACATGCCGATGAGTTTAACACCACCAATCACAATGGACAGCAACATACCATGTAGAAACTCAGGCGGCCCTGCCTCTGTGCCTCGAACATGATCATGTCCATGATACTTACTACACATACGTCCTCTCGTCAGCCAAGAGGGTCATATCCAAGCTACTACCGAGGTTATGTATCTTCTTACCGCACAGCATGTTCTTGTACCAAGTGATCACCTCCTCGTCCGTGACGTCTGGCGGCCCTCTCGACTTGTCAACGATCACACCCTCGGAGTCCATCACTCTGTAGGTAGGAATAGCTGGGTTTGCGGCCGGAGTGACAAAGGACATATCTGATGTGAACTTGCTGTTTACCGCGCCCGGAAATCGAACACTACAGTTACAGTTACGTTAGCTATCGAAACAATCAAACATAACAGCATCAGATACTGACTGGTCCGAGCCTGGAGGCTGCGACACTGAGCTCGCCCATCGTACCCTGCTCACAGGCAGTCTGGAGGCGCGCAGTAAAGCTCCCTGGGCGGGACGGACAAGTCGAAGGATAGGCATGGTACTCGTCTATCTGTCTGTGTCTGTCTGTGTCTGTCTGTCTATCTGGTCAGGGTATCAATTGAGTGCCTCCTTGACTGCTGAATGTCTACTTCTTTCAATGCGACTCAAAGTTATCTTCAAATATCTTCAAATATCAAAAAGAGAAAAAGATGGTTTTCTTCCTCTTCCCGCTTTGGGCGAAAGGTGGGCAACTCGGCTTGCGTCGGCTTTAAAGAAGTCATGTGAACAGCTTATGTCATAATTAGATAAGCGTGTAAAAATCACGTGATATATTAAATAATCAAAACGCTCCAGTTAAAATTTAGAAGCTTTTTGAGCTTTGAAGAGAAAGACAGAACAGAGAAAAGAAGATAAATAGAAGAATAAGACGAGAGAGAGAGAGAGAGAGAGAGAATGAATATGTCGTCGAGAAGCGCGTGGCGTGGCCTGCATTGGTGTGCTAAGAGACGGCCTCAGGTGCCCCAGACTCCCTACAGATGCTTCTCCTGCACTGCTCGTCTTCAGACACCAGGCCAGCAGACCGAGGAGCGGAAGACTCACTTTGGTTTCGAGACGGTGCGGGAGTCCGAGAAGGAATCAAGAGGTAAGGCGGCTGGTCCCAATTGCAACGAGTTACTGTGCCCTGCTGGCTGACACGGCGTTCTATCCAGTTGGTGCGGTCTTTAGCTCGGTAGCAAGCTCATATGATACGATGAACGACTGCATGTCACTCGGCATTCACAGACTATGGAAGGACTATTTTGTGCGGTCGTTGAACCCCGGTCGCCAGTACGCACGCGAAAGCCCTGTAGAGAGTGGTAGCAGTGATGCCGCCCATCAAGGGTGGAATATCCTCGACGTTGCCGGCGGGACGGGAGACATTGCCTTCCGCATGCTCGACCACGCCACGAATATCAAGCATGACCAATACACCCGAGTGACGGTAGCTGATATAAACCCGGATATGCTGGCGGAGGGCAAAAAGCGGAGCCTCGATACACCATATTATAGAACCGATAGGCTGTCCTTCATGCAAGGCAATGCAGAGTCAATGCCGTCCATACCATCCAATTCAGTCGACCTGTACACTGTCGCGTTTGGTATCCGTAATTTCACCAACAAGCAGGCCGCGTTGGAGGAGGCCTACCGCATCCTCAAGCCAGGCGGTGTCTTTGCATGTCTCGAATTTAGCAAGGTGACGGTGGGCGTTGTCGATGAGGTGTATAAACGGTGGAGCTTCGGTGCGATTCCGTTGATCGGGCAGCTGGTGGCTGGAGACCGAGCCAGCTATCAGTATCTTGTCGAGAGCATCGAGAGGTTCCCCAGCCAAGAGCAGTTCCGCGGAATGATTCGCAAAGCTGGCTTTATCACTCCTGGCGATGGCTATGAGAACCTCTCTCTGGGAATCGCAGCCATCCACAAAGGCGTCAAGCCATTGAAGTGATTTATCGTCTCCCCCTCGCTCACTGGGCGGGCGACGGCAGACTTCCGTTCGGCGAATAACCACCACTTTCTTTTTTGTTCCTTATTTCTCCGGACAGACAGCCAGGAAAAAAGACAGCGCCCACATTTGTATTACTAGGCGATGTAATTCTACTTTTCTTTCACAATATCGATACTCAGAAGCTTTCAACATACGTCCAATTGGCGGCTCTCTCGCTGAAGTTGCTTTTTTTTTTTTTTTGGCCTAATCCCATACTGATGGCATACATAGTATACGGCACTATGCATGTCACCACAACCCTTGGCCCTGCATGGGCTATCAAGTCCGCGAAGAGAGTTCAAGATTCCTCAGCATCCTCCGACTTGTTCTATCTGATTGCCTAGTTCGTCCATCGAAGTCAATACGGCGAACTGTAGGACGCCACAGTTGGGGTCTATCAATACACCTTTGTCGGCCCATAGAACATATACCATCAGCAAGCCACAAGAGAACAGATGCATACATACAAGCAGGCGGAGAAATATCCAACCATGGGAAACTTCCCGCCCGTGACTAATCATTGAACCTTGATCTTATCAATCTAAAACAGTTCGCGGGTTTTTATTTTTTTTTTCTTTCTCGGCTCCCCTCAAACGCCATCGTTTGCACCGCCATCTGCCTCCATATATTAAAGGAACGAGCACAAGCGCCTGAGCAGAGGCGGGGACGGCGAGTTTGATTCCATTCCTGCCTGGTCACACTTCGTCCGGCTGTTTACCAACGACATCCCGATTGCTAGATCGTCCCCAGGTGCGGTGCCCATTGGCTGGTATGCCCTTTGGCATCATCCCTGCAGCTGCGAGGTGGCCCTGAGGCAAAAATCTTGCTCTCGTTGATTCTTCTCCTCCTTCGGATATTTCGTTCCTCCGTCTATCTTGGGCCCTGGACCATTTTTCAGACTCCTGGGAAGATGAATATATGAGATAACCTCCAGGTCTGGGTCCCATATCGCTGCCGGTATTCCGGACAAGTCTACCGTCCGTCTTAACCGAATACTTGTCGGAATATTTTTATTATCTTACCTTGATTTTTTTTTTCCCCATTGCGATACCGATATCTTTGTATCCCCCCGCTACTGAGAAGCGGTCAAAAAAAAACAACCCTCGACGGTCAACTTCGCTCACTACCCGTTTCTACGCATCTTCCCACCAGGCCAGAGGGAGAGTCTCAATATGGTGTCCACGCTCTACTCTAGGAAACGTGTTCGTCAGCTCTCCCCTATGTCACCCCCTATAGCCCCCTTGAATCCACATAGCATCAAATCGAGTCTCATCCCACCGCTACCCATGACTCCGCCGGAGCCCGACATTGATTCCGCATCATCAGCGGCGCCCCATCCCCCGCCTATCGATACAGCAATCCATGTCATTGCTACGGAACGGGCCGCTCTGGAAAACCTTGAACGAGTCTATACCACCAACGACCTGGCGCGGAATAACTTGGAGCGGGCCGTGGAACAAATTGCCAACACGATCAATGCAGGATCTAAACTGATCGTATGCGGAGTCGGGAAGAGTGGAAAGATTGGAGAAAAGGTTGTCGCTACGATGAACAGCCTGGGGATTTACTGTTCCTTCCTGCATCCAACAGAAGCACTACACGGAGACCTTGGCATGGTGAGACCGGTAAGTCCGATGTATATATATTCTTTTGACTTTCTTCCCCTTGTTGGATGAATCCTATTCTAAGCCATGGACTTCAACTAGACGGACACTGTTCTCTTTATCACATATTCTGGCAAAACTTCCGAGTTACTACTCGTCCTTCCGCATCTCCCTTCGACAACATCCGTGATAGTGATCACAGCACATAAACAGCCATCATCGTGTCCATTATTAGCCGGCTCTAATAGTGAGAACACCATACTGCTCCCTTCACCCATCCATGAACCAGAGGAAGTCTCCTTCGGTGTTTGCGCCCCTACCAGTTCGACGACTGTTGCACTGGCAGTAGGGGATGCCTTGGCACTTGCAGTAGCACGACGGCTTCACACTTCGCCTGGAAGAGGCCCTGCCGAAATTTTCAAAGGATACCACCCCGGTGGTGCTATTGGAGCTGCTGCTGCCGCCGCCGCTTCGTCGTCAGTATCTGGCACCACAACACCCCTCACCTCTACGTCATCTACGCCGTCACGGTCGATGTCTCTCGCCGGTCTCCAAGACGAACCCGAGCCAGGCCTGCCGGCATCTAAAGGGGTGTCAGCACAGCGAATAACTGGCTTCGTTACACCTATCGGCACAATCCCCACTGCCTCACCAAAGCCTGGCTCCCCTTTGCGAGTCGTAGATATTATGCGGGCTGCCCTTCGTGGGTTTACTTCCAAGCCATGGGCCTTCCTACGTCCTGGTTACATCATTTCACCACACCAGGTTCGGAATTTGGTGGCGTGCAATGACCCAGACGACAGCATCGAAGATATAGACCGTGAGGTACCTATTGGGCACAAAAGTGAAGAATGGGTATCGGTACCAAATACCAGTACAGTTGGCGATGTCCGACGGATCCTCGACCAGCACGAGCGATCTAATAGCGCTAAGATACCTACGAAGCGAGACTCAGAAGGGAATACAGTACACATCAGACGAAACATCATTAGTGTTGTTAACGAAACAACTAACGAGATTGTCGGGTTTATTGAAGAAGAAGACATACAACACGGCGACTACATGGTAAAATGAGCGAATTCAGCGAGCTGAGCACCGCGTAACAACTACACATTAGACTAATACTTGCTTTTTATTGGGATTTAATAGCGCTTTCAGTTTCATGTTTTGGGCTAAAATTACACCCACATACCTTCTGCGCCGCGAGCGTCTAATTGAGATAGATTTCCGATATTCGTCATAGAAAATTTAATACCCATTTTAAATACGTTTACTTGCGACCCGTGTGAGTATATATTATCGTCTCATAACGCATCACGAATAGATCTTTTTCCCGCTTGATCTAAGATAAGATAACACGCAAAAGCTTAAAAAAACTCATATCTTGGCGCAAATATTCAACTTTCCACAACTTCATAGCTTCGTTACAAGCAAGCTGTCAGATCAAAATGGCCAAACGAAAGCGCGACACTCCGGAAGGGGATGATTCATACAACTGGGGTGATAAGAAGCTCAGGCTTCAAAGACTACGCCTGGATCAGAAAGTCCAACATGGCGTTGTGGTGCTTCATCGTGCGCTCAAGGTTGCGCGAGGGTTTGAACGGCAGAAGCTGGAAAGGAGGGAGAAATCCGCGAGGCAAGAGAGCGATAGGTTGCTTTTGAACAGGCACATGAATGAGATTGAAGCTTTAAAGGTGCGTTAGCTTAGATTTAACAGCAGGATCATATGCTAGGAAACAGTTCTAACCATGCTAGTCTAGGCTTTGGATTTGCATAACACTGCTGAAAGGTACCTAATCAAACAGATGATAAAGACAAAACGAATTGCGGAGTCTCCTGCATTTATCCATCTGAAACTTGCGGAGCGTATTTTGAAGGACGAAGGAAAGATGAGCGACGCTGAAGCTAACGTTACTGCTCGGCTGTTCAATTCAAATCCAGTAAAGAAAGTTATCCCAGGGTTGATGGATGATATACGGGATATACTTGGACTATCTGGGAATCAGCCATTGAAGAAGGATACGGCGAAGGATAAAAACCGGTATACTGCGCGTACGGATGAGGATATACACACGAGCGATGATGAAGGAACAGACGGGGAATCAGATAAGGCTCAAGAAGGCGAAGAGATGGACTTGTCCCGTTTTGACGGGCTAGTTGCTTCAGACTCAGAGGAGAACGAGAGTAGTCATGGGGATGATGACAAGGTAAAGCCTGCAGCCGCAAAATACAACCCAATGGACGATATGTCTCTGTCACCCACACCATCAACTGCATCAGATGATTCGGATGCAATTACCACAAAAACATCTAAACCGAAGCAAAAATCCACCGCATCTACTACCTTTCTCCCTACACTTATGGGAGGGTACTGGTCTGGCTCCGAATCTGAGCCAGAGAATGACGATACATCCGCACTCCCAGTACGAAAGAACAGAATGGGCCAACAAGCACGGCGAAAACTCTGGGAGAAGAAGTACGGCAACAATGCCAAACACATTCAAAAACAAGCCAAGGAACAATCCCAAAGCATCAACCGGGATAGCGGTTGGGATATACGGCGGGGGGCTACGTCTCAGGAAGACACAAGAGGCAAATATGGAAGAAACAAGATACGAGGAGGTAAACGAAAGGAGCCAGTGCCACCTCATGCGCCCCAGGAACGGGCCGTGAAACCTCCTCCGCCAAAGGCTAAGCCGTCCAACGATGACAAGCCACTTCATCCTTCATGGCAGGCAGCGATAAAGCGCAAAGAATCAAAGACCCAAGCTCCATTCCAGGGCAAGAAGGTAGTGTTTGACTAGGGCTAGGAACTCGACGTACCTATCATGGCTTGCGCATATATATTGGAGGGAATGTCAGTATCATTTATACTCCAACCGTGCAATTTCACTGGCTTTTGTGGCATTGTGAACTGATTCTTCACATTCTATCAGTGATGTACCCGCCAGGCATCCAAGCCTAGTCACCCTTGATAGTAACAGGGTTTTTAGTGTTCTGGAGACGAAGTAAGCCTACGCTGATCGAATTATCATTACAATAACCCTAGATACCTCCCATCAGTATGGAGAGAATAGATCTAGACGCGATGATGAGCAACAGAAATCACAATCTCAGCCCGCAAAGGCATGTGTTTCTCAAATTTAAACCGTCCAACGGATTCTCTGGACTATTCTAAGTTCCAAATTCGATATCTAATCTTTCATAATTGTTTTCTCTATCAACCGCGATCAAAGTCAGCTGAGTCAGCAGTGAAAAAAAAAGCCGCCCCTCCAGAAGTTTTCATCTTTGATAATTCGGGTTCCAAAAGTGCAAACCCCGGAAATATCATCTACAGATAATAATCTATAAGATAGGTTATTCTTGAACATGGCCACTGTTTCTGATACTTACAAAGGTCTGTCTTCTCATATGCGACCTCAATTGCACTGTGTCTTCCCCGCCATGCCCCGCTATAGTTCTAGAAACCGTCGATTTGAATGCAATGCGCACATTGATAATTGAGCGTTTGTGGTTTAATAACAAATATTCTCTCTAGATCCCGTCTATATCGGCGTTATTGGCGGCACTGGGCTAAGCGAGCTTCCTCATTTCACTAAAGTTGCGTCTCTCGATCTCACAACGCCATGGGGTGAACCATCCTCGCCGGTTTCAATCCTGCATCACACCTGTTCCACTACCGGCAAGGTCGTTCCAATTGCATTCATCAGCCGACATGGCCTTCACCACCAGCTTTCTCCCCATGAAGTTCCCAGCCGTGCAAACATTGCTGCTTTACGATCTATCGGAGTACGAAGTGTTGTTGCATTCTCCGCTGTCGGTAGTTTGCAGGAAGAGATTAAGCCCAGAGACTTCGTTGTCCCCGACCAAGTGATTGATCGAACTAAGGGAGTCAGGCCGTGGACATTCTTCGAGGATGGAATTGTAAACCATGTTGGATTTGCCGACCCATTCGATGAGAAAATGGCCAAGGTCGTAAGGGCTTGCGGACACAGCCTGGAGGGAGAAGGTGTCGTCCTGCACGACCGTGGTACTTTGATATGCATGGGTATGTTTCTCCCTTTTTCCGTTCCTACCCCTTTTGGATACCCCTGTATTGCTTTTTTTTCCATTCTCCGGGGTTCCTCCGGAAGAGAGCAAACAAGTGCTAACATTGTTTTGCTATGCGACTGTAGAGGGCCCCCAGTTCAGCACTCGCGCAGAGAGCAACCTCTACCGCAGCTGGGGCGGCAGTGTTATCAACATGTCCTGCTTGCCAGAGTCCAAATTAGCACGTGAGGCAGAAATGGCATATCAGATGATCTGCATGTCAACCGATTATGACTGCTGGCATTGTGGCACGGAGGATGTCACCGTGGAAATGGTCATGGGCAACATGAAAGCAAACGCTGTGAATGCCAGAAACTTCATCAGTGCCGTCTTAGACGAGTTGACCAAGGACGAGCACGAAGACCTTGTCAAGGGAAAGCACCTTGCAGGTAGCGCGAAGTTAGGCCTCAGTACGAAACCCCAGGAGATCAGTGCCTCAGCGCTGGCTAAGATGGCATGGCTATTCCCCGGTTATTTCTCCTAGTGGTGTCCTTTTTTTGATGACTTCGGGACAACTTCACCCGGACATAAGGGTTTGTTAATTCCCGAAGGGACACCGCCATACAAGGGTCCGTTTGGAACCATAATATTTTGTCTATGGGGGTAACAACTGCTTTGTGTATATACTGTAACTGTCACCCCTTTCTCTAACCAACCATTAGATAGTAGGCTTTCAGCATAGAAATGGCCTTGATAAAAGACTATGCCTAGTTAAAATAGCACGTAACCCTTATATATTCACTAGTATCGCCTGTATTTCCTGCGAAGAAAGCCCCCTTCATAAGGAATCTTCTAGGGCTCATCCGCACCTAGATTGCCTTAATTATCAGAAACGTTGAAGGCCGGAAGGGTCCACTTTCTATATTACAATATGGGGCACGATGTAGGTACTGGGTTTACTACAGCTAGCTGGTTCAAATTGCGATTGCATGGCAATTCATAAGTGCGTGTAGTACTCCATAAGCGTGACAGGGTTGACAGGGTTGATACCTAGGTAGGTATCAAACACATGATGCCGAAAAACGAACCTCAACCATTAGTCCATGCCGCTTATTTTTCTGACGACTGACTATTATACTATGTACGTAGTACCGAACCAAGGATCGGGAGTAACCTTCTATCTCTCTCCGCGTTGACTGGCTACACTTTGTGAGATCACATTTGAACCGGACAAGGGGCTACGGTGATGATCAGCATACGGCTGCAGCGTGATCAACCAGTTCTAGGCTTGGTGGCCGGAGGCAAGTCATCAGCCTTTTCCCCGGGCATGATCATATATATAGCTGGGGATGTAAATACTCCTCGGACCCCGTAGAGTAGCAGCTGTGTTATTCTTCAGCTATATATTATATTCTGCGAATGCGCATGGTTATATACGATGTCGTTCGTTGGTGATATAAGGAAGATACTTCTCCATCTTCTTCTTCTCCTCTCCTTCGTCTCTGCTGAGACCCATAACATACATGCTGATGTTCCACCCGGCTATGAGTCGCCTTCTTACTACCCTACCCCCAAGGGAGGCTGGATCCCGGAGTGGGAGGCTGCATATGCAAAAGCCGCTGTACTCGTCGCCAATATGACACTTGCAGAAAAGGTGAACTTGACCACAGGAACAGGAATCTTTATGGGCCCTTGTGTCGGTCAGACAGGCAGTGCTCTAAGATTGGGCGTACCAAAGCTCTGCCTTCAAGACGGGCCCCTGGGACTGCGGAATACAGACCACAACACGGCTTTCCCTGCTGGAATCACTGTTGGGGCGACTTTCGATAAGAAGCTCATGTACGAACGTGGTGTCGCTATGGGTGAGGAGTTTCGTGGAAAGGGCGTGAATATTCATCTAGGTCCCTCGGTTGGGCCACTTGGGCGTAAACCGCGAGGTGGCCGAAACTGGGAGGGCTTTGGTGCTGACCCTTCACTCCAAGCCATCGGCGGTGCCCTGACTATCAAAGGTGTTCAGAAGGCTGGTGTAATAGCAACGGTGAAACATCTCGTGGGAAACGAGCAGGAAATCCATCGGATGACCAACGTCGTGCAGCGTGGATACTCTTCTAATATTGACGACCGAACGCTGCATGAATTATACCTATGGCCGTTCGCAGAGGCTGTCAGGGCTGGTGTTGGAGCATTGATGATGGCGTATAATGACGTATTGCTTCCTTTTTATAACCATTTTGTCGCTATTAGATTTTGTCGCTATTCGAGGCGCTGACAGTTGTTTGACAGGTAAACGGCTCTACCTGTAGCCACAATAGTCTTTTAATCAACGGAATCCTGAAAGATGAACTTGGCTTCCAGGGGTTGGTCATGAGTGACTGGTTCGGCCAAATTGGTGGAGTTTCCTCCGCTCTATCAGGGCTTGACATGGCTATGCCTGGTGATGGCCCAGTCCCGTTAACGGGCACCTCTTATTGGGCATACGAGCTTTCGCGGTCAATCCTTAACGGGACTGTTCCTTTGGAGCGGCTAAATGACATGGTATGGAATTATCCACCAGCCAACATTGCGTAGTCATAATAAAAACTCTGGATGATCTGATTTTTTTTTTTTCATTTAGGTCACTCGAATCGTTGCAACCTGGTTCCAATTCGGACAGGATAATGATTTCCCGGAACCAAATTTCTCAACCAATACCCAGGCGGAGAAAGGACCTCTTTATCCTGGGGCCGTATTTTCTCCGACAGGAATAGTAAATAAGTTTGTTGATGTCCAAGGGGCTCACAAAGAGATTGCCAGGGCCATTGCGAGAGACGGTATCACACTTGTGAAGAACGAAGATAATCTGCTCCCTTTAGAGACAAACGCCTCATTGGTAGTGTTTGGAGAAGACGCAGGCACAAACCCAAATGGGATTAACTCCTGCGCTGACAAAGGCTGTAATAAGGGCGTTCTTACGATGGGTTGGGGTAGTGGAACTTCCAGGCTGCCTTACTTGAGCACTCCTGAGGAGGCTATCAAAAATAGGTCGACCACTGCCAAATCCTATATCACGAACAGATTCCCTTGGAATATTCAGGTGAAACCCGAAGATATTGCCATTGTCTTTGTTAACTCCGACTCCGGCGAGAATTATATCACCGTTGAAAGAAACCCTGGTGACAGAAGCTATGCTGGGTTGGAGCTCTGGTACGGAGGGGATACTCTGGTCCAAGAAGCAGCCAAGAAGTTTTCAAATGTTGTCGTTGTTGTGCACACTGTTGGGCCGACCCTTCTAGAGAAATGGATCGACCTACCTACAGTAAAAAGTGTTCTCATTGCTCATCTTCCTGGGCAAGAGGCAGGTAATGCTGTTGCAGATATTCTATTTGGCGATGCAAGCCCTAGTGGTCATCTTCCATATACCATCCCCAAGTCAGAGTCCGATTATCATCCAAGCTCTGCGCTTATCGATAAACCCTTTGAGCAGATCCAGGATACTTTTGTCGATGGATTATTCGTCGACTACCGCCATTTCCAAAAAGAAGGTAAACCAGTCCGTTTCCCGTTCGGGTACGGGCTTTCATACACATCATTTGGCTTCACAGAGGCTACCTTAGCTGCTGGAGTTCGACTGTCCCAGTACCCCCCTGCCAGGATTCCTAAGGGCACGACACCAGTATACTCTCATAAAATCCCGGACCCCTCGGAAGTGGCATGGCCTAAAGACTTCACGAAGATATGGCGCTACCTGTATCCATATCTTGATAACCCAGCTAGTATAAAAGCGGATTCAAGTTATACTTATCCAAAGGGGTATCAGACCACGCCGCAGCCAGACCCAAGAGCCGGAGGCTCCCAAGGAGGAAATCCAGCTCTCTGGGATATAGTATGCACGGTTACTGTCAAAGTCAAGAATACGGGTCAGAAACCTGGCCGTAGCGTTGCCCAACTATACGTCGAAATACCAGCCGACTTGGCTCCGAACACGCCCAAATTGCAGCTCCGTCAGTTCGAGAAGACATCAAACCTCGTTCCTGGACAAGAAGAGGTATTAAAGATGGAGCTCACGCGAAAGGATTTGAGCATTTGGGATGCGGTGGCTCAGGATTGGAAGGCCCCAGTCGATGGGAAAGGAGTCAAGCTATATATTGGTGAGAATGTTGAGGATTTGCACATCGTGTGCGAGATAGATTCGGGGTCATGTAGAACAGTTTCATAGCGTATTTTAAATGATTTCTTTGTATCTATAATAATATCCTTAGCATAAGATACAAAGTTGTCCGTAATTAATCGTAGCAATGCATTTTGTAACCCGCTGATTTTGCCAGTCACGTGGTTCGGCGATGACGTCGAGCCCTAAAAAGAATCATCGATGAAGACATTTGAGTGCCTCGAGTAGATAGCTTTACCAGCTATCCTATACAGTATTGAAAGGGCCCCCCTGATAGCTACTTTGATATAGGCAACACACTATAACTTCTAAGACCATGCAAGGCTTCAGTGAGTGTTCTCCAACATGGGCATTTTTTATCTTGAGGGACAGTTATTGACTTGACTTTTTTTTTTAGATATGGGACGGTATGTTCTTGACTCTTTCTTGACTGTTGCCGAATAATTATGGAAAATTAAAGGAGGCTAATTATGGCGCAGATATGTCCCTCCGGACCACGAAGGGGTTGTCTCCGGAAACCAGCTCGCTGGCAAACATGCTCTTGGATCTCGAGCCCGAAACTTGCAGAAAACAGGAGAGCTCACGGTGAGATTTGAGATGCCGTTTCCTATTTGGTGCTCGACTTGCAAGCCGGCAGAATCTGTGATCATTGGGCAAGGTGTGCGATTTAATGCACTTAAGAAGAAAGTCGGAAATTATTATTCGACCCCTATATATAGCTTCCGCATGAAGCATAGCGTATGTGGAGGTTGGATAGAGATTCGAACAGATCCCCAGCACACCGAGTATGTGGTCACGGAAGGAGCCAGACGCAAGGTCATAGCAGAGATAGGGAAAGGAGAGTACGAAGAGACTTCTACCGGGGCTGGAGAGATTCGAGTACGGATGCCTGGAAATAATGAGGAGAATAAGACGCTAGATCCATTCGCAGCTCTAGAGGGGAAGGTTATAGATAAAAATAAATATATGACGGAAAAGATGCGGATGGAGGAGCTTTTGAGGCGACAAGATCGAGACTGGGAAGACCCGTACGAAAGGTCAAGAAAACTGAGAAGAGCATTTCGGGCGGATCGAAAAAAGCGAGAAGCAACACAGTCTGAGACAGAGGCGCTGAAAGATAAATTCAGCCTAGGGGTTGATTTACTGGATGAGACGGAAGGAGATCGTATACGTGCTGGAGTGGTTGAGTTTGGGCAAGGCGATAACCAAACTGATTTCTCTCTCTCTTTACCATCAAGCCTTCGAATAAAACCTCTTTTTGGAGGCCCTAATCACAATAAACAGGAAATCCGCACCAAACCTGGTCAACAGAAGAAACGAAAGAAGGTGAGAGATGTTGCTGCAGAGAAGAAGGCTTTATTGCAGCAAGATTTGAGAGGCAATACAAGGGCGGCAATAGACCCGTTCCTTCTGATGGATGAAACGATGTGGCAGCAATTACCGGGAATCACGAAGAGGAAGAAATCAAACAAAGTGATCAACGAGATATCAATCGAGAGTAGGGAAGAGGGGCATAGTGATGGAGCCAGAAAGAGTAAAGGGGCAGCAGAGGGTAACGGCGGCTTGCCCAGCAATGAGTGCCTAGGCAAAAGTAGTGACTCCCTTCCAAGGACACCATCGGATGTGCAAAAAGCACGGAAACCTCTCGTGGCTGGACTTGTGGATTACGGATCGGAATCAGATTAATATTCTGTTGAAATAATATATACGCGCTGATTTGCATTGGATGGAGTTGGATGACCATATCACTTACATGATACCTGATACCCTTATATTAACGCTCATTATTTTCATAAACAGCCCTTTCTTTTCTTTTCTTTTTTTTTTTTTTTTGTGCAGCAGGGACGTATTCTGTTATTTTGCATGTAACTACTTAGGTTCTAGCAGTTATAAGTTGCTTGGGTCCAACCAACATGATATCCCGGTCAACGAGGGTTACCTATCAGATGTGTTGGGGGGAGATATAAAAGGCTCTCGAGGCGGCAGATTTCGCTGTTGGCTACCTTGGGTGGCCCACGGGGCTCTTATAGCTGGCATCTGGTTAAATAGTGGTGCTGTAGGGGTAGCGTGAGCTGGGTTATTTTCACCCCGTGAATCCCTCATTCTAATACCCGTAGGCATTGAAGCCCAGGGGGCTCGGGTTCCCATATCTGGCTGAGGGGGAGGAGGTGCTGGCATATGTGCCGGAGTCTGTGGCCCACTTGATGTATGAGCAGACGGTACTGATGGGGTAGCATTTGGGTCTCGCTCCCAAACAAATAACGATCCAAAGGGAAAATGCTGCACAACCGGGAATTTAGACAGGACTTCTGCATTATACATCTTGATCATACCCTGTTGTACAGATTATTAGTGAGAAACAGGTTTCCATTTGGCTAGAGTTAATTGTTTACCTTATTTATCTTTCCCCAGCCGTCTTTGATTCCGGAAATGTCATATAGCATAGGGCTATGTTCCCAAAATGGGCCTTTCTTGACATCATGGATGAAGCCGATCGCTGAAAAATACATATTTGATTTGCGCTCTTTTTCAACTATGTTTCGTTTGGCGATATCGCCTGTGGAGGGAGCATTTGGCAAGGAGCCTTCGGTGGGTGTTGGGTCAGCAGGTGTTATTGCTGGAGATAATTGAGCAGAGCCTAAAATGTATGAGATGAATGAATGATCATCTAGGCCCCAGACGCCATGAGAGCCTGCAGGCTCTAGTGTGTAAGTCAAAATTAAGCGTCGAATGAGCCGAAGATATCTACCTCACGGATATTAGCCTTCAAGCAAAACTGCGATGCGGTTGTCGGGGTGGCATACGGTTCAATAACTCCTATAACTATACCTCTTTCTTCCACACCAGGGTCTGCTCGAGCAAATCCATTCAGTTTCCAAAGGCATGCCAGAAAAGCTAAAAAGCTAAGTTCATGACCTGTTCCATAATCAAGTCTTTGTGAACTTCCAAAGCTGCCGGTTAAATAGGCCATAAGCTCCTCCTTGGCCGTTACTGTTTCCCCATCCTCAGACTTCTGCTGAAGAATCTCTGGAGGTAAACATTCATCCATGATGGTGGCGGTACGAGACTCCATCTCCTCACACCATTTTCGAAAACTGATATTCCCAAACCGACGAGGTCCAGTATCAGGGGCTACCTCGTCAATGAGGGACTCTAGTTTTGATAATAGCAGCTGTAAACGACGGACGGGCTCCGAAAAGTCAATGGAGTCGGAATCCAGTGTCCATACTTCCACATTCGAAGAGCCACTTTCTTTGCCTGGTATTTTAGAAGGGAACATGCAGCGGTTTAGCTGTAAAATAAATATCATGATATCTCTGTAGGCGACAGAAGATAAAAATGTCTCCACATCTTGATGGTCGTGAATCTTTTTCATCGGCTTGATAAATGTGTGCAGTGTATTTGGGTCAAGTCGCGGTAGCGACGCTACGGCTGGTGCCGTGTTCATTGTGGTATCAATTTATGCTCGAGGCCACTCGGGTTGTAGCTCGTGAAAATAGTCGCGGGGTTGAATGAGCTGAAAAGCAATGACGTTGATGTTAGTAAGCGCCTGTCGCGTTTTAACCCTCTTAGCGCGTCTTAAGCTTAAAATAAAACAAAGCTCCTGATGTGATGAACACTTGTGCTACATACATTTGTAGACAGACTCAGATGGAATAAGCCTAAGCCTACTCCAGAGCACTGTTGTACTGAACATCATGCGCAGAAGCAATCGCATTTTAAGAAGGCATGATGATGATGATGATGATGATGTTGAAGGACCCTCTGCACAGCTCTCCTTTGACTTGAAGACAATCGCGAAACGATCAGCTGCGAAACGCATTGGTTCCGCACTGATTAAACAAGCTGAGACACTTGGGGAGACGCCTACTCAGAAACCTACTCATACCACCGTAGGCATATCCCTCAATAGCATATCGCCTGCTGATAGCGATATTGGTACCTTGCGGGGAAAACTAAAACGCCCACGACGAAATCAGGAGCGGAGATTAAAAAGTAGCTCTGAGGACATATACGATGTTGATGAAGCTCCACTGAATGCTGTTGAGACAAGGGATGGGGCCTCAGCCCATTCTGGGTTTACACCCGATACTGAATCTAGTGATGATGAGCCTAGTAGCTCATATGTGGAATGTGAGGATGTTATCGGATTGCAACACCCACCAGATATACCACCTGAGGTGCCTCTCGTGATGATTGAGAAAGCACCGGTCGCAGAATTTAAAGAGATGGCTACGGGGAGAGATGGTGTTGCTACATCGGACGGTAGTGGAAAGCAGGATGAAGTATTGGACAACGGGCGGGCTGATCCGCCGTCTAACTTGACGGAACCTAAGGGAAACCCAATGTTTGAGAGTGAATATGGGCCTACAAGCACGGATTCAGATGAAGATGAGGACGAGGATGTGGACGAGGATGAGAACGGAAGAGAAGATGTACTGGAAACTCTGGAACAGAAAGAAGTGGTGCTGCCGAAAGATGCTTCCGAGGATGACATATACTTGGAAATTTCAGATACAGATGTCTACACTGAATATGGTCTTCGAGATGATTCGACCTTCTGGGATGCTTCTAAAATATTCGATCAAGAGCAGAACTGGCGTGAACTGATTTCCGAGGCGAAGAGGCTGATAAAACAAACAAACGGCCTAACTACTGGGTCTACAAAGGATCTGTTCCGGAGCATTTCAAATGGAATTGACACTTATAAGGAGAGCATCGATTCAAAAAACAAGAATCAAAGCTTTAACTATTTAGAGGCAGAACACAGCTCTACCGCCAGCATAGAAAGACAGGTTTCCCAGGTCTTGATCGATCTATATCCATATAATGTCGATTTGCCAAAAAACCTATCAAAACTCACATCTACCACTCATGAAGTGGCTACTGACACCATCCCTGGGATGGTTGGACTCTTGCAGTGGTGCCTGGTGGCGCATTATTCCAATGACAGCGTTACTGCTGAAGGAATAGACCAGCTGACGCGATTATTGGATTCCCTCGGCAAACTTTGTGAAGCAGTCCAGGCAGAGCCGCCCAGACCAACTCCTGAGCTTGCAGATAAGCTTAAAATTACAAGCGTGCTTGTTCGGTTTATGTCCTACGTGTTTAGGCACCAGCAGCTCAACACGCGGAAGCCAGCAACCACGCAGCCTCTGATCGGGCGGCCCCAAAACTTAGGGCAACATCACGATGAGCATGAAGCAGGTTTGATCGAATCAGAAGCGTCTATTACTGCCTTGCAAGAGAAATGCCCCTGGAGCAGGGCGGAGAGCGAAGCCCTCTTTGACGCCCTGCAGAAATATCGAGGTATGTTGGGCTACTTTTTCAAGCTGATGAGGTACTAACGAAAGACGTGTTTCTTGCGGTGAACAGGGCCAGAACGATATAATTTAATTCTCAGAGAGCTAAGGGACGTCCTGGGCCATCGTAGCGTAGAGGAACTGAGAGAGAAGACGATGGAGACACGGGCTGGACTGTTAGCTCTGCCTGATGAAAAGCGGCCTCATTACAGCCAATGGAGCTTCCTTGACCAGTGAACAAGGTACTTTAGTGGCAACCTTTTCAAAAAAGAAAAAGGAAAAGATGGATGTACAAGAGCATATAGTCCTATATTGCCCTGCATGATGACGATGAATATTACTACCCCACAAAAAAAGCACCCGTCTGACGTTTGGTCCAAGACTGCAAAATAGGCGATAGACTTGGGCACCTGCAGCTTGCGGTCAATCAGGTTCTGTGACAGACATGGATCTCGCCTTATTCTCTTAGGCATCAAATCAGAGCAGCTTGACGATTAACGGCCCAAATAACGATGTGCATGGTTGACCGAAAGAACTGTGTTACTGGAACCACGACAGGCCAACTCCACCGTCCGCTTATATCTCCCTCCCCCCCGCCTCTCTCCCTCTCTCTCTCTTTGAGTTCATCTCCTGTTGTTATCAATCTTGACTCTGCTGGCACTTTCTTCTATATATATAAATCAAAGTCGAAGAAGCAGAGGAAAAAGTGAAGGTCAGGAAGTAGCATCACATGACCGGAATATCATTCTGCCGTCTCCGGTACAGACTCCCGCCGGATCCAGAAAAATAAAAAACGGTTTCAAGGTTAAGAAAGCCACTTTTTCCTTCGTTTCTACTCTTTAAGCCGTGGGGATTTCGTTGTTCGTCGGCTTTACCCCTTTTTCTCCTTCTCTTGCTCTCTGCCTCTGTCTATCTTCGCACTATTTGCTTTGTTCTATTGCATTGTTACTTTCCAGAGCGTTCTTGTAAGTACTTCTCCAGAGCTTGTGTCCATTCTTCACACAGGGGACAAGGGAGGTCCGATGGCCCCCCCTGTTTATAAGCTTGGATTAAAGGGGGAGAGTCTCCTGCTTCAGCTTCAATATAATTGCTCCTCCGTTCTATACTATGACCATTTGTACTGACTTAAAGGCTTGGGAATGATCTAGGAGAAGCTTATCTTGTGAGCTTTTGTTTACTACCAGAACTACCCTAGAGGTGGACGGCTCCTCGTCTAATAATCCTAATACTACAAACCCCCGTACAACACGCAGGCCGGTTCTTTTTAAAACTCATTATTGGTCAGTGAATCCAGATATGCCCAGGAGTTTCACAGTACTATCCCCTTGGGCATTGTGTTTGGGCTTGAGGTGGTGGGCTGTATGGCCGCTTCCCCTCATAACTACTCTGATTCCGGACATTCGAAGAATTTAATACACATCTGAAACTAACTGGATACTCTCTATTCAGGTCTTATTAAGCCTGCATTCAGTTAACCTCAGCTTCAGACCTTCCTCCGGAAACCAATATAGCCTACCAGCTTAGCCGTCAATATGGCCTCCATTGAAGACCCGGTTCCGGTTGGGGATATCATAGATGCACCTGTCGCCACCGAAGAGCCGGTCACTGATCAAGAAGAAGCTCAACAATCGGTTCCGGAGCCTATGGAGTCTCCTACAGGGGATGCACCCTCTGGAAAAGACGAGCCTGTTACCTCCCCAGCACGGAGCCAGGCATCATCAACAGGGCAAAAACGTTCGTTGATGGCTGGTGGCCCAAGGCGTCCTGGTGCCACCACCACTACTACCACACGAACCACAAAACCGCCAACTACGACAACAGGCCGGTCGGCCGCAGGGAGCACGCTGAGCAAACCCCCAATTCGCCCTACTGCCAACACGGCTACTCGGAAGTTACCAGGTTCGACGGCTCTTGGCTCTACCACGAATACTACCCGCGCATCTCGTATGTCTATCGGTAGCTCGGCCGATGAACGGGCCAAGGCAGTTGCTAGCTCTGGTGATGAGTCTCGGAAGAGTGGGATGTCAGGAACTGCAAAAAGGGCTTCAATGTCCGGAACGTTGGGCTCTCGAACTTCGGCTACTACAAGACCATCCGCTACTTCTACCGACAGGAGGTCCTCCATAACCCCTGCAGCAGAGAGGAAACCAACAACCTCCCGTCCGTCTACTGCGACCTCACAGACCCCAACAAAGCCGATTGCTAGATCCGCTGCAGCTGCCTCCACCACCCCTAGAACTGCCAGGACCATTTCTACATCTGCCAAAGCACCAGTTAGTACCGATGCTGCGAAGAGGCGAATCGGAACGTCAGCTTCCCCCTCCGTCACCAGGAAAACGACTGGAGCTCCTGCACTGGATGAGGGAGCGGAGAATGACAAAATAGCTGAATTGGAGTCCCAGCTCGCCGCTAGCGAGGCCAAGCTCGCTGAAGCTCAGGCCAAGGTCACAGAGCTTGAAAAAGCCGGCGAGGATAGCTCTAAACACGAAGAGTTGGCGGAATCTTACGCCCAGGAAATAAAAACCTTACAAGGCAAGCTAGAGGAGGCAGAGACTAAATACCAGGAAGCGGTTTCGCGATCAAGCAAGGAAATCGAAGAAGTCAAGCGGGAGGCTGCTGACTTGGGAGAATCTAAAAGCACCGAGGTACTTAACTTACAACGCGCGGAGCACGATGCTGCCGTTCAAAACCTTGAAGCTGAACTTGCTACCAAACGCGATGCTGTTGCTGAGCTAACAAGCAAGGTTGAGGCTTTGAATAAGGAACTAGATGCGGCGACAAAAAATGCTGAGCAGTTAAAGGAGGCCGAGAAGGAAACCACCGAGGCCCTCCAGCTGAAATTGAATAATCTTGAGGAGGAACTTAGCTCAAGTAAGAAAGAGTTAGAGTCTGCCCAAGAATTGTCTACTCAAAACTCTACTGCCTTAGAGGAGAAGGTTGCTGCTCTTGAGAAACAGCTGCAGGAGGCTAAATCAGAGGCAGAAAAGGGGTCCGCCAACACAGCCGAAGCTATTCTCGAGAAGGAAGAAGAGATTAAAAAGTTGAATGCAGCAATCGAAGCGCTACAGAACGACATCCTTGAGTCTCACCAATCTAAAACCAATGAGCTTGAGCAACAGAAAGTGGAATTGAAAGCTGAGCATGATCGTGCCCTGGCTGAGATGGTAGCAGGACATGATGTTGCAGTTGCGCAGCTGACAGCTCAATATAACACCGAGCGCAGTGAGGTAGAGACCGCAACAAGCACGGCAAAATCAGCTCTGGAGCAGGAACTCCAGAACTTAACTGAGAAACACGAGGCCGCCATATCAGAGCTGAACAAGAAGATCGAAGAGTTGACTGCCGAGAAAGCTAGCCTTAGCAGCCAGGCTGAGAGTTCCAAATCGACTTACGATGCCGATATCCAAAGCCTCAAGGTTAAACTTTCAGAGGCCGAGGAAGCTCTAGCTAGTGAAAAACTTGCTGCTGAGAAACACAGCGCCGGCGAGACAGCTGCGTCTGCTGAGATTGAATCCCTCAAAGCCACTATCCAGTCTCTTGAAGCGGAGCTTTCACAGCAGAAGTCAGCTGTCGAGTCATTAACGGCTGATTTAGAGGCTGAAAAGGCTCAAGTGACCGTCTTGCAGAAGGCCCTTGAGGCATTTGAAGCCGATAGCAAGGATAAAGATGAGCATCACGATAACATGAACAAGAAGCTCACCATCGAAATTGAGAATCTGAACAAGTCTCTAGAAGAAAAAACTCAGGAAATCAACTTAACCAAGGAGCAACATGCCGAAGCCCTTGAAGCCATTAAAACATCCCATGCGGACGACCTTGCTAAACATGAGTCCGATGCGGCTACATGGCAAGAGAAGATCAAAACCCTGCAAGAAGAGCAAGACAGGCTTCTTACCTTGAAGGAAGAAACTGAAAAGACTCATAATGATAAGATTGAGGCTCTCCAGGCTGACCATGCCCGACAAATTGAAGAACATACCACCAAATTCGCAGCTCTTTCTGAATCTCACAAAGCGAATGAGTCTTCCACGAAGGAGCTTGAGAACTCCTATGCCAAGCTAAAGGAGGAATTTGAAAATACCCTGGCGCAAACGAAGAACGAATTGGAATCTACTCACGCGAAAGGAGTTGAGGAACTCCTAGCTGCTCACGAAGAGAAACTCAATAATTTGAGAGCCGAGCATGATGCAAGTTCTGCCGAGAAACTTGCTGCTGCGGAAAAGTCACATTCGGAAACTGTTGCTGAGCTTCGGGCGGATCTTGAAAAAGCCAAAGAAGCTGCTGCTGACACATCAGCCATTGATGCCCTGAAAGCTGAAATCGCGGAATTGAAAGCGAACCACGCTTCCCAGGTGGAAGATCTTGCAAAGGAAAAGGCAGAACTAGAGGGACGACTTGATAGTGCGGGGACCTCTGCCAAGGACGCAGAATCGGCTCGGGAGGTGCTAGCTGCTAAACACGCTGAAGAGCTTGACGCAGCCCAGGCTGAGGCTACGAAGAATGGTGATGCCCATGCTACTGCGCTCCAAGAGATTAAACAACTCAAAGATGTTGCTGCCAAAGCCGAAACCGAGTTCCAGGAGACAGAAAAGAAATATTCCCAGCTTGAAAATGACATGGCTGCCTTGAGCGAGAAGAACATGGAAATGGTTGAGAAGATCCAGGAGTATGAAGCATCGGCAGCGAAAGCCAATAGGAAGATCCGTGAACTTGAATTTGATCTCAAAGATGCACAGAAGTCTGATACCCCTACATCGAACGGAGCCAGCAATGGCAACACTGGTCTAGGAGCCAGCAAGTGGGCTACAACAGGGGACGATGAAAAGCAGGAGGACCCAGTTCTACCTGCTATGGAAGGTGAGAAGCTTAGTTCTTCTATTGCGGGGACGGTGCGCGCACCTCATTTCCTATCCCTAAGTTCAAGCCCTTATCGTCTGTATCTTTGGGGATTTGGGCTGCTATGCCTTATCCTGCCATGGAGCCACTTTGGACTGGCTGCGTTTACCCTACCGCGCGGATTACGCTCTTTTTATCGACGATTTTGCTGACTATGGTATCTTCTCCGAGTATATAGGTGGCGAGCATTCAGGAGCAACTGCGGCAGCTTGAGGATGTGAATAGCGAAATGGTTGAAGATCGCGATAGGTATGGCATGCTCTGCCCTCACCCCTCATCTAGATAGGGCCTTACTGACTCTTTTCCTTGTAGGATTATCAACGCCCTTGAACATGCCACTCTAAGGGTGAAATCTGGCTCTCACAGTCCTGCCTTACCAAGCCCCAGTAATAACTCCAGCGAGGTTTTATCCGCGTAACCTCTCCGATGTTGATCTTCCTTGGACCCGGAATGCAGACCCAGGCGTCAAAATAAGTGGCTGTCTCGTCATGTCATCCATGTTGGGATGAGATTCCTATAGCCAATCGCAAAGTGTCTCGCTTTGGGCCTGACTTGTTCGTCTTCAACTACCTTTTTGCCTTTACTTGCCCCTGATCCCTTATAATATGCGTGAGATTCCCTTTGTTATGAGATACCTGCTCCCTTTTGTTTGTATCTTGATCAACCCTCCCCCATTATTAATTGTTCAATAATCAACATCTCCAATAATCTATTAGCACAAACGCCCGCCCGGATAGTTCCCCTATTAATGTGAACTACTCTCTGTCTATAATAATTCCCCAATACTTCTACATGTTGTCTACCCCACATATCCCTGTCGATGCCCATGTGCGAGCTGTACGTACACTACCATATAACATGCTAGTCTTGACACACCAAAAGAGTCTGTAGATGTTCGATCCATCTATGAATGCCTAATTTGGAAGTTTTGCCTCGGAAGCAAAGACGAGCCCGGAACAATATTAGCCCGAAGACCGAAGACGGTTTCTCCGACCTCATCAGGCGGAAAACTGACCTTGTGCTATACAGACGTGATATTATAACAACCTCTTGCATAAGTCACCCATAGATCTAACATCTAACAGGAGAAACAGCGATGCTGCTGGTGGATCTTATTTGCCAAGTAACTAGCATCTGCATAAGCGCACTCTGGCTTTACCGGCTGTGGCCTTGAACGCCTCGATGAACGAAAACGACAAGATTTTTTCCCTCCGGAGTGTATGTACCGGTTGAACGAAGATGGTAAAGCAGGGTTCTTCACCTGCTACTGGCCGCAGCCGACGGGGTGGGCGCAAGCGAAGGATCTCGTCGCCGGGCCCTTCAGCGAATGGAAATGACGACATACCCGAAATATATCAGGAGATGCTGAAGGAGTCTCAGTCTGTACCCCAAACCTTACCCCATAGGAATAACACCCCTCATAAAAGGCGGAGGGTTGGGGAGCGCGGGGAGAGCAAGGCTGTGGAATGTGCAAAAGATTCTGAAAGGGAGGACGAAAGCACTACAACCATGCCTCCGCAAACAGTATACGATCTTGACGCGTCCGAGGAAGAGTCAGAGCCTGAGTGGGAGGATGTTGAGCTTTCTGAACCTTCGGCTTCTTCCGTTTTACCATCCATGCTACCGGCTGGTCATGATGGTGAGCAAAAACCGTTGGAAATTACCCTCGGAAAGGAAGCAGATGCAGAGAAAACTAAGGCTATAATACGACGGAAACCTGTAACTGGTGCGGAAAAGAAGCTGCGGCTGGAAATACATAAAGTCCATATACTTTGCCTTCTCGGACATGTTCGACTTCGTAACTCTTGGTGTAATGACGAGGAGACCCAGGTATGTGTGTCTTTAATTTATAGAGTTATGCTGGCTAACGTGACATTCTCTCGTTTGAAGAAAAAACTGCGTCGGATACTTTCAAAGCATACCATTATATGTTTGAATCCTAAAGAGGATCTTCCGCAATTCACCCGGTCCACTACCTTTGCGGATGGCCTTTTGCAGTCGTCAGAAGCCTTTCGACGGAAATTCAAAGTCACAGAACCTGGGATAAGGAGACCGTATTGGCTGGAAGATTGCTCCGCGGCACAGGATCCAATTGTCTGATTTGCCTCTTTCCTTTAAAAAGAAAATATCATATTTTTCTGTATATGGGTTAAAACCGGCATACTAACAACCTAACAATCAGGAACAGGCCTTCCAAGGGAGTGCCGAAATCGTACAGTCAAAGATGGACTTTCGGAAACATGCTGGAATATTGCAGGGTTCGAGGGACTTAGGTGCCCAGTTCTTTTGTGCTATGCTACGAGGGGTTGGCGTAGATACACGATTGGTTTGTTCCCTCCAGACCCTACCCTTTACTGGCGTGGCCAAAGGGGAGTCTCCCAACAAGCGGACAAGAGAATACATAGTTTTATCTGAGGATGATGTTCCGAGTTCTAGTGTGAAAGCCGCACCAGATACTGCCACTTCAGATGCACCTCCGCGACGAAGAATTGGGCAGCCACAGTTCTCTTCAAACTATAGGAGAAGTCCCGCACCACAGGCTATAAGAGGTGTGAAAAATATATCCTTCCCATGAGTGCTAAAATTTCTTAACTACTAATGTCACCCTATCAGATGATATCTTACCAACTCCAGACTCGTCACATCCCGTTTTTTGGGTCGAAGTATTTAACCATGCAATACAAAAATGGGTATGTGTTGACCCTCTGGTTACGAACACCGTCGGCAAACCTGCGAGGTTTGAGCCGCCAGCAAGTGATAAATACAATAACATGACCTATGTAATTGCCTTCAATGAAGATGGATTTGCGCGAGATGTTTCCAGGCGATACACAAAATCGTTTAACTCCAAAACAAGAAAATCCCGAGTTGAATGTACCAAAGACGGGGAAATATGGTGGAACGACACCATGCAAACGCTTGAGTCACCGTTCCCAGAGGACCGGGACCAACTAGAGCTCGGAGAACTGGCGGCCAAGGCTGCAGGCGAAGGCATGCCGAAGAGCGTGCAGGACTTTAAAAACCACCCGATATATGCCTTAGAGAGACATCTGCGGTGGAATGAAGTCATCCATCCAAAGCGTGAAATTGGGAAAGTTGGTTTGAGTAAGTTGTCGTTGAACAAAAAAGCTCCGCCCTTGGAATCTGTATATCGCCGGGCCGATGTCCATTCCGTTAAGAGTGCGGATGGATGGTACCGACAAGGGCGGAAGGTCAAGGCCGGAGAACAGCCGTTGAAGAGAACCAAAGCACGAGGCCAAGTGCGAAATGATGACGTCAATCCGGATGATGAAGAGGTCCCAGATACGCCAATGTATGCTGCATATCAGACGGAACTCTACGTACCAGAGCCAATTGTTGATAAAAGGGTACCAAGGAACGAGTATGGGAATATTGACGTGTATATACCCTCGATGGTTCCCCAGGGAGGCTTTCATCTTAGGCATCCGGATGCTGCTGAAGCCGCTAAAATATTACGTATTGATTACGCTGATGCCGTTATTGGATTTAAGTTTACGAAGCGCCACGGTACAGCGGTCATAGACGGAATTGTTGCAGCGACCGAGTATCGAGAAGCTCTTGAAGCTGTCATTATCGGGATCAAAGATGAGAGAAACCAGGCTGAGGAGGCTCGCCGGACAATGGCAGCCCTTCGCATGTGGAGACTGCTATTGATTAAACTACGAGTCCTTGAGCGGGTGAATAGTTATAGAGTTGAAGGAGTTGATCAAAGAGAAACGGTGCAAGAGGCGGATGAAGCAGAGGATCAAAGTGGTGGGTTTCTGCCTGAAGATGAGCTTGTGGCCCCGGCCCTGCCAACCGCCGATAGAAATAGGGAAGAGTCCTATACATTGCATGAATCCGTGGAACACAGCGATAGCCTACAGGAAGACATGGGCGGTGGTTTCATGGCAGAACCAGAGATATCACAACAGACTTCTGCAGCAATCGTCGGTAATAGTGTTCTAGAGGACGGGGGACAGGCAACACCTGCCTCTCAGTCGCGATATACCCTCGTCGTCATTCCAAAAGAGGATCATGATACACAGGAGCCGACTACCACATCAACTGAGCCTAGACGCGAAGGCACCGTAGAGTCTGGGAGCTCCCAATCTCTAGATTCAGCGTCGGTGACGGCCGATTCTCCTGAAGGAGAGGACTCGGGACTGCCTGAGCTGGTGCACGCTGATTCGGACAGTGATATAGATCGTAGCTCTATGATCTCCCACGACCCTGAGGACGACAATGCTGAGCCAGAGTGGCTGTTGTCTGATTGATATATGCCAATCTAACTGGATCAGCCACCTGGATCTGCTGACCCTGAGGCTGTACATACATCCTGTTATATATAACTTCTTGTCTAATTCTTTGAATTATTATCGCTATTTGATTGTTTAATAGTTATATATTACATAAGCAAGGCGCGTCGCGAAAAAAGTTCAATTTAAAGTAGAAAAAGCGATAAACTCGATGATTGTTCAGCGCCATTCTGTGACTCGACAAGGACTTGATGCTGGTGAAAGACTTGTTCTCACCATAGCAGCAGCCTCATGTTTCCGTTATGACTAGGCTAATGTCTGCCAGTACGACTGCTGCCGGACGGCCCGGCGCCTCCAAGCATCGGTTTGTTCCTCGCAGGAGAAGTTATCCATCACGAACTCGCAATCTGCAAAGGCAGCATCGCCTTGCTCTCGGTGGGAATACCAGGAGCCAGAAGACGTTAACACAACTTAACTTTGTTCTGTCGCCTCATTCGGATAATGAGGATGAAAGCTTACAACTCTTTGAGGGGGAGGCTGCACGCGATGAAAGGTCCGGGGGCTTACCACAAAAGAGAAAGACGACGATTAATCATGGCAAAAAGAAGAGACGGCATGAGGATTCCGTTAGAGCTGATAGGACGTTAACGCAGATGGTAAATGTTGACTGGGCTCTCCGCCGTCCCGAGGCTGCCATCCCCGAAGAGAGTAATGCCAGACACGCTCGGAAACGCCGTGACACGGAGATGGAAACCATTCCAGAAGAAGCTGAAAATACTGTGAGCGAAGATGTTTTATCTGGGCCATCAGCAAGCAGTCCTAAAAGTGAGAGTGAAGCCAGGCTAGAAGTCCCTTCAGGGACGTCAAAGTCAGACCGGAGGAAGTCCAAGGAAACAGGCTCTGAGAGTGGCCAGATGCTACCACCGCCTAATCCTATTACGCCCCGAAAACATACACGATGGATTATCCCTTCGTCTCAGTCCCCAGAGAGCCCCGAAATTACGTTAAACAGTCCAAGAACTCCAAAGAGCATAAGGAATAGCCCTGTTCGGTGGCCGCCGGTTTCCCCTACAGCTCTGCTCTCTCCATCACCTAATAAACATAGGAGGTCATTACTCAAGTTTGATGTGAACGACTATGACTCGCAGATTGTGCCTGGAGATGGTTTCCTTGCTGATGACACAGCTCCAGAAAGCCCAACCTCTGTTCTCTCCTCCCCAAGAGCCATCTCTGATCCATCCGTATCCTTCAAAGAGGATATCAAATATCGGTTAAATGCCGCCCATATAGAACGAATAGTACAGGATCACCAAACGCAGGAGCCAAACCAACAGGAAAGTATTGTTTATGAGACAGATGGCGAACTAGATCCCGAATCCCTCGACGATGAAGCCGCACAACTTCCTGAGATTAATGGTACGAGGAAGCATGGAAATCCGGGAGATGACCAGGACGCTCCCCAACTAGTTCCCGAAAGTAACGACAACCAATCATCTCAAAACTTTCCTGCTTCAACATATATATCCGACACAATGTCACTGTGTTATACACGCCAGCCGACGAGCTATGCGTTCGAAAAGTTTCATCCTCCACAACATCTCTCAACCAACGTAAAAGATGTACCTGAATCGGCACAGGGTACAGAGGTCAATGAATCCTCTCAATCTAACCCTTTGTCGTCTTTCTACTCTGATAACCAGGAGATGCAATCCAGATCAGCAGCTCTACCGATTGATAAGGAAAACAGCTCCGTCCCCCAAAACGATAATGAGCCTGATAGTGGCCAGCAACCCTCGTCACCAGTGGTCCAAGTAGCATCATCCCAACGATCTGAAGTGGAAGTTCCTAGCTCGCAGACCTTGGCTACTGAAACTGAGCCACGGAGGATTATCACCTGTAGTCAGCTTCTTACCGAGAGCCTGATGGAAAGTATACCTGGACCACCTGCTTGGATTTCAGGCTCCCACAGTAATGACCTTAATGACCTTAATGATTATGGCTCTGAGCGACCTTGAAACTAGCCTTATTTCCCTTGCTCCAACTCTCACCGTTCAGCGAATTTATGTTTTGCTCAGGGCCAACACTTGCATTATACATACACCTATGTTATTTCCTCCCTTAGACATCATAATGATAAATTTAGTCATTGAAAATATATTTTGGTGAAATTGCTATTCAAAATTGGACTCACATCTTTGGTGGTTTCTGGGGTGGTGTCTCAGTAAGAACTAACTTAGCAACAGGGGCAAACATCAAAAAGCCTAACCATGTGATGTGAACTCGACCTCTATTATCTACAACGAACCAACGACGGCAAACCGCACATTCGACTTACAACAGCATCTTGTTTGCTTCTGAACGTCGACCTTCTACTTTCCTCACACCCAAAAGAGCCACACATGGTCTTACTCCAGCTATGGATGTAGCGTACGACCACATCCAAGAGGAGAGTCTCGCTTCCTCTGGCAACCCCCATGATTCCGATAATCCCGGCGAGCCATCCTCATCCAGCCAGAGGCAAGATCTCACCAGCGAATTCCAGGACTCCTTACGTGTGCTATCGGCCCAGCCATGGGGTGCCCGTCTTGGTGGATTGTGGAGTAACGTCCGAAAACAAGGAGAGACGTACTACGAGGGTGCTCGCCAGGAGTACACGGCTGCGAGTGAGGAGGCAATCAGGGGGTTTACAGGCTTGAGAGCGACCTTAATCGACCGAACAAGAGGTCTTTCGATTAGTGGACTAAATGCGAATGATGAGACGGACGAAGCCACTGGAGACCGAGACGAGACGTCGACTGCTGATGACGCTGCAACCATAAAGCCTAGCGACAAGGCAGGATCTGGGAGTGATAATACCGAAGTAGATGGAGAAGGGCTTATTTCACGGTTTCGTTCTGAGGCTGCCAAACGGTTAAAGGACCTTGAGAGGGCCGAAGACGCAGCAGACGAAGCTCTTCTCAAATTTGGCACCAACATTCGAAACTTCCTACGTGACGCCGTTAGTGTCGCTCCACCCAGTTCCACAGACGAGAAGACGGATGGCAAGATGTTATTCGAGAGCAGGGACTCGGATGGCAAGAGGGTTATTCACACCACTCGCTTTGAAGCCCAGCTTCATGCCATCCATTCAAGCCTAGAAGGCTTCACAGCAGACCCTTCCAGCGAAGAGTGGGATACGTTTAAGGGCGAATTTGAAGTTGATAAGAAGACAGAAGATATTGCGACAGACCTGGAAAAATATCCCGAGCTTCGTAAGGCGATGGAGGCACTTGTCCCGGAGAAAGTTGAGTATGGTGATTTTTGGCGTCGATATTACTTCCTCCGCCTCGTTATCGAGACAGAAGAGAGGCGACGAAGGGATCTACTGAAGGGTAAGACCTCATCCATTCACAACGTCATATTTATGATTTTACGCTAACCTAAGTCAAGCATCTACGGACGAGGACGAAGAGGTTGCATGGGATGAAGACTCGGACTCCGATTCCCCTGCCACCCCACAACCCGCGTCCCCATCCAAGCCATTGAGTAAACCTGCTACATCATCCAGCAATGAAAATTTACAGGTAGGAGAACCACGCCGTTCGAACGACCTGCAATCTCAAGCCGGGAGCGACGCAAGCTATGATCTTGTCAGTGGTACTACTAGCCATGCTCCCAGCAGTCCAAAGGAGAAGTTATCTGAGGCTCCAGCCAAGGTCGATGATAGCGACGAAGAAGACTGGGAATGATCGCATACATGTCTGTTTATCCCTTGGAATGCATTTGTTTTCAGTTTAGGTGATTTTTTTGGCGCATACGGACCTCTTTTCTCTTTTGGTTCAATTTCCTGTTCTTCTATAGCGATCACCTCCTAGTTAATTTGGTGATCAGCTTTGGCTTTGATATCCCGCAATTGTTGCTCTTACGAAGGATATTTTATATCTTGAACTAGTACATGAATGCTACCGAGATATTACTGCCCTTCTCTCTGATAATATCGCAGTATAGCATTATGATTTCTTTCTATGAAAGTATCCGGTGTCCGTCATAGATATGCCGAGCATCCTACCTTCATCTGACTTGACATTGAGCCACCTTGGTCAATAAGTGGGGGAATGCCTCGTATTTACATCTATATTAAGGCACAACTTCACATGATGCTAGTTCGATAATTACTTTTTTTTTGTCGAGGGGCTCAAGCTGTATTTCTCTGAGCATCTTGTAGAAAGAAAGCTTTGCAGCTAACCTCCGCATTCTGTGCAGGATTGCATTCTCTGTGCCATCCTACGTCACTCATTCAACTCGCGATTTCGAGTAACGAAATGGCTACTACAAATTTAGCTCTCAGGCCAGCGGTGTCTGCGCCAACCTCGAAGACACCTGCTTATAACTGTGAGATGTTTGACACCCTATACCATGGTACATCGCATTGCTTAGGGGAAAAAATATCTCTCTAGATGCTGCTATGATGGCAGAATTGCTACCTCACAGCAACGAACTTGAGTCTCAAGAAGAAACACACAATACCTGGACTATTGAAGATTGGGGCAGTTTACAAAAGAAAGAGCTTGGTAAACCATTTCAGTGTGGAAGCGGTTCTTGGTGAGCTTCCGCTCTTTGCTTGTGGCCTTTTATATAAATCCCGCCTCTATATTTACACCTCAATCAGGCAAATACTTCTATATCCCCAAGGAAACAATGTCGACAAAGTATCCATTTATTTTCAGCGGTACATCGACACTAGCTTGCCCTTGAAAGACTGGCACGCTTGTATTCAATTTGCTCTGGTTCTTTGGGATCCAAAAAATCCCTCAAAATATGTTTCCCATGGTTAAACATTTTCTACCCCCAGATATATTTCCCATATTGGTCTGGACATTCAACTAACTTGAACAAAAGCTGCCGCCCATCGATTCAATGCTGACGAGCCAGATTGGGGGTTTACAAGATTTTGCGAACGTAAAAAAGAATCGACAGCGCTGGAAGGGGCCAACTCTCCCTTTTTAGGTACAGACGGAGTCAAGATTACTGCCTATGTCCGAGTCATCAAGGACCCAAGTGGCTTATTATGGCATAACTTTAATAAGTATGCATCCCACTATGTTTTGTCTCCCACCGTTGTGTAGAGCTAATATAATATAGATATGACTCCAAAAGTGTAACGGGAATGGTTGGTATGAAGAATCTAGGAGCTACTGACTACCTAAGCTGTGTTATTCAGAACTTATACCATATTGCATTATTTAGAAAGGTTAGAATTTACGATTGGTCTATGGTTCCTTTTCCTAGCACAACGTTGGCTAACATGTAATAGACAATATATCAAGCACCCACGGCTATTGTTGAGCCAACGGACAAGGCTTGGGCACTGCAGCGTGTCTTTTGTTCTCTCCAGAAGGAGTCATCAGCAGTTTCTCCAGCAAAACTTACAGACTCCTTTGGCTGGAGAGCAATGCAACTTTTCGAACCACAGGATGCGCAGGAGTTCTTAACATTACTTCTCGATAGTGTTGCGGAAAGGCTCAAGATTACCCCATGCCGTGATGCCTTTAAGAATCTGTTCACTATCAAAAGCAGAACTAATTACTCCTGTGTCAAAGTCGCCTGTAAATGGTTCATGGAAGAGGAATCCATGCATATACGGCTAAATGTTCGGAAGTGCCGGACGCTAATTGATAGTTTTAAAGATTACACGTCGTCTGAGCTCATCAAAAACTACATGACTGGTGGCATAGTCGGAGAGCAAGATGTAACAAGGCATACCTCATTCGATCACCTTCCCTCCGTTCTCCCCATCTACTTGAACCGGGTGGAATTCGATATCAAAGCTAATGTGTTGAGAAAGTTGACGGACTATCATGAATTTCCAGAAGAAATTGATATGTCAAAATATCTTTCAGATGAAACGGATAGGTCTGAGCTGTGGAACTATATTCTCTTTGGTGTCGTTGTCCATGCAAGTGGCCGGTCTAATGCCCACTATTATACATTTATCAGACCAAAGCCTGAAGGACATTTCTACAAGTTTGACGACGACAGAGTTACTCTAGCTACTATGAAAGAGGCGATGAATGATAATTTTGGGGTTTCAGATACCAAAACGCAGGCGCCTATCAAAGTTCTAGAGCCTTACTATACTGCAAACAAATATCAGGAGAAAACAGCTACCATGCTAATATATATACGCAAATCTGAGGCCAATATTATCTTAGCGGACGTTTTGCAAAGTGATATCCCTGAAAGAATTCATCCTTCGCCTTTTACGCCCCAACAGCAAGATAATCTAATGGAGCTCTACAGTTCCAGCTTGATCAAGGAGGGAGCAGAGGCAATTAATGCTCAGAAGAAGGAACTCAAGGCTCATTCTACCGCTGGTAGCGATATGAGTATTAGACTCTTCTCTGTGAACGACTTCCATAACTACCGTGGGTTTGACTTGATGCCCAGTGCTTCGAGTGACTCAAAGCCTGCCAGTCCGCTATCGTACGATCGTATCCCAGAGAACATGCTAGTACAAGCACTTATTACCACGGTGACCAGTGATTTAAATATACCCGGAAAGGATATCAGGATTTGGCCTTTCATAACCCGACAAAATGGCACCATTCGGCCAATAGGTCCACCTCTAGATCCTCAAATAACGATGGGGAATGCAAAGAAAATGCATTATCCTAGACTTACCCGAGAAATTCAGTTGTGGGTTGAGAGCGATGGATGTCTCTATGGCAGTAGAGATAACCCAAATTCATCCTTGGTTTTCTTAAAATATTTCGATATAATAAAGCAAGAAATCACCGGGTATTGCCCCATCTACATCACCCCGGATGACAAGCCTAATGATCTTTCACCTACGATCTGCAAGGTTATGGAGTGGGAGTCCAGTACTCCTATTTCTTATTTTGAGGTATATAAGATCGTAGCGGTTGCATGTTGAAGGCACCTACGCTAACAGAGCACTAGGAGATCAAACCAACTCTTATAGAGAAGATGGATGGAAAGAAGACTATGAAACTCTTAGAGATTGGTACCGGGGACATCATATGTTTTCAACGGTCCCTAACTTCGACTGAGTATGCCTTGTCATCTCCATGATTCTTCCCATTGAAGTTATACTAACCATTTTTACGCCAGCAGACTGCCGGAGGGTACAGCGTACGACAACGCCCGTGACTTCTATTCCTCTGGATTAATGGGGTGAGAATATTGCCGTATATTTGACGGATATGCTGAAATTTTTGAAGCAATGGTTATGTGTCAGCATTATATGCCTATGACAAGAGCTGGGAATCTTTGGTTGTCTTGTGTATGTTTATAACTTGTGACAGGAGCTTCAAGTTATTTGAGAGAAGTAAAATACTTTTCTCGAATACCAATCTATCTTTAGTCTAATATCTAGGTATACACTATAAGCTCTAATAATATATCCCAGGCAATGAAATGAATACGCTCTATGCGCCTAAACAAAATGCTCACCAGCCACCCCAAAAACATATTTAATTTGATCGCTCTGAAACGCTTATATGATTCAGCTATCTTCGGTTGCCGTTCGAACTTTTGACGCAGGATCATCAGTCCTGTGAGACCTATTTGAAGGTATCTGCCGTCTGAGGCTCCCAGATTTTTTACTGCTTTCAGCATGGCTCACTCTGGGAGATGGTGACGAGGGAGTTGAGGGGATAGCCTCCGCATATCTCCCATCACCACGAGGAATGGATGGGGACAATGGATATGATGATTCCCTCCGTCGCCTATCCCGTGGTGATTCGTAAAATCCACCAACAGCGGGATATGGTTTGCTCCTAGTCTGTGGGGTTACATCAACGAAATCTTCATCTGGGTCAACTGACGGCATCCGGCGTCTAGATGGACTGCTTGCCACAGAGCCATGTTCATTGTGGTATTGGTAGTCTTCCCCGCGTGGTTTCAAGGGGCTTTCATCATAGGGGTCCCATCCAACCTTTCTGCGGGCTTCAGAGCGGACCCGTTGCCGATGTTGTTCGTCACCACCCGCACCTGTGGCAGATGATTCTTCAAGGAAGAAAGTGAGTAGCTCATCTGTAATTGAGAGGTGGGATTGTTGTTGGAATTGTTGTAGAGACGTAAGCCGTAATAACGTTTCCAGGAGAGACAAAGAAGTTCGGATATTGTTAAATAGTGGATTGGAGACTGTTGACGAAGAAGTAGGTTGGACTGGAGAAGGCGATATAAGAACTTGGCTTCCTGGCGGCTGAGCAGCGGACGACTCGTGGTTCTTGGGGATTCTCAGTTTTTCCATGTTTTCTGCAAGCTTATCTTCCTCAGCTGCTGTGGCAGAAGCTGTCTCCGGCTCATCATCGTCGGATTCATCATCTTCTTGATAGACTTCTAGGGCTATCCACTCCAGATCAAGTCCCCGGGGAAATCGCCAGTGTTCTGGAATATCGTTCCGGTACTGCACAGGGTCTAGTGGTTCAGGCAAAGTTTGGGTTCCCATCAGCTGTGCATCGATCTGCGCTTGTTCCGAATCATAGGGTTCTGGTGCTTCAGGCTCGTAACTCTCATCAGGGTCAAAGTATCCAGCAAGTTCTTCCCGTTCAATCATCCCTCGTGGAGGAATTGCATTTACATCTCTCTTTAGGAGAAGAACAGGGTTATTAGCTTCACCGTCCGTTCCAATATTTAGGATCTTTCCTGTATCTGCATAAAAGATCTTGGAAATCTGATGAATTGGTATCACGTCTCTGATGCCGGCCTGTGCAACACCCTCAAAAGACCCTGGTTTCAGTTCATCATCCTCGAACGAATGAACCCTTCCATCATCAAGATCTTCGACAATAAGGATCTGGTAAGCAAATTCGTCCGCCCTAGCCTCGCCCCTGAGGTTACGTCGTTCTCCAAATTGATCTGCAAGAACAACATCCATAGGCACACGGCATATTTTCACTCTTGCCTTATGTATAACTTCTTTCCAGGTGGTCTCTCGAATTCCCTCTTCATCCGTGGGTCGAACATGGCCTGCAAAGAGAAGGTATACAGACAGCGTGAAGGTAGGACCTACCTGCACAGAATGGGTTGGGGTTAACGAGTATTGAGTGTCACCAGCCGTTAGGAACGTACTAGCCTGTAGCAGCCTCGACGGTGAAACTGTGGAAGGCAAACTTGTAGAGAGCTTTGCTCCTGATGTGGTTATCGCCAGATTGATGAGTGGCACTGCATCTTCGATTCGATCTAAAAGCGATCGTATCTCTTTTATTACGATTTTCTTCTCGGCATCAAGCTGGGCACGACGCTTGGTTGAAGCATCTCTTCCGTGCATTTCTTCATTCCCGACTACTTGGGCTAATTTCTGCCCTAGACTCTGGATATCTAATCTTAATGTCTTTGTGAGGTTAACAGCAGATTCGAGAGATGTATTGCCTCTTGCTGCGCTATATTCCCATTATATTAGGTTTGCACTTGTAGAAGGGTAGATATAATGCTGGGGTTATCCCCGGGTATCCCTACATGAGTTCAATCATATCAATAGCGGGAGATATAATCTACAAACGTCAACAGGGCTGTCTTTGACTGCTGAAGAATTAGATAAAGACTCAAGAGTCTGCTTACTTGTATTTTGCTTTTCAGGCGATCTCGGAGAGTTCGCAACTCCTCCCACTCGGCACCATCGACTTTCTATAATCATCTTCAGCGGAAACCCGAGGATATTCGGCAACAGCGATAGCTAACCTTGAGGAGCTTTGAAGACTGCCGTATAGCATACGTAGCTGTTATAGTGATACCAGACCTAGTCTATGTCAGCTACTTTTTTTAAGCATGCATATTTGCGGTAAGTACCGTATGGCATAGTTCATAGCCTGTTGGGTAATCTGTAAACGGAACGTGAGTCAGTATACAAGAGTTGTCTAGTGATACAATCCAGCATAGGTTGATCACACACTTTCGATAGAAGTAGATCCATGATTGAAAAGGATTAGCATATACAGCGTATGGAATCAAGTTGTAAGGATATCCAGCGTCTTATCTCCAAACGCGGTTCTCAAGCAGTGCTGTACCACAACCTGACGGTCAAGTAAAAGGCGTAAATAGGAATGATAGGGTATCGTGCAATGCCCTGCATCAAAAGACTGACGGTTATATCAGTGGTTATGCCGTCTTCAAGTGCTTCCACCAAGACCAGCAACCTGTCAAATAGTTAGTTAAAAGAAGTGAAAGTGAGCTCCGAAAAGCAGCTGTTGAAGTTCGGTCCGGTCTCTCACACGAGCCAAAGCTCTATCAAATATTCAAGACGACACTCTTCGGTCTCTTGATCCTTTCACTCTGATGTTTGTTTCATCTTCGTCTTTTTATATATAAAAACGAACGTTTAAAACGCCTGCTGAGTCAGCCTTCTAGACAAGCACTGGATCTAAACCAAAAGCGGCAATTCTAGACTTCACGCCGAACTTCGCTGCGGCAACTTTTCTTGCCGGCGCTTTAACCGGCGAGAGAAAATAGAGGAAGAAACAAGTTTTCAGAGGAAGTTCGAGTTTCTCTTCCCGCAGTTGTGTATATTATAGAAGTTATCACTTGCTGTACCTGTGATATGCATCGCACACGGAAAAAGAGGACTCTACACACAGTATACAGAGGAGCTACGCTGTGACTGCTGTCGGTCTTGCTCTCGAATTCGCGAGCTTAGGTTATCGCAGACTTTTGGAGAACAAAAACCTCCCCGCTTTTTTTTCCCAACCAAGGCAGCCGTGCCTCTTCTGAAACTCGCCAGCACCATATCGCAGTTACAAGTCGCTTAGAGCACTCCTGGTAATACTTGCTCTCTCTCCAGCTGTTGCTCTTTGACCGTTTTTTATTCCGGATCACAGCCTGCTACCGATTCATCACCAGAAGGACCTTGCTGGCCGTTCTCTCCAATGGCCGGGAACAGCGGGGAGTCAGAGCAGGCCATCAACGGCATGGGCGGTGCCATGGAGAGCACAGCACAGGAGTCATATTCCTTTCCGGACGACAGGCTGAAGATAGTCATGGACGATCCGTCAAAGACTCCCTTGCTGCTAGTCGCCTGTGGCTCGTTTTCACCCATTACCTATCTACATCTACGCATGTTTGAAATGGCGGCGGACTTTGTCAAGTTTAGCACGAAATTCGAGCTCATCGGGGGCTACCTGTCCCCTGTATCAGATGCATACAGAAAGGCCGGGCTTGCTTCTGCCTCACACAGGTTGGTTTACCTATTTTTGCTGTCTGTTGGCCTACTTCCGAACTTCGGAGATTAACATGTGAATGTTATACACGTAGGATAAACATGTGTCGATTGGCCGTGGATAAGACATCAGATTGGCTGATGGTCGATCCATGGGAAGCTATGCAAAAGGAATATAGCCCTACCGCACAGGTTCTGGATCATGTCGATAAGATCATCAATCATGACCGTGGTGGTATAGATGTCGGGGATGGCACAAAGAGGCCGGTGAGGATAGCTTTGCTTGCCGGGGCTGATCTGATCCATACCATGTCAACCCCGGGGGTTTGGAGTGAGGAAGATCTGGACCATATCCTAGGAAAATACGGAGTATGTTTTGTCCTTCTTGATCCCTTGATACAGTCATGTTAACGGAGATTTCCCCTGGTATAGACATTCATAGTCGAACGCAGCGGCACTGATATCGACGAGGCCATCGCGGGACTGCAACCATGGAAAGAGAACATCTATGTCATCCAACAACTCATCCAGAATGACGTTAGCAGTACCAAGATCCGTTTATTCCTTCGACGAGAGATGAGTGTTCGCTACCTTATCCCGCATCCGGTGATCGAGTATATCGAACATCATCACCTATATGAAGAGGATGGTGCTAGTGCCTCGAGCTCGAACCTCCAGGAAAAGGGGAAGGGTAAGAACAATTCGGCAAGCTAGTGCTGTCTACAAGTCCATTCTCGGCTTCACATTACTTAATGCGGCTCGGGACAAGACATTCCTCGTCCTTCATGATTTGATATTTTATCAGTTAGACTGCTGTACCATTGGAATTACTGCCAGAAGGCAATGAGATGGTTGGACAAGGGCTCCTTTCTACCTTAGATAAGATTTATGATACCCTATGCGGTAGATCGGTTTGCACTATACTTTTCAGCTTGCGTTGCTTGCATCCACAGTCAATCCTCCCGACAAGGTCTGCGACACCAATCGAGATAACTAGGCCGCTGCATTAAACCCATCCACAGAGAAGAAGGGAGGATAGAACAGAAGGGAAGAAATGGCAATCTTGGGAGGGAAGTTGTTTAAAACTTCTGGTTTCCTTGTGGCATCGGCTTCCCATGGTATACTCGGAGAGAGACAGACAGCAATGGGCGAGGTCTTTCTCATCTCATCACTTGGTCTCTCTTACTCTACTCTGCCAGGTGCTCCTGGTCGAGTTCTCCGCCGTCTCTATAGAGATGGCCACTGTATCATATTATTTCCGCCAACGCCCCTTGCGCTATCAGGCACTTCACCGCAATGAACTGTATTCAAACTCCGTGTTTTTTAATAGCATAGAAATACCTTGACTTCCCCTTGCCCGTTTTTATATCAACCTAACTGATATGTACTGTCTATGTCTTTATTAGTAATCATTAAAGGGTTTAGGCCTAAGTCACGGGATCACCGCCGATATCAAATCTTTTCCATCCCACTTCAACATTTCGACAAAACACCACACAACAAGCATCTTTTTCACTCTATAGACCATCCAGAGACCGGAATTTATCATTTCCCTGAGCTTCATATATACAGCCAGCAATAAACTCTCCGGCCGCCAGCATGTCCGCCCTCGAGTCGTGGGAAGACGACCCCGCAGCTCAGGATGAGAATTTGTCCAAGCAGACACAGCAGTGCCTGAATCTCAACGCAGAGCAGCAAACACAGCAACAGCAACAGCAAGGCTTTCGCACACAAGTAACCTCGTTTCAACCCGGCGCCGCTACGTTTCAACCCGGGGCTGCTTCATTCCACCCCGGCCAGCAGTACCAGCCATATGGTGGCTACCAACAACACCCGCAATACCATCAGGCAGCTGGGGGATATGGAGGCTACCCACAACAACAGTACCCTCAATACAATCAACAGTACATGCAGCAACCAGGGGCTTACCAGGGTGGCTACCAGGATGGTCAGTATGCCGGCTACAACCAAGGTTACAACCAGTATCAGCAGCAAGCCCCTCCCCCACAGAACCAGCAGGAACAGTGGCAGCCACAGTCGATTGCTGAACAGCCAAAGCCCGCAGCCGACCCAAAACCTACCTCCTCCGAACCCTCTAATTCATCTCCAGCATCTCAGCCACCCAAAGCCAAAGTGTTAACGATCGGCGGGGATATTCCCAAATCCAAGGCGCCTGCTGCCAGTGCAGCCACTGCCGCTGGAACACAGAAATCAACTGGACCTGCAGCCGCGGCCGCTGGTGCTAAGGTAACTGCCACGAAAGCCATCGAGAAGACTGAGAAGAAGGCGGCTGCTAGTGGAAACGCTTCCCCAACGCCATCATCAGGGCGATCATCCCCCGGCCGTGCCGACAGCAAACCCGCGGCTCGTGATGCAGATATTGTTGCAAAAGAGCAGGCTGCTGATGTTGATGAAGCTACGCTCAAGGAGATTTACGGAGAAAAACGAGAGCATGTCAACCTTGTATTCATCGGCCATGTTGATGCTGGAAAGTCAACACTGGGTGGAAGTATTCTATACTGCACAGGCATGGTGGATGACCGAACGATGGAAAAATACAAGAAAGAAGCCAAGGACGCTGGGCGTGAAACTTGGTACCTTTCGTGGGCTCTTGACTTAACCAACGAAGAACGATCCAAGGGTAAGACTGTGGAAGTTGGTCGTGCATTCTTCAAGACCAGCGGAGATACCCCTGATGGGCCTATGACACGACACTACACCATTCTCGACGCACCCGGACATAAGTCGTTTGTTCCCAACATGATCGGAGGTGCTTCCCAAGCCGATGTAGGCGTCCTAGTCATTTCTGCTCGAAAGGGTGAGTACGAAACCGGTTTCGAGCGAGGTGGCCAAACTAGGGAGCACGCATTACTGGCAAGGAATTCTGGTGTGAAAAAACTGATCATCGTGGTTAACAAGATGGACGACCCAACTGTCGAATGGAGCAAGGCGCGCTATGATGAATGTACGACAAAGATTGGAAAGTACGTTGAAGCTTTAGGTTACAAGAAATCAGACCTTCACTTCATGCCTATCTCCGCACAGAAAACTATTGGTATCGATAAGGCTGTCCCCAAGGATCTCGCACCATGGTACGACGGCCCTGGGTTGCTCCCGTACCTGCACAACATGAAAATGCCAGAGCGTAAGATCAATGCTCCTTTTATGATGCCGATTAGCGCAAAATATAAGGATATGGGAACTGTCATCGAAGGCAGAATCGAATCTGGCGTGCTCAAGAAAGGTGCCACCTGTATCCTCATGCCCAACCGACAAGAAATCACCGTCACATCCCTATACGGTGAAACTGAAGACGAGATTCCTACTGCTACATGCGGTGACCAGATTCGTGCTCGTCTCCGAGGCGTTGAGGAAGAAGATATCCTTCCAGGTTTCGTTATGTGTTCGCCCAAGCGACCCGTACATTGTGTTTCCGCTTTCGAGGCCAAGATTCGTATTCTTGACTTGAAGAGCATTCTTACTGCTGGATTCAACTGTGTGATGCATGTGCACTCTTCTATTGAAGAAGTTACCTTTGCTGAACTTCTGCATAAAGTTCAGAAGGAGACAGGACGAAAGAGCAAGAAACCACCAGCGTTTGCCAGCAAGGGCCAAACTATCATTGCCCGGTTGGAGATCACCAGCGGAAGCAGTGCTGTTTGTGTTGAGAGGTTTGAAGATTATAATCAGCTCGGGCGCTTCACCCTCCGTGATCAGGTATGTTTTACTACCACACGCCACACAAGAGTTATATATGCAACAGTTCAACTAACATTTTTATTAGGGTCAAACTATTGCCATTGGAATGATCACCAAGTTGATCACTGATTCCGCCCCTGCCGCCGCATAAATAAACTATTATATTAAAAAGGCTTCTATTTAGCTGAATAAAGGACTAATAGAACCTATGATTGATTCTTTTCATATATGATTATGGAATTTTTTTTTATTAACGAACTGGAGCATATAAAATGGGGGGGAGGGGGAACCAATATAGTCTTGTACTCAAATCTTGTCGCTTCTCACTTCTAGCGGAATATACAGAAAAATGAGATTAGAGGATAATTTTTTATCAATATACGAGGTAGTTGGGTGTACTTTTGTCGCTTTTTATACCTACCAGGATAATAATGTAAGTGGGCTCCTTCGTATAACATGCATGTATCCGCCCCCCAGGTTGCATTAGCTCGCCCAAACCGTAGCTTTCAGTACGGAATTTTTTTATTAATCATTCAAGGAGGGGCCCAAAATCTGGGGGAATAACAGAAGCTTGAATAGCTAAGATAAACTTCTGAAACATATCTACATTTTCAATATTTACATGTCTGGAGGCAGCCTTTCCTCCTCGTCCAGCCTCATAATTTCGCTGCCTCCAGTCTATTCCCAGCTAAAGAGTGGGACTTTTCTTTAACCCATTTTTCAATGACCCCTGAGAGCAGAAGTACCTGATCCATATCATTCCCGGCATGTAAACAAACCCGTACTCTCTCTGTTCCCACTTTCACCGTGGGTGGCATGATTGCCCGAACCATCAGGCCTGCGTCCTGGCATGCCTTGGATAACTCTCGAGGATACTTGGTTTGAAGTGAGAAGATAGGCGATGTAGGAGAGTGTTTGGCCTCGAGTATCGAGGTATCAGATGGGGAAAGCTGCATGAGTTTTTCATGGAAGAATTGGATGAGGTCTTGAAGATGTAGTTGGAGCTGAGTAAGAGAGAGCGTTAGAGACGATTGAAAGGGAGAAAAGCGAAAAAAAAAAAAAAGAAAATGTCTAATTTACAAGGAGTATGGCTGTAATACCTTTCGAGTGTGCCCTTCTTCCATCAACTCATATGCGGTGCGGACGGCAGTAAGGGATGGCATACCCAATGCGCTAGTGAAGATGAGAGGTCTAGCATAGTTTATCAGATATTCTCTGACAAGTGGAGAGCAAAGGATGATAGCTATAGTAATCGATTGTCAGTCTCTAAACCAGGTATTATGCAAGCCAGAAAGAGGTGAGGTATAAGATGATACCTCCATTACTGGCCAAAGCCTTGCCAAATGTATGCAGTCGAATCAGGACGCGATCTTCAACGCCGAGCTGCTGCACGACACCTGCTCCATGCGTGCCAAACACTCCGGTTGCATGAGCTTCATCTACCATAACGTGCCCGTTACCGTGCGGGAGCTTCTTCTCCAGAATGTCAAGGATCTCTCGTATCGGCGCAAAGTCTCCATCCATGCTATATATCGACTCCAGAGCGACAAACACATTCCGTCGGCCGGCCAGCAGGAGAGGATCATCCATGAGCAGAGCTTCGAGTACCCGTACAAAATCCTCGATCGAATTATGTATGAACGCCGCCAGTTTCCTGGCACGGGATAGTCGCATGCCATCATGCACGCTTGCATGAATCAGCTCGTCGTAGATGATCACGTCCCCTGGCTGGGGGATACAGGCAAACACCCCTGAATTTGCATCGAAGCCTGAGTTGAAAATTAGGCCGCTGGGCGCATTGTGGAAACTGGAAACCTGCTGCTCGAGCTGTTCTGCGTACAGGGAATTACCGTCCAGCAGCCGTGATCCGGTGCTCGCCAGAGGAAGCGAGCTTGAAGCTGTTGCGAGGTTTCTCAGGAACCGATGTCGAAACGTTGGGTCGGTGGAGAGAGAGAGGAAGTCGTTGGAGGAAAAGTCAACGGCCCCAGCAGGTACAACTTTGAGCGAACGAAGCGTTCCCTTTGTTTCCCGTCTCTTGAGGGCTTCCTTCAGCGATTGCTGCAAGTTGCTTCCTGGCACGCTCACCATCGTCCCGTTCTCTCTTCACATTGACCTCTCTCTCTCTCTTCTCCCACAAACAATCACGAGGACGTCCGCGGCAGGCGACCAGCTTCATTAAATAAGACCACCTCGAGCAATTCGACTAAAACAACCTTGCTGATGCTCTGGGGTCTCTTTTTTTTTTCTTTATCGTTCTCCTTTCTTTTCCCCTTCGACTTGGCTGTGGAGACCCTGCGATATAAAAATTACGTCTCGAAACCAGAGAATGAAAACCTTCGAGGGAAGCCGGCAATCCCAATCCCCCTCACAAAACGCCCTCTTTTCTTTTTCAACGTGTATGTCCCTCTTTTCCTTTTTCCTTTTTTCTCTCTCTCTTCTTTTCGGTGCTTGTTATCATCTCATCCATTGCCGGTTTCCTTTCGCCCTAACGTAGCTCGGTGGTTTTGCTTTTTTCCCTCTTCCCACAACCATCCCCGCAGCGCCAGCGCAAGGCTCTTCTTCCCTGTAACGGCCAAATTAGCATGCAGCTTGGTGGAAAACGGAATACAACGATACCATAAAAACTGCGTAAATATCGGCCGTCAAAGGCGCATTTGTAACTCAAATCTGTTGGGCCGCAGAGACAAGATAATCCCGGAGCCAGGCCGCCTAATTGGATGCCGAGGATGGAAAGTAGATTTCAGTGCCGGGGCAAGGGTTTCCGCCTGGGTGGAGGGAGAACGCTGTCAAGGATATATATGTATTGCGTAGTATGTATTTTTAAAGATCTCTCTGGAGATTTTTCCTGTTAGCAGGCTTTTTTTAATGTCTCAGGGATTCGCTCTTGAAGAAGGGCTTACAAAAAAAGAGATAATACGGGGTACTTGCAGCGAGGGGGAGAACAAGTCCTGAGCCAGAAGATGGATGGCAAGGTACAATTAACAGGTTGAAAGTCTTTCTCTGTTGCTGTCTGCTGCTGCTGGCGGCTTGTTCTGCTGCGGGCCTTTTTATTTTTGTTTATATCAACGATGCTGTCGTCGTCGATGGTGGCCGCAGGGCTCTGGCGGTCGTCTCGAGCATACCAGGTGTACGCCGCAAATACAGATATCGGGAAGACGGTGGTGTCTGCAGTGCTCTTCAACGCGATTCCTTCGTACCGGCCATGGGCCAGCAGTAAGCTTCGGTTCCTGAAGCCAGTCAGCGCTGGGCCGGCGGCAGAGGCTGATGACAGGTAACACACGACTTCAACCCGGATGGTCATTAGCAGATGCTTGTCAGACGGTTTTTTTGGTTTATTAGCATGTAATACATAGAGTGCTTACCGGTTGAACAGACATATATCACGATTCACCAAAGGAGTGACAACGGCGTGTCTGTATGGCTACGACCGTCCGCTGAGTCCGCATCTTGCGGCCAAAGATCATAAGGTGAGCGTTGAAAGTTGAGCATACATATATATATTTTATATATAGAGAGAGAGAGATGGACTGACCAAGATAGATACCACACAACGAAGAACTTCTGGAGAGCATAAAGTCTACTCTCAACTACTGGGACCAAGATGGACCCAGTTTTGCGCTGGTAGAGTCAGCCGGCGGCGTCTTGAGTCCCGGACCAAGTGGACTGGTGCAGGCAGATCTCTACCGTCCGCTACGGCTGCCGGTGATCCTGATTGCAGACCACAGGCTTGGGGGCATTTCAGCGTCAATATCAGCCTACGAGTCGCTGTGTCTTCGCGGGTACGATGTCGAAGGCATCGTCCTGTTCCAGGACCAGTACTACCAAAACCATGACTACCTGAAGGACTTCTTTGGCCGGAAGAAGATCAAGGTATTCTCTTTGCCTCCTCCGCCTCCGCGAAGGGCCAAACTCGACAGTGAGACAGCTCTGCGTAAGGATGAAGAGGCAATGGCGTCTTTCTACGAGAAGGCTGCCAGACACGACGAGGTGTTTGGCCTGATGGACGAGCTCTCCAGCAAGCATGCTGAGCGCCTATCTCGACTGGAGTCGATGTCTGCAACGGCCAAGGAAGTCATCTGGTATCCCTTCACACAGCACCACGGAATGACACCGAAAGACATCAGTGTCATCGACTCAGCGTACGGTGATTGCTTCCAGACACTCACCTCCGCTGAGAGCTCACCAGCGGAACACGTACTACGGCCGACGTTCGACGGCTCAGCGTCGTGGTGGACTCAGGGCCTGGGGCATGGAAACCCAGAGCTAGCTCTCACCTCAGCCTATGCAGCTGGCAGATATGGACATGTCATGTTTGCAGGGACTATCCACGAACCAGCTCTCGCCCTGTCAGAACAAGTGCTGAAAACCTCAGGCAACCCACGTCTACAGAAGGTGTTTTTCACCGACAACGGTAGCACCGGGATGGAGGTTGCACTGAAGATGGGGCTACGAGTGTCTTGTTCGAGATACGGATGGGATGCAAGCAAAGAAAATATAGGTATCGTCGGGCTCAAGGGCAGCTACCATGGTGATACTATCGGGGTGATGGACTGCTCAGAGCCTTCTACATATAACAAGAAGGTAGAGTGGTATAGAGGCCGGGGTTATTGGTTTGATTTCCCTACAGTCAAGATGACAGATGGCATCTGGAAAGCTGCTGTTCCACAGACACTGAAGAAAGAGCTAGGAGAGGGCGTATCTTTCTCGAGCATCGCTTCTGTCTTTGACTTGGACGCACGCAAGGGATCCAACATGGCCTTACGGTATAAAAAATACATCAAGAAGACACTCGAGGATGTCGTCCAAAGTGGCCAAAAACTAGGCGCACTCATCATAGAACCTATCATTCTAGGTGCGGGAGGGATGTTATTCTGGTACATTTCAACTCTTCCCTCAGTATCTTTGACAAGGAACCGCAGGCTGACTGTCTAATAGTGACCCCTTATTCCAGCAAGCTCTCGTTCAAGTAGTGCGAGAAAACCCACAGATATTTAGCCAGACTTATTCGCAACCCTCTACACGGCCTGACTCTGCAGAGTCATGGTCTGGTCTACCTGTGATCTTCGATGAAGTATTCACAGGCATGTACCGTCTCGGCCGCCGTACCGCTGCATCGTTTCTAAACGTTGACCCAGACGTTTCGGTGCACGCAAAGTTACTGACTGGTGGCCTCATGCCGCTCTGCATAACACTAGCCAGCAATGAAATCTTCGAGGCTTTCGACAGCCCTCACAAGTCAGATGCACTACTACACGGCCACAGCTACACAGCCCACCCTGTGGGATGTTCTGTTGCAGTGGCATCGCTCCAGAAGATGGAGAGCATGGAGGATTCTGGATATTGGAATGAGTATGTGCAGGATTGGAATCGGATAGCTATAGCAACCGGCACCCATAACAAGAAGAGTTCGCCCATTCCTGAAGTATGGAGTTGCTGGCCGCAGGCTCTTATATCGGATCTCTCGTATGCAGAAGGCGTTGAGAGTGTGTTTGCGATTGGCTCAGTGTTGAGTATCACGCTGCGAGACCACAACGGTGGAGGTAAAATTCGACCCGTTCCTGCTCCGTTCCTATTCTAATTCCCAGTTTGGAGTTACCAGCTAACATTATGGCCAGGATATACATCCAATGCAGCAAGTGGGTTGCAAAAGAAATTGACTGCTGGTGATGGACCGTTTAACATCCATTCCCGAGTTCTTGGAAATGTGCTTTACCTTATGGCCAGCGTTACTTCGACGCGGCAGGTGCTGGACAAGGTAGAGAGATTGCTACGAAAGACTCTGGTAGAGGAAAGCAGAGAGTATGGAGTACAGGAAGAGGTTGCAGTTCAGTATGCGACGCAAAGGTGTTAAAAAAAAAAAAAAAGAAGATAAAGTACATAGCTTTAGTATATATAAAAAAAGGGTTTCTATAAATGTATAGATATAGCCTACAAGCACGATATGATATATTTTGGTCATGAATATACAACTCAGTGGTTGGCACAAAGGGGGGCAAAAAGAGAGAGCCAAAGCGGACAAAACGGTAGAAAAAAGTCAAGGAGCTAGAATTACGAAGCCGCGGAAGAAGCAGCAGGCTTGGCCGTCTCAGCAGCAACGTCACTGGTTTGGGCAGGCTGCTGCTCCGAAGCGATGCCCTTGTATTCCCCGCGCTCAAAGCTCTTCATGGGATAATATCCCCACTTGTTGAACATCTTCTTATCCTCGTCCCAACCGGTGCAGTCGGTGGTAAGCATTCGCTCACCGGTGAAGATAGCATTCGCACCAGACATGAAGCAGGTAACCTGCTGTTCCTCCGTCAAGGAGATACGGCCAGCAGCTAGACGAACAATGGTGGCGGGAAGAACAATTCTAGCCGTCGCAATGGTTCGCAGTAGTTTATCGAATTCGATCATCTTCCTGTTCCCCAGAGGGGTTCCCTTGATAGGCACCAGGGCGTTGACAGGGAACGATTCAGGGTGCGCAGGTAGAGTCGCAACGGTATGGATCAATCCCACGCGGTCAGAATCTTCCTCGCCTAGGCCGAGAATACCACCGGAGCAGACGTTAATGCCGGCATCACGGACATGGCCGAGGGTCTGGATACGCTCATCGTACGACCGCGTGGTGATGATGGAAGGGTAGAATTCCCTTGACGTGTCGACATTGTGGTTATAGGCAGTCAGGCCAGCCTCCTTCAGCTCCTTTGCCTGATCGCCATCGATCATGCCGAGAGTGACACAGACTTCCATGCCCATACCGCGCACACCACTGACCATCGCCTTGATGTTTTTCAAATTGGACTTGCGGCCACGCATGTCACGCCATGCGGCGCCCATACAGAATCTGGTGCTTCCGTTCTCCTTGGCGATGCGAGCAGCTTCAAGAACGGAATCAACGCTGCTTAGCTTTGTTGCCTTTAGTCCAGTGTCGTATCGCGAGGATTGAGAACAGTATGAACAATCCTCGCTACATCCACCGGTCTTAATGTTCATCAGCGTGCACATCTGGATGGCCGCAGGATCATGAAAGTTACGATGAACAGCAGCCTAAGAGAGAGGATTAATACATCTGGCCATACAAGCAACAGCCCTGCGCACCCGTCTTTTTCAATAGATGGATTGACGTACGGCTGCGAAAGTAAGCTGGTTTAGGGGCGTCTGGTATATCTGAGTAATCTCCTCGCGAGTCCAGGATGTACGAGGAGCCCTGGCCGTAATCGCATGTTGCAGTGGTGCTGGCAGCGAGCTCGTTGGCGACGATGCAGCCGCGCCTGTGGACGAAGTAGACGGCTTGGGGATGCTGTTCTGCACCGTTCCATAGGGCCTGACAAAGGCCAGCTGCCTCGAGAGGCCTCTGGGGAGAGATCGAGCAGCCATCGCGACGCTATATGTCTGTCCTTCTCGCTCCCTGCTGGCGTTGAAAGGGAAGAAGAGAAGTTGAGCTCGTTGGGTGCTTTTTTTGAGCAAAAGAGACAAATCAGGCCAAAAGTAAAGGTAAGCAGACCACGTGAGCTGAGCCGAGCCCTTTTTCTTTCTTCTTCTTATTATTCTTCTTCTTCCTGTTCAACTCAACGCGCGAGAGATCCTGGCTGATAGTGGAGGGCTTCAGGAGTCGACTAAGCTAGGTGGAGAGAGAAGGAGAGAGAGAAGAGGAATCTTCCGTTAAAAAGGGCCCAACAGTTTTGTGCTTTTTCAGTGAGGGGCATCGACATCGAGCCCTGGTTCGCCTGTGAGTCCAGGGGTTGTTAAGGCCTAATTATACTTGTTATATCCAAAGGTCGGCATAAAGATGTCATTACACGAATAAAATACTGTCAATTTTCAACAGGGGCTTCATCGACTACGGCTACGCTACATGGAATACGTACACACGCAGACGACAACTTTGGCGATATATGAGGAAACATCAAGCTGAGCGCGGCACTTCTGCTCATTGTTCGCTTCCACTTCCATTGTTACCCCACGGCGGATCACAAGTTAGCACTCTGGAGACGGCAGACAGGGCCCTGGGCGTGTATTCAAAATACAAATTGCTTTTTTCATTGCGTGATTTATGGAGGGAGACTTTCATGTTGTCCCCTGCCGGAAGGCCTCCGTGAAGGAATCGACATCGTCAGAGATTCTGCCGGCTACCCGCGATCAATCAGATATCTTCAACGCTGCCAGAGACGCTTCTCTTTGGAAGTTATACTAGGAAAGCTTCATGGTGGAATTGAACCTTCCGGTTGGCCGAAGCCGCGTATGGATATATGTATACCGCCCAAGGCTGACTCTCGAGCTGTTAGGCAAGTGTATCCGGCCCCTCCAACCAGCTGTGAATTCAACACATCGTATGGATATTATTTGTTTAACCACTTGAAATATCTTTTTATCGTCAACTCATCGACTTAAAAAGAAACAATATTAATCACGTGCATGTCACGATGCCGTATTGATGTGGTAAGGTACGGCCCGTTTTTTAAACTTTCAGGGGAAAAAAGAAAATATTACCAGCGTATTCGGTTTACAATACAGTCGGCTTCCTTCGCCGAAAAGCTTATTTCCTGCACGAAAAAAGTGCTTTTTTACATGCAAAGTAGAAAGTCGGTTGAGAAGACGGAGAATATGAAGCAGATGACACAAAGGATTCATAAATGTCATTCTCTCTATCAGCAAATGCCCAGTCTAATCATCTAGGCATTAACGTAGTTCTTTTAAGGCAACAGAGTAGCTCTAATTCTTCTGTGCAGCTTTCAAATAGGCAGTAGAGCCTCTTCCTCCAAAGGGCCATGACATCTGGTTCGCAACTTTGTGGTCAACACCTAGCTCGTCAGCAAAAGACCACACGAGGGAGGGGTATTTTTGGAACCAGCGGCCAACGAGGGCAAAATCTAGACCATCTTCCTCCAGTAGACGGTTGGCAGTGGTCCCGGTCGTGATGTTTCCGACCACACCAACAAGCAGGCGATCCCCAACAGCCTTTTTCACAGCCTTCGCCATGGGAGCATGGTAAGGTACGCCAGGCAGGGCTCCTCGCACCTTTTGGTCTGGGTGATTGCCGCCAGAGCTGATGTCGATGAAATCAACCTTGCCACCTTCAGCTAGCACCTCCGCAAAGTGAACCGTATCCTCTACCGTCCAGCTAGACAAATCAGGTCGTGACTCCTCGAGCCATTCAGTAGACGAAACTCGGAGAAATAGAGGCATATCTTCCGGCATATTCTTGCGACAGATGTCGACGATCTCATTTGTAAGACGCATGCGGTTCTCAAACGAACCGCCATACTCATCCGTTCGATTATTCGAGGTTGGAGACAGGAAAGATGACAGCAGATATCCGTGAGCATTATGGATTTCAATAAAGTCAACACCGGCAGTCACAGCACGACGCACCGAGGCGCCAAAGGCATCCTTGAATTCCTCGATATCAGCCTTCGTCATGGCTTTCGGGTTGCCCAGTCGTGGACCCCATGGGATATCACTTGGTCCCTTGATATTTTCCGGCCAGCCGCCCGCACTTCCGTCAGCAAGGTCGCCGGATGTCAGCCAGGGGGCAAAGGAGCTGGCTTTGCGGCCGGCATGACCAAGTTGGATGCCGATAACCTGGCTCTGGCTATGCACGAACTCAACGACTCGCCGTAGCGGCTCGATCTGTGAGTCTTTCCATAGTCCTGAGTCCTCTGGGGTGATTCGCCCTTCAGGAAGGACGGAGGTGGCCTCTACCATGACGAATCCAGCTCCATGGATTGCAATACTGCCAAGGTGAGCCATATGCCAGTCGGTAAGATGGCCATCTGGCGATGAATACTGGCAGAGAGGCGAAAGCTATTGCACGCATTAGCATTCAACTACACTACAATATCGGTTAATATTAAGAGTAAACCTGTGCTCACCCCAATGCGATTATGAAGTGTCAATCCTCTTATCTGTAGCGGTTGAAACAGCTTTGGCGGGGCAGAGCCATTGCTCTGTGGGTTTGCCGCCTGGCCAGCCGGGGGATTCTGATACGGTGTGAAATAACTGATTCCTGGAGCTGGTGTGTTTGAAATATTCTTGATGTCTGAATCGCCCATGGTTCCTTTTTTTTTTTTTTTTTCAAAATATGAGAGGATAGATTGTTCTTGTATTCAATGATAATTAATGCACAGGAAACAACAAGTGAATGCGACAAATATATAAGAAAGAAGAGTTTCTTGACGATAGAAGCGCTCTTTAAATATACATAGGAATGGATCTTGAAGTAAAGAAATAACATAAAATGATGTGATTTTGCTTTCCAAGGTTGCTTTGAAATCAGGCAGATTACTAATTCTCAAACCTCCGATAAATAATGCCTAAAAGGAGTTGCCACTTGCAAACCAACATTTGGTTGTGCGATCAGCTGTCCTGTAGGGCGCGGCTAAGTGCGTCGATCGCCTTCGACTACTAGGATAAGTTGAAGGGAAAGCTTGGTGCTTCTACTTGTGTGGAAAGGTGAAGTCAGCAGTTGTTCAGCGTCGCAGAAGAGTTATAGAGAAGACAGACGAACCGATAAGCCGACTAAGCGCTTAATCTAGCAGTTTGCCATCTTGCAGCACAAGCGCGAGAAGGATGTTTCCAAACTCTCGCATATGTTTTGCATCGCTGATATCCCATGCTTGGGACTGGTGCATCTCAAGTAATGATCTCTTGGCACCGGCCTCTTCCTCATTTCGGAGATAATTGATATAACTTCGATCATACTTTGCAATGATAAGCCTAATTTCTTGTCGTTCTTGTAAAATCATTGCGCGTCTAATAAATGGAACGTTAGGAATAGAAATGAAGGATTTTTTGAACCTGAGCTTACCGGTATGGCCCTTGAGAGGTCGACTCATCCGGCTCCTTATATATCCAAGCAGCCATTTGGGCAGTGGCTTGATATATGACTCGATTACTGTAAGCTCGGAGGGTTGGCTTGACCTCGACAATCATCGCGGATTGCACGTCCGTCTTTTTCAGTATTGGCTGGCACAAGTGGCCATCTGTCCTTGCTTCGAAAAGAAAGGATCTCTCACCACCGGCTGGGTTATCAACTTTTCCGAATTTAAATGCTTTCCGGACGGGCGACCACTCAAGCTTGACCTCCGGGTGATGCATACATAGTGTTGCAAGGAACGCAATTAAGAAGCCGTTGACAATTTGTTCATCCTCTACCTTAGGAAAAGCCTTGCGAAGGGAATTGGGGCTCATCCCATACGGTGAGTTCCCCTGTCCCTGGGGCTCTTCGCTGCTGCTAGACCATGATGACCCTGCCAAGAACTCCAGGGAGCCTTCCCTAATTTGAAGATTTCCAAACTCTTCAGGAAGGGCATCTTCCGCTTTCTCTTTACCTTTAGTATTTCCACTAGAACTATCATTTCCACCAACTTTGCCAGAGGTCACTTTCTTCATCGCCTCAATGAATTTGTTCTTGTCCAGTGTCTGGTCCACTCCCCTTTTCTCTCCAGCTAGTTTTGCAGGGCTCTGACGATAGTCATCTGGAATAGGTTTGTTGTCAGACGATCGAAGCCGATGCGCTATCGGGCTAAAATTCACATTTTTATCTTCTTCCTCTGCATCATATTCCTCTGGGAGTCTCGTCACCTGGCATCGGGCCAAGAAAACGTAGGAAAACGAGCCGAGATTGGGAACGGGTGTCGTAGCTTGAGAGCTTAAGTTTTGAAGGTATTGCTGCCAGTCATCGAATTTCTCCAGCCACCTGCTTGCCTTAGAGATAGTTTTTATTGCCAAGTTCTCGGGTTTGTCTTTCGACCGTAGCACCCAGAAACTCCGAAGTAAGAGATACTGCTCCTCGCTAATCTTTGATGCTGAATCACAAATTTTACTGTGAATGCTTGCATCTTTCAAGTCATATTCACTAGCTTTGATAGCCCACTCGCCCTTAGTTTCGGGGAAAGTGACAAAGTCCCTCGAGTCGGGCATGACCTCAGATTGTGGCGAGCAATCTGTGACGAATTTAAAGATGTAGAATATTCTGGATATATTGACTCTGGTGAAATTGAAGTGAATTGTTGCCTTCAATGTGAATGAGATGCCCTGGTTAAATAGCCAGTCCGAGTAGGAGGGCATTCCTAGGGGAGGTAGTTGCTCCAAGTATAGGCGCCGGTGTGGAGTATATGCATTGTCTTTGCAGCGTAGCTTCCTCCTCCCGTGTCAAAAATGGCATGATCCAACACATAATTCACACATCTATCTTTGATGATTGGAGAGGATGCTCTTCGTTCAGCCCCCATTTTGGGCTGCTGCCTAGGTCGTCACGGTGCTAAGATGTGACTGTTCTTGTTATCCCTGCAACTTGAAAGTTCCATGCTTCAAAGCCTTCTGGTTATTGGCCTTTGATGCATAGCCACCCAACATATAGCAGCCTTGCGTTTCACTCTGCCCATGTCTGCTGTATATCATTGGAGTCTGGAAATGTGTCTTCTATAGTTGAGACGGAGGTTGAGGCGGCGCTAATTCGGACAACCTTAATCTCGGAATTATTCTCTCCCGAGAGTCACGTTACTGAACTAAGTGTTGGAGAAATGGACGCGTTATTTCTTTGTTTATTTCCTGTGCTGACATCCAACTTTTGTAAACTGGCCTATTCTTCATATACCATCTGTTTAGAACATCGCACTGACATCGATACCAATAATTCTGATTATATGCAAATTACCAAATTACCCACCATGACTGATGGAACTAAGATAGATCTTGCAACGTTGGAGGAGATTATTAAATGCAAGCTCAACGATCACAAAAAGCTCAAAGCTATCTTCAAGTACCTTCGTGGAGCACATGATGAAAGCAGTATCTATGTTCCTCCAGAGAAGTTACAACAATTCAACATACGTGTATCAACCATAGACCTAGAACAGGGGGGCCGTTTTTTTAAGCCTATCCCAGTAGCTGACTTCAAATCTTGGATCTATGACGAGACGATTTTGCGTGAAATTAAGTGGGATCGTGAAAGTCGGCTCATGAGAGATGCCGAATCTATTTACCGCAAGTGCTGGAACCTAATTAAATCTGAAATACCGGAACATGCCCAAACGGAGGACCTTGTCTTATTCCTTCAGTATACGCCGTGGAGTGAAGTTATGTGAGCTATTGACATTTTATTGCCATTCTACATAGTTCTGCTTACACTAATAAATTGTTTAAATAGAGTTCCTCGTACCCGTATGGGGGGTAACTTCGGTATCTCTTTCTCCGACGAATTAACAAACTGGGTAGCCCAGACCGACCTCCATGTTTATGAATGCAACCCTTCTAAGAGCCATGTCATCTCATTTTCTACGCATGGACTACAGCCTGACAAAAGCACTGAGTCAAAACTTACTCGTAGTGAGATATTGGTGGCCCTTGATACAATAATGCCCCGAATGCTCTGGGCTCCACATATCGCTCACCACATTTTCCCAGTATGTTGAATTCCTGAGTATATGAGTTACTTTTTCTAACAGAAAAGTAGGTGCTTATGATTTCCTGTTTTAATCGGCAAGCACGTGTGAACGAAGTGTACTTCGAGGATGGGACGTTGCACTTCAACTGTACCCCGTTTATCGATATGGAAGTATTCGATAAATATAAGTGCGAGTTACTGGCCCGTTGGTCGGTGAGCCACCCAGTCGGTGAAACAACTGCGTACCCAAACTTAACGAAGCTACCGGATGGCTTTGAAAAATTCATGTCCTACCGAAATGGTAAGCCATTAGCCAAGTCCAAGAAGAAGAGTCCACAGCCTACACCAAAGCCGACGCTGAAGAGGCTGGAAGAGCTCAAGAAGCGGTGATGCAGTGTCGTTACTCAAAATTGCTCTTATCCCTTTTACTTTCCCTACTACTGATGTCGGTTATGGAGGACGGTGGCTTTCAATTCTCTCTTTATCTAAATGATGCTGGGTAGAGGCTTGGGAGGCTAGGCCATAGCTCTCTACTTTGATGCAACTAGTTGTCTATACCTGTACCTGGGCTAAATCTTTACTCTATCCTGGCTTGATTGTCGGTCTTTTTTCTTTAATGATGGAAGCGCGGCTACGCGGCAACAGGAAGAGCAGAACCTAAATAAGTGGGTGCACCTTATTTTCACCACATTGAAAGGAAGCAATGTGATATAGCGTCGGGCACAGGAACAGGGCCCATTACATTCTATTTCGAGGAAAAGACCCACTGAAGGACCCGTGGCGCAATGGTAGCGCAGCAGATTCCAGATCTGAAGGTTGTGCGTTCAATTCGCACCGGGTTCATCTTCGATACTCCTTAATTTTTTTTTCACCTCGCAAACAGGCAGAAGTGCTTTGACACAGCGTCCGGTGGGGTAGTCATGTGACTGTGATGCTTACTATGATGAGGGGTTGATTTGGTCGGCAATCTTCGGCTTTCGGCGGGTGGTTCTTCGGCTCTTTTTTTTTGGCCCGAGCCCAAAATGACGTGTTTGGCGTAACAAAGTACAAACAAAAGACAACTTCTTACTTGTTTTTATTATCGACTATATGAAAGGCTGCTGTTGTTGAACCCATCACAGAAGGGGGAAGAATCCAACTATCATCACGAGCAGATCAGCCACAATGTCATCATCCAACGTCAAGTTCCAGCTATTCACGTACTTCCGGTCTTCCTGTGCCGGCCGCCTACGCATAGCGCTCAACCTGAAATCCACGCCTTACGAGGCGGTCTTCGTGAACCTGTTCAAGGGAGAGCAGCTATCTGATGCCCACAAGGAGCTTAACCCCAATGCCACCGTGCCTGTCCTTATATCCACAAACCAGGACAATGGCAAGAGTACAACGTTCAAAGTCACCCAGTCACTCGCGGCGTTAGAGTACCTGGAGGAAACCCTTCCGAACACTCGTCCTCTCCTGCCGCCGACATCTAACTCCACGGCTCGCGCACAAGTACGTGAGCTGGCACTGTTGATTGCAACGGACATTCAGCCTGTGACGAACTTGCGGACTCAGAAGAAAGTGAAGCTGCTCGATGCGGATGCGACAAAATGGGCGCTAGAGTTTTCCGTGGCCGGATTCACGGCATTTGAGAAGACCGTCGTTCATTCCGCTGGAAAGTTCTGTGTGGGAGACGAGATTACGCTTGCGGATGTATGTTTGGTACCTGCTGTGTGGTCGGCAGAACGAGTGGGTTTGAAACTTGCCGATTATCCGACTACGAAGAAGATCTATGATAGGATGCTGGAGGAGACAGCCGTCAAGGAGGCGTTTTGGCAGAATCAGCCTGACACACCTGAGGAATTGAGATTGAAATAGAGGGTGGGCCATCAAACATTTGCACATGAAATTCATTTTCTGAGTATCAATTTAATATCTACACTTCAAAATATGGGTTGTGATAGCTGCTACATAAAAAAAATAAATTATATTTCAAGAGCGCCCTAGTTGATGGCGGGAGCAGGGAGAATGGTAGCGGTGCAATCTCCAAAGCCTACATAGCTTCCTTCTTCACCACACATGCCCTTAAGGGTAACCTCGTCACCGTCCTCGAGGAAGACACGGTCGGTGCCATCTGCCAATTTGAATGGCTGCTTGCCACCTTGGGTGTTCTCCAACAAACTTCCAAGGGTTCCGGTCTCCTTCCCGGAGATGGTTCCACTACCAAGTAAGTCGCCAGTGTTCATGTTGCACCCGGTTACAGAGTGGTGCGTAAGCATCTGGGCGAAAGAGTAGAGCAAGTTCTTTGCGTTTGTCTTGGCCACCGTGGTGGTGGTACTGCTGTTTGCCGGCTTGAGGTCGAATTGAAGCTGCATGTCGTACACGTTCTCAGCTCTCTTCTCGCGGAGATAAGGAAGCAAGTTATCCAAGCCTTCTTCAGCAGCGAGGCCGGTGGAGCGGAATGGCTCGAGGGCGTCCATGAGGACAACCCAGGGAGTGATGGAAGTAGCAAAGTTCTTGGAGTTGAATGGGCCGAGTGGAATGTACTCCCATGCCTGGATGTCACGAGCTGACCAGTCGTTCATCAAGACGACACCGAACAAGTGATCTTCGGCCTGCTCAATGGAGATTGGCTCACCCATCTTGTTTCCCTTGCCGACAAAGACTGCCAATTCAAGCTCAATGTCAAGCTTCTTGCAAGGGGAGAAGACTGGGACCTTTGGCGTAGCGGCGGGGTTAGCCAAGATCTGGCCGTTCGGTCTGCGAACGGGCTGACCAGAGACGATGACGGAGGAAGCACGTCCGTGATATCCAACGGGAAGATGCTTGTAGTTTGGCTGGAGGGCATTGTCAGGCCCGCGGAACAGGACTCCGACGTTGAATGCATGGTTGAGGCCGGCGTAGAAATCGGTGTAGTCACCAATTCTCATGGGCACATGGTTGGTGACGTCCTTCAGCGGGAGGAGAGCCTTCTTCTTGAGGTCCTCGTTGGTCTTAAGGATCTCTGGGTATGAAGTAGATTCACGGAAGACATCCTGCAGGTACCCTCTGACCTCACGGTGAACTGGTCTGCCCAAGGCGGCAAAGTCGTTCAGGGTCGGCTTGGCGAAGACATCGACGTGTGGTGAGAAAGATGGGAGCTTAGAGAAGCCACCGGCAGAGGAGAAGGCGAAGAGGTCCAATGCATATTCTCCGATAGCAACGGCCGGACGGGGGTCAGTCGATCCAGCTGTCGAGATGATACCAAAGGGGATATTGGCAAGAGAGAAGGGAGAATCCCGTGGGATCTGAAGCCACGAAGCGTTCGACATCCTTCCAACTGGTATAGATGACGAGAATCTGGGCAATTGATACGGCGAGCTGGATGAAGTGCGAGATGACCGTAGTGGACAGAGAAGAAGCAGCAGCAACACTTTCATATCATTAAAAACCACAGAAGAAGAAGAAGAAGCGCGGCTCTGTCTCCTTTCGGGAAGAGGGGCAACTCTGTATTACTAATGCTTAGTCATCCATTATTTTGCCGACGCGGCGTTGATGGTCCGAGCTTTTATGCCCAAAGTTTACGTTCTTCACGGAATCTTTCCGCGTCGGGTAGTTCTCCTTTCCGCTTTTTCTTTTGGGTGTGGAAAAAGATAATAAGAAAACATCTTAGATCAGCAAACGAAAAGGCGTCAGGATCGTTCTTCTTCTTCTTCTACATCCGATTTGGACACATCGACATCGACATATAAATATTTCCTGTTAGGCAGAGCACACAGACAAACAGAGTGAAAGCGAGCACGATGCCCGTCACAGCATTTTCCACGCCGGAGAAGTATACATACCAGAATGGCTTCGGCTCCTACCACGAGTAAGGGGGATTTTCTGTGACCCGGACTTTTGTAGGCACATGGAGCAAATGCTGACTTGGAATCTTCAACGAAATAAACAGGACTGAAGCTATAAAGGGAGCTCTGCCAGTTGGTCAGAATTCGCCTCAGAAGCCGCCGTTTGGCCTCTACGCTGAGCAGTTGTCCGGGACAGCCTTCACGGCTCCTCGACACGAGAACCTGCGAACATGGCTGTACAGGATCATCCCCGCGGCGTCTCATCGTCCGTTTGAGGAGGTCGATGCCTCGACCTATAATTCCAGCCTGTGCAAGGATGCCACTTCACTCCGCCAGATCCCCAACCAGCTTCGATGGAATCCCTTTGATCTCGACGAGAATGTAGACTGGGTTCGTGGCCTGCACCTGGTCGCTGGTGCCGGTGATCCCGCTACCAAACAGGGGCTGGGCATTCTGCTCTTCGCAGCTGGCAAAGATATGGGCAAAGAAGCCTTCTACTCTGCCGACGGTGACTTCTTGATCGTCCCCCAGCACGGAGTATTGGACATCCAGACCGAGCTGGGCAAGATCCTTGTCCGTCCTAACGAGATCTGTGTTATTCCCCGTGGCGTCCGGTATGTTGCCTCTGGATGCCTTTCCCCTCACCATCTATTTCCGTCTATCTGTTTGAACCCGGCTAATATACAGACCAGCTACCGGGTTACCCTGCCCGAAGGCCCAGTTCGAGGGTACATCTGTGAGCTGTACCAGGGCCACTACCAACTCCCCGAACTAGGTCCTATTGGGGCCAACTGCCTGGCCAACCCACGAGACTTCCAGGCCCCTGTCGCCTCCTTTGACGACGAGGAGTCCACAGAATACACCATCCTTAGTAAATTCAACAACATCCTCTTCCGCGCCACACAGCCTCACTCGCCCTTCGATATCGTCGCCTGGCACGGCAACTACTATCCCTTCAAATACGACCTCGGTCGCTTCAACACCATCGGATCCATCTCGTACGACCACCCCGACCCATCCATCTTCACCGTCCTTACAGGCCAGTCCGACCATCCCGGCACTGCCATAGCTGACTTCGTCATCTTCCCCCCTCGATGGCTGGTGCAGGAAGACACCTTCCGGCCTCCTTGGTACCACCGCAACACCATGTCAGAGTTCATGGGCTTGATAAGTGGAGACTACGATGCCAAGACTGGAGGGGGCTTCAGGCCGGCTGGTGCGAGCTTACATAATATCATGAGTGCCCATGGGCCAGATGCTGCCAGCCACGAAGGTGCTTCCAACGCCGAGCTCAAGCCGAAGAAGGTCGGTGAGGGCAGTATGGCATTCATGTTCGAAAGGTGAGTTTTGGTCTTTATGATCTTTCTGGTGGAAGAGGGTGAGCTAACTTTCTGGTTTCATATAGTTGCTTGATGGTTGGTGTGTCTGAATGGGGACTGAAGACCTGCCAGAAGGTGCAGGATGATTACAACGAGGAGAGCTGGACACAGTTGAAGAGATACTTCAAGAACCCAAATAAGAAGTGAAGCTAAGACGGCTGGCTAAGCGGTATCTCGCGGACTTCCGGGACCCCTGACTTTTCTCTGTATGATTGTTTGACCCTAGCTAGCATTAATGACCAATACTCGTCTATATTCAACTGCTACTATATGTGCGTGTGTGTGTGTGTACATTTGTGGGGCAGTTGATCATGGATGTTTTCGAATATCATAACTTCGTTACATTTTTACATCTAAAGATAATCAAAATATTTACAAGTGGCCCAGCCTGACTGGGGTTATGGGTAAAGTGTAACCATCTCAAGTCCGGCTCTCATTCCACTGTTTAATCTCGGCCTGAATCGCATCCTTCACGATAGCACCGCACATCTTTGCGTACGGGTTGGTGCCAACAGCCATCTGCCTGGCTGCCTCGTTACCACATCGTCCACCGATCTGGAAGTCATAGCTCGCAAGCTCCTCCAGACGATCATCCGAAACGTCCTGGAGCTGTGGCGGCAGCAGGTTTCGTCGATGATGCTGCTTCTCCTTCTCGTCCTTTGAGCGGGCAGCTTTGTAGAGTATGTATGCCCGATGGGTGTGAGCGTTGGCGAGGATGCGAGAATGGAAGGGAGAGATGGCATCCGTCGACGACGAAGGGGTCAGCAGAGCAATGGTTTTGGCCAAATTGTCGAAGAGCAGGTTTGAACGTGGCGGGGTGATCTGAGGTCCATCCGGCTGGGTCTGCGTGTCGGTGTCGATCCATAGACGTAGAGCTTGTGCGAGATTTAGGTAAGCTGGCGCATAGTTGGGGTTCTCCTCGATAATCCCCGAAAGCTGAGCTATGGCCGTTTGGATTATCTCCGGTGTTAAGTTTTCGTTGGAGGTCTGCAGGGGTCGAAGGGCGTCGACTTCCCGCTGTTTCAGAGACTGGACGTCTGCATCTGAGAAGTGTGGTAGCTGAGGGAGCGTCGAGTCGGTTTTGATACCGTTGGACGGAGACGATTCGGCATCGAAGAGAGCTTGGAGAACGGCCGAGTCGTTGGAGGTCAGCGACGGTTTCGCCGCTGCTACTGATTCTGGAGCTGGAGCCATGGTCTGTAGTGTTCCTGCTTGCTTCTTGTCTGTTTGACTGAGAAAAGAGGAGAGAGAGAGAAGTTCAAACGATCAAACACTCTGGAGGACGACCAAGGCTTCTGATATCCTTCCAACGCCTGTCTGTCAAGGGGATCTAACCCAAAAAGACCCGAACTGCGCCAAAAGAAAAGCCAAGCTTTCCTGATGACGTAAAAGATGAAAAACGTCGAAATAGCCGGCGCGGCAAGGGCGTTTATTGGACAAAGGTGCGTCATGGCTGAAATATCCGTAAACAGCCGGGCGGCCGGAAATAGCCTGGCTAAAAAAGAAAAAACGACTGCTTTTTTGCTTCTTTTTGCTTGCAAGGAGAAAAGGAGAGAGAAAAAACGTTCATAGTAAAGGATATTTGCCTATTGGGGCATTAGAAAATTGCCTGGCTGCAAGGAAGCCGAAATCCCCGGGAGGAAACTTGTGGGCTCAAAGAGGAGGCAAGGATGGCTTGCTGACCATTTGCGGCGTATGTATGGGTTGGTTCTTGGGTCCTGGGCGAGAACCATTCAAAAGACTGCTCATCCGCACAGCAACAGCTCATCCAACTCCCTCTGCTGTAGACGTAAAATAATAACAATCGTCAACTCCATAGCCCGTTCTTCTTGTTTCCACCTCCATCGAACATCTGTCACCATGGCTCCAGCTGCCGATCTCCCCCAGGCCACTCCTGCTCCGGCAGACCTCTCCCAGTACAAGGGCTACGACCACGTACACTGGTATGTTGGAAACGCAAAGCAGGCTGCTACCTACTATGTCACCCGTCTGGGCTTCAAGAAGGTCGCCTATCGTGGCCTGGAGACCGGCCTAAAGACCATCGCCTCTCACGTTGTTTCCAACGGCGCCGTCACATTTGTCCTCACCTCTCCGCTTCGATCGCTTGAGCAGGCTGCTCGCTATCCGGCAGAGGAGAAGGCCCTTCTCGAGGAGATTCACGCCCATCTAGAGAAGCATGGCGACGGTGTCAAGGATGTTGCCTTCGAAGTCGACTCCGTCGAAGCTGTTTTCAACGCTGCTGTGAAGAACGGCGCCAAGGTCGTTTCCGAGGTCAAGGTCTCCGAGGACGAGCACGGTCAGATCAAGTATGCCACTATCCAGACGTATGGCGAGACCACACACACGCTCATCGAGCGGAAGGCGTACAAGGGCCTTTTCTTGCCCGGATACCGTGACGAGTCCGCCAGTACCGACCCAATCACCCAGTTCCTCCCAGCCATCAACCTCGAACGGATAGACCACTGCGTCGGAAACCAGGACTGGAACGAGATGGAGAAGGTCTGCGACTAGTAAGTGTTCAGCCTGTTGTCATATTGCAAAAAGAGACCGTTATATTAACGTGCACCACAGCTACGAGAAGGTCCTCGGATTCCACCGCTTCTGGTCTGTCGATGACAAGGATATCTGCACGTAAGTTCCAGATTCTCGTAAGAAGTCTCCTTTGGCCCCGTCTAACTCGCCGGATAGTGAATTCTCGGCTCTCAAGAGTATCGTCATGTCCTCGCCCAACGATATCGTAAAGATGCCCATCAACGAGCCCGCCAAGGGCAAGAAGCAGTCCCAGATCGAGGAATATGTCGACTTCTACAGCGGTGCTGGCGTTCAGCACATCGCCCTCCGAACCGAAAACATCATCGACACTATTACCCAGCTCAAGGCCCGTGGCATGGAGTTCATCAAGGTCCCAGAGACTTACTATGAGGACATGCGTGTCCGTTTGAAGAAGCAGGGTATGGTCCTCGAAGAAGACTTTGAAGCTCTCAAGAAGCTCGACATCCTCATCGACTTTGACGAGGGTGGCTATCTCCTCCAGCTCTTCACCAAGGTAAGCTCCTCTGTGACACGGCTCATCTTCACGTATATGCATCGTACTAATGTATCGTTAGCATCTCATGGACCGTCCTACCGTTTTCATTGAAATCATCCAGCGCCGCAACTTCTCTGGATTCGGAGCTGGCAACTTCCGCGCTCTATTCGAGGCCATAGAACGTGAACAGGCCCTCCGAGGAAACCTGATATAGATAAAAAAAAAGTCCCTTGTCACGAGTCTTCTATTCTGTCTCTTCATCCTATTTCCTATGTATAATTAATGACCCTCACGCCAGATGCCATGTCATGTATAGTTTCAGTTTTATATCTCCATCTGTTTGGGAATGCACACGCAGTTAGTAGAGCAGAGGGAACCTAGTCATCCATCCAGTATGCCGTACGGGGTCTTCTCCTCGATCCTGTAGATTTTGGACGGCCTCCATCATTCCACTGCTAGGTGGAAGGCCAGTCCCATCTCCAGGAGCACTAAATGCGTGGTATGTAGACATTGATCCTTCAGCTGTCCAAGATACGTCACTCTACCTGTTCATGTAGCGGCGAGATTGATTCCTGTTTCTTGAAAACTTCCACCTCCGAGGTCGGCCCTGGAAGGTTTAGCTTACTCAGCGGAACAGCATTATTCCGTTGTATCTTACATAATCTAAAAAATGTTCCAATCAAACGAGCTTCATTTCTCGTCCAAAAAGAGGGAAGAAGAAGAGTCGAAGACGGTTTGATATTGAGAGCTTCAGCAGCTTTCAAGCAGACGGTAGCCGTCTCTCTAATTGATGGTATGCAGAGTCATTATGCCGCCCGCTACCCCTGGACCGTCAATATTTAGACAGTCACAGTCACTGTCACGTCTCCCCCGGGAGTTCTTTACCTGTCGTCAATGTCTACAGAGGCCTCACACTGCGAGAACTGCCCGGCAATGGATAAGAACAAGCCAGTTCAAGGGCACATCGAGGTATACATCCAGCCTACTTGCTGCATTTCGGAAGCAGCCTTCCAACACGGTGATACCAAGATCGTTTTTCACAACTACAACGAATATATCACCAGTGGGAGAAGCTGTCTCTAAGTCTAGATTCCCCGATGTCAGCTCTAAGGGTGTTGCGTACTGGCTACTGGCAAGTGCAGCCAGTGTCTTTGGCATTGTTGTGTTCGGGGGCCTAACACGCCTCACTGAGTCAGGGTATGGCATCTCTCCCGGCACCCCTGTATGTATTAACATACGTTAACAGCTGTATATAGACTTAGCATAACAGAATGGCGACCTGTAACCGGCTCGATACCACCATTGGACGCAGACGATTGGGAGTCAGAGTTTGCCAAATACAGGGCATCACCGGAATTCAAGCTTCTCAACCCCAACATGACCCTCTCCGAGTTCAAGTCGATATATTATATGGAATGGATCCATAGGATATGGGGGCGTTTCGTCGGCCTTTCTTTCGTTATCCCCGCTGCCTACCTTATTGCAACAAAACGCGTATCAAAACCTATGAGCCTCCGTATCGCTGGTATTGCAGGGCTTATTGGTTTCCAGGGCTTCTTGGGCTGGTGGATGGTTAAGTCTGGGCTGAAGGATGACTTGTTCGCGCCAGGCAGTCATCCCCGTGTCAGCCAATACCGATTGACCGCCCATCTAGGTGCCGCCTTTGTCTGTTATGTTGCTATGCTATGGAACGGATTAGCAATTCTACGATCCCATCGGCTCCTCGCAGATCCAGTCAAGGGTCTAGAGATCCTTCAGTCACTCAAAAACCCCAAGCTAGCCATATTCCGCCGCTCAGTAGCCGGACTTGCACTACTCGTGTTCGTCACCGCAATGTCGGGTGGGCTCGTCGCTGGTCTGGACGCAGGTTTGATATATAATGAAATCCCCTGGATGGGTAACGGTCTTGCTCCCCCAAAAGAGGAACTGTTGGATGAGTTCTACTCGAGGAAGGAAGACCGTTCCGACCTGTGGTGGAGGAACATGCTTGAGAATCCATCCTTTGTACAGCTTGACCACCGAATTTTGGCCATGACGACATTTACCTCGGTCATGGCATTGTGGGCCTACAGCCGCATGCCAGCTATGAAAAAACTGCTCCCTCGCGTTGCAAAGAAAGGTGTCCATGGAGTCGTAGCATTCACTGCAGTCCAGGTGGCTCTAGGAATCAGCACACTTCTCTACCTTGTCCCTATTCATCTAGCATCCGCTCATCAGGCAGGTAGCCTGTTCCTCCTCACCTGGGTTATGGTTTTGGGCAGTAGGATATGGCATCCTTCTCGCACTGCAAGGCTCCTTCAGCAAGCTGCCAAAGCAAAGCCGCTCTCTTCAACCTCGCATGCTGCTTCTCCCCTTACAAAGAAGCTATAATATCTGACAACCAGGCTTGTACATTTATTTTCTCCTCTCTGTTTTAACACTATTTAATTAAGTGTACAATATCTCCACTAGACTATCATCTAGGCTTTCTCTGCCCATTTTATGTAATTTTATCTTTACTGTTGAAATGCTGATTATATCATGCCAGTATTCCTTTGATGCTTTGTATTTGAGTGCTATCATGGTAACTGCCAGCGCCAAATAAATCACCCCTAAATCTTTAACATGCAACAAATTATGGGCAGTATTGAATGCAGAGTAACGCCAATTAAAAAAGACATTGAGTTAAAAGAGAAGAAATAGTAGAGGTAGAGGAAGCAGGCAACTCCATGCTATGCTCAATCAAATGCTATCAGGGTATCATAATTTTAGTTAGCAAAGACGGTCACTAAAACCAAAGCATTGGTGCATCGGGCAATATCCAAACTGTGAGCCTGGCGCAGCTACAACTAACCAATTGAACAAACCTCTGAGAAAGAAATATGTATGAAAGGAGAAACAGTCAACTGTCATCCATACCACTTTTAAATCACAACTCCCACGCCCGAGCATGAGGATTTGTGGCTCTTCTATTTGCTCGGTTCTCTTCTCGATCTAAGTCCTCCTTTGCTTTCTTTGCTATCAAAGCTTCTGCTTCTCTCATTTCACGCAGCAGAGCCCTGGCGATTCTGGAGTCCCTAAAAGTATGGGTTCCAGGGAGGATTCCTCTAAGTCCCAAGGGAACATCGAGCTGGTAGAATGGTTTTCGGGTCGGATGCTGAGGAGCCGGGGGATTGCTCGCTGATCTGGGAGGGTCGATTTCCATGGGCACTGCCGGTATCAGCTCAGACACAGGCACTGCGGGAGAGACCATAGATGAGACGGGGGTTGCGGGCTGAGTAAAAGCTCGACGTTTCTGAACTTGCAAGGGGCCTCGGATGGGGATTGCAACGGGCGCTCGAGCAAGACCTGGAGCCATAGGTGGGGTTGGAGAGGGAGCTGGAGCTGATGCTGGAGCTGGCGGCTGAGCTGAACGAGCAACTGGTACAGAAGCTGTGTTTCCGTTTCCGGCCTTGGAACGTTCCCGTTCCCGGTCCCGTTCCTGAAGGGCTTCCTCTGCGGCGATGAGAAGCCAGTTCATTCGTGTCTCAGCCTCGGGAGTGAGATCTCTGAAGGGCCTCTTTTGATATGCCTTGCCGCCTGCCATGATGACATCCTCGCTATCTGGGTCGAACTCGGTTGCATCGTCATCATCGTCATCTTCTTCATCGCCTCGATACCCACAGTCCTCCTCCAGAGCACTGAGTGAAGTCAGGGAAGATGAGCTCGATATGTCATCGACTACTCCATCGCTAGTCCCAGGTGTTCGATATACCTGGCTATTACTTATTGAGGATCGTCTTCGATGGTCATTGTGAGAGTTAGCCAGCTTAACACCAGACTGGCCATTGGAAACTTCCATTTTGGAACTTCCCTGAGCCTCCTGGAGTATTACTTTGGAGCTCGTTACAGTGGTTGGAACTTGGCCTGGTGAACCAGCTGCGTTCACTGTTGAGCCTCCCAGGATGACAGAGCTTTCCCCCTTTACAGGCTCATTCCCGACGCCAGAGCGTGCGGGAGTAGAAGCAACATCTGTTAAGGCAGCCTTTCCTGTGCTGTCTGTGGTGGATTTCGTACCACTTTCAGCATTTTTCCCTTTCTTGCGAGGCTTCTTCAGCGGCTGTTCATCGTCTGAGCTGCGGTAAATGGCTCCAGTGAACTTCCTAACGCTGCCATGGGCACCGTTCCCACCCCTCGCATTCCAACAGGGGGTGCATATCTGCCAGCCACATTCGATACACCGCTGTAGAGTTGCTTTGTTATGCTTGTTGCAGATATCACACTTCGCCGTGTGGATTTTGATAAGTTTGAAGATACTATGAGGCGCGGGTTGGCCAGATGGTGCTGGGAACGAAGAAGGGGTAATAGGCAACTCCTTCAACTGTGACTGGGCTTGCCTCCCTTCAGGTGTGCCTGTAGCAGGAAGAGACTGTGAAGGCTGAGGATGAGTCTCTTGGGGGGATGCGCTTGACAATATCTCGATCACCTCAATGTGCTTGCTGTCTGCTGCAAGAGGAACATCTGTGTTTATCTGAAGAGATGGAGGCCGAACTGGGCTGGTACTGGAGTAGGATGCCTTTTCTGGAGCCGAGGGACTCTGTTTGTTGGCTGGAAACATGATATTGGGCTCGTGTGAAAGAGTGTGATACTAGTTGATATCAAGATATCTGGTTTGAGAAAAGGTCAAGGAGGTCATCAACAGCAAAACGTATTGAGAACTTTGGCTGATGCGTGATTAGTATATGTCCAAAGAGGGCATATATAGAGATCAGAATGATAGCTTGTTTATATTATGAGAGAGCTCTTGCATAGTCTAGTGGAGATATTTGGTGGTTAAGCGAGGAAGAAACCAGAGACTTTGTAGAGAAAGAAAACAGTCAAGTCGGAAAGTTGTCACTACGGCTTATTCCGCTAAGGTAGGTATCATATAGGACATTCACTAAAAAAGAGTGAACCATGTTCAAAGGAATAGGAACACACTAATGGGCACTTCCGTATCAACATCATTACAGTCACTTAGTATATGTAAAGTGAATCTTCACATACCATTATAGGCTTCACGGATATATCTTCTTCGTTGATTTATGATAGTCCTCCCATGGTATCAAAGGTACAAAAGATAGGTAATTAGGTAGCCAACTAGAATATACTAGCTTCATAGGAATTATAGAAAAACTCCTACTTCATAGCAGTGCTAAAAGGGGGCTAAAAGGCGTTCAATCAAGGTATGTAATCTAGGGGTCTCGAAAAAGAGGAGATATGTGATAAAAATCACGACTTGAATCATGAATAGCTAGGTACCCCAGGTCCGAAAAGTGATGCTTTTATTTAATTGCATTCAGGGTGAGATGTTCCTAAACCTAATTCATTAATAGTTTATGAATCCACTGGAACATGCAAGCTCTCTAACATAGTAGCAAGATATCTTAGTTTATTTATGAGCTAAAGAGTTGAAAAAGAAAAGGTTAGAAAATAGTCTAGAATAGTAGATGTAAAAGCCGGGAAATAAGTCACTTACGAATGCCCTCTACAGGGGTAGGTTGAATGCCAACAACCTCAGCAGCCAGATGATCCTTATCCTTTCCAGCAGTCTTATCTTCCTTCATGAATGGGAATGCCAAAACTTCCTTGATGCTATAGTTGTCGGTCAAGAACATGACTAATCTGTCAATTCCCATACCCCATCCACCTGTGGGTGGGAGGCCATATTCCAAACTGGTGCAGAAATTCTCATCAATCATTTGTGCTTCATCATCGCCTTGTTCTTTTTGTCTGGCTTGCTCTTCGAAGCGTAGTCTCTGGTCAAAGGGATCGTTCAACTCAGTATAGGCATTGACAATCTCCTTCTTGCAGACGAAGGCCTCAAATCGTTCACACAGGCCAACATGATCACGGTGATACTTGGCCAGTGGAGACATCATTTGCGGGTGACCAATGATAAATGATGGGTTGATGCACTCCTCTTCAATGAATTCTCCAACCAGCTTGTCAAGCATTCGAGCATTGGTGAGTGGGGGAGTACATTCAACATTGACCTTCTTCAGAACCCGCTTCAAAAACTCATTTGTCTCCTCGGTATGCAGTTGATCACCTGGAGGGAATTTTTCACCGGTGGCTTCTTCAAGGGCTGGAATCATCTCGATCTTCTTCCATGGGGCCTTCCAGTTGACTTTGTATTCCTCTCCGCTCTGTGTGTGGAAGACGGTCTCGTAGCCACCGGTAACGTGCTTGACAAGCCCTGAGACAAGGTCTTCGGTGACGTTCATGAGATCATACACATCAGCATAAGCCCAATAGAACTCGCAAGTGGTAAATTCAGGGTTATGGGTGAGGTCGATTCCCTCATTTCTGAACTGGCGACCCATTTCGTATACTCGCTCGAGCCCACCAACGATAAGCATCTTCAGGTATAGCTCAGGAGCAATTCGCATGAATAGATTCATGTTCAGGTCATTGTGGTGAGTGATGAAGGGCTTAGCAGTAGCACCGCCTGCAATAGCGTTCATCATTGGTGTCTCAACCTCAACGAAGTCACGCTCATCAAAGTATCGTCGGATATAGCTAACGATCTTGGAGCGAGTAACAAATACATTTCTTGAAGAGTCATTCATGATTAGATCTAGGTATCTCTGTCTGAACCGCTGCTCCTGGTCCTTCAAGCCGTAATGTTCTGATGGGATCTGGTGAAGGCATGGCGAGAGAAGGGTAACCTGACGGGCAAAAATCGAGAGTTCACCGTCGTCACGGTTCTTTGGATTTGTGCGGCCGGGGAATCCAACAATACCAACAATGTCTCCTCTTCGCAGCTGCTCGTGCTGGGCTTCAAATGGGACATCGCCTGTGACCTCCTGGGCCTGGCAGGCAACCTGTACCTTCACACCTTCTGCACGTAGGTCATAGAAGATAAGTTTAGCTCCGGCAGAACGCTTGGTATATATTCTGCCAGCAATGCGCACTTCCTTCTCTGGCATCTGCTCTCCCTTCTTCAGCGAGTCATAGTCCTTGAGGAACTGACGGAGGTCATCGGTGACCTGGAACTTGTGAGGGTATGGATTGGGCTCCTTGGTCTGTCGAAGCTGGTTAATTTTGGCACTGCGGATCTCGAAATATTGCTACACATCAACCGTGTTAGTACCGTATTCCACAGTTCAATAAGGGTATAGAATAACTAACGTTGGGAGTGAGTTGAGATTCGTCCTCCTCCTTATTCTTCTTCTTGCCTTCTGCTGGAGCGGCAGCGGCGGCAGCGGCGGCCTTCTCAGCTTTCTTCTCTTCCTGGGCGCGCTGCTTCTGCCTTCTCTTCAATTCTGACTTAGACACTCTCTCACCAGTAACCTCGTCGAGCTGGAGGTTTGCGACAGCAGCCCCCGCCTGGTCAACGGAAGCTTGGTCGGCCATCTTTTCTTCCTCTAGCTGTTAGTCTTATATTGCCTATGTGTTAGAACCTCTCGAGCATGAGCTGACGATCTCAGACTCCCTGGAAGATCAATTTATAGTGAAGTAGAATAAGTGAGTCAAGAAGCGCAAATGGCGGGGAGTTTATGACTTGGTTGATCGCTGACTCAATTTTTTATTTTTTTGCGCACAAAAGTTCGATGTCCCACATTAGCCACTTCTCCCGTTATTCAAGCATTAATAGATGGAAGAGATAAAACGGAGGATCATGAACAAACAACTTGGGGATAGCTGTAATTCGAGAAGACATCCATATTATTACAGCTATTTCTTGGAATTTTCATCTATTCTCTAGCCTAGAGTCCATTCTAAACAGACAGAGAAGCAACCCAGTCCCATCCCCTTCCAATCGCAATTAACATCAAACTAAGTGGTAAAAGAAACATCGAGGTAAGAAACGTCTCAAGCCTGATAAACCGTTTCAAGCAGGATTAGACAGGGTTGGAATCACAGAAAAGGGGCTCTGGAGTCTTCTCCGCAACTCTCAGCCATTCCTGAGCTTTGTCAAGCTTCTCCTTTTCCTTAAGAAGATACATCCGCCTCACTTGTCTGTCTCGATCTTCCACCATCAAATCCATGCAGCGTTCAGAAGCTAGATATCTTCGTTAGTGATACAACATCATATATGGTAGATGGAGCAGCGGAGTGTCATACCGTTATCTCCCAAGATACCAAGTTTCTGTTCAATCACTCCTCTCAACTCGTCTCTGCAGCGCATAAAAAGCTTGATATGAATTCCTTGACACGTTGTGTCAACGAAACGTGATGAAGCAATATCATAGTACGCACGGGATGCCTGTTTATAGCGACCAATATCAGTATCAGATAGTACATAATGTAGAAAAGGGTAATAGATATCCTTACGCTCATGATCTCTAACTCCTTGGCAAAATCGTCCGGTCCCAAGCTTTCCTTTGTCACCTTATTTGGGTCTGTTTTAGTGTTTATGCCCGCTGCTTGCTGAAAGGCGTCAAGCGATTTGGCATAGTGTTTGGCCCTGGCTTCATGACGTTTAGTATGGAAGAATTCGTGGGCTTCCTCTTGCCCACGCTGGAACAAAGCATTAGCCATGGTGAAGGGCTTTAGGCACTCGATGTTAAAGTGCTCGTCAGCCTGTTTAAAATGATCGATGCGGATTGACTCAAGAAAGTCAACGATTATCACCTTCAGCTCGTCAAACAAGGCTGTTTGCTCATATTGTCCAAATACTGAGCGCATCTCGTCCAGAAGGACGTCGGATATCAAGGCGTATGTAACTCGCAGGAACATCTTCATTGGGTCGTCCCAGTGCGAAACGCTGATTCTGTTAATTGCCTCAACGGCATGGGGATTCCCCAGACCTGGAACACCAGAAACATATGTATCGGTGTTGACGTTGCGAATTTCACTAAGGTTAAAGCATTTTGCTGGTTCTTTTATGTTACTTATTAGCAATTTGTAGGATTTATGCCAGTACTCTTGGGGACTTACTTGGAAATTTCTCAAAATGGCCTTGGGTGTTGAATACAGGCGCAGCTGACGCAGTAGACGCAGAGCCATTGGCTAGATCCTCTGCTCTCATCTTTTTGATATTGCCTCCTCCATTTGTCTGAGACAGGTTTCTACGTTTCTGATTTGTCTTAGAACTGCCAGATGTGTCTTCGCTTTTGCCCTCCGGATGAACAGACTGCAATCGAAAGTCAGAGGGCTCAGTAAGGCATAAGCTGGGTCTGGATTCGGCGAGGTATTTCTGGAACTCGCACGCGATGGCACCCCATTGCTTCAAAAATGGAAACCTGGGAGATCCTCCGTCGACATGCATTTGGACGTTGTTCGTAAACACGTTGAGCTTTTGGCATAGTATGTATGGAATGTTGGCTGATGGAGGGTTGGGGAGCTTCTTCAATTCCTCGTGAACATGATTAGCTTGCATATTGATCTGGTCTATGATGCCGGGCAGAGAGTCTTGTATCAATTTTAGAAGTAATTTTGACAAGGCTGTTTGCAGGCGGCGGGTGCCAAATCGGTCGGTGTAAGCTGCAAGCTCCGTTTGCCATGGGGGATGAGAGAAGAAGTGGCCTTCCTCTACACGAGCGGTTGCGTGGTCAACTCTCGGATCGGGGTTGTTTTGGACCACGTAATATCCATGACCAGTTGAGAATTTGTCACCGCGGAGTATCTCACGCCACTGGTCATATTCATTCCCATTCTTGAGCTCGACACGATCTGGCTTGGTGAGGACCCCAATAGTCCGATGCCTGGCCCCAGGGATATCACGGATAATCCTGGCAGCACTCGAGTTTGTTGCATCGTCGGTCATCGGCAAGGTAAGTAGGATGATACAGTTTTCTGCTTTGATGTATTCTTTTACCAAATTTCCAACCAAGTCGACCAAGTAGCGCTCTTCATCCAGCTCAGCAACATTGATGACTCCGGGTAAGTCATAAAAGGAGAGATTGGGAAAGTTTGGGGCTGTAATGTCAAGGCGGACAACGTTGGGAGAAAACTTGACCTGGGTGTAAGTGCCATCTGTCTCCTGATCCTCACCAGGAATGAAATCAGTGTGGCTACGTCCAGGGTTGAGCGTGGCTAGCTGAGCCCATCTGAGGTGCTCCTGGAGTTGTGCCTTGTTAGTCAGTGTTGCAAAGGGCAACTCCTCAGGGTCTTGCTCAGTCCACGGGCCTAGGGGCCGGGTATTCGTGGCGCGTTGGGTCCGCCCTGACGTATCATACATATACCTCTTCATAAGGAGGAGTCTGCACGTCCACGGAGCGTCTGGGGACTCGCTCTCCGAAAGATTTATCTCTAGAGGGCATCTTGTACAGCACCCGGCACTTCTAGGCACTTTGATCTCGCTCATACCCTCGATGAGCGAGCTTTTCCCAACACTCTGATCTCCAACTACCACAATCTTTGGAAGGGGGAGGCTGCGGTTTTCAATGCCCAAATGTCGAAGATCCTGGATTTTTTTCACCACTACTCTCATATTCTGAGAGATCAAGTCGATGGATACATTGCTGCTATCTTCAAAAATTGGAGTCTTTGCACGGATAGTGCCTAGAGTAATATTAGCTTATAGCTAAAAGCTATCAAATACGAATAAGGGTCTTACGGGGAGAATAAGCTTCTTCGACAGGAGCCATCTTTAAGCCGATGCTAACAGTCTATACTAGATTGCAGCAAATAGTAAAATGCGAACCAGGGTATACTGGGACGCCACGGCAGCTTAGTTCTGATGAGTTACAAAAACTCAACCCTCAATATAGATATTGAGTGTGTATGTGGGAGAAAGTAAAGATTAGCCCCAGCATATAAACAGAAACCAGAGAGCTCTATTGTGAGGCTCAGAAAGCAGAGTTTCAACAGTTGGAAGATGTGTTGATATAACTTTGCGTTTGTGGGACATGAAGTAGTAGAATAGTTACCACCACAACGGCTGTAAAAATTCAACTACTTAGGAGAACAAAGAATCAACACATAAGAAAAAAACAGCAGTAGCAACACTTGTCCTGCTGCTGGCTCACTAAGAACAGCCCATCCTGTGTTCTCTGGTATTGTCCTGTAGAAAGCCGCCCAGGGCGGGCTACACATAACTTTGCGTTTGAAAGACTTCTCAAAGAACCTCCATGGGGAGTATCTAAAAGTATACCAAACTACTACAACTTGTAAGTATATTTCCATCTATCCCCATCTCCATCAATGTTGTTTTATGTATGTTGTCGTTTTCACGCTTCGATGTTTTGGAAAAGAACAAACCACGTGATGTCACGGGCCCGGGAAAGCCCAAAGAGGATAAGCTTCTTTTTCTGGTGCTTCTTCAGCTTCCTCGTTTGTTTATGATAAGTCAAAATATCAATTCAACCAGCTCAACACTTTGTATCTTTAGCTGAAGAGATAGAAAAAAGAATAGCTTGTTCATTAAGTGATACTGAGTGATAATCAGAGCAACGGGATGCTTGCAGTGCCCTCCGCATCTTCAACCATGGCATCTACAAAAGCAGTGATCTTGGTAATATACTATGCCCGCATCCTTACTTGAGAGGGATGACAACAAACCCCCTCCCCCTTTTTCTTATGCTTAGATCATGGCTGACGGTTCTTTGTGATGCGTGCTCTAGGTCGGTGGACCGTCCAGAGGGACTAGATTCAGGCCTCTGTCTCTGGATATGCCAAAGGTGCGTTGTCCTACCTACCCACCACGTATAGCATTGGCATCAGCCCTTACCAGATGCTAATTGCCGTAGCCCCTATTCGAAGTTGCGGGCCACCCCATCTTATTACACTGTCTGAAGGCTGTTGCCAAAGTTCCAGGCATCCGCGAGGTTATCCTTGTCGGATACTACGACGAGACCGTATTTCGAGACTTCATAAAGTCCGCCAGCGTAGAGTTCCCCCAGTTCCGCATCCAATATCTCCGGGAGTACCAGGCTCTCGGCACCGCAGGAGGCCTCTACCATTTCCGAGATGCTATTCTCAAGGGTCGTCCGGAGCGTTTCTTTGTTCTCAATGCAGATGTCTGCTGCTCGTTCCCCTTGGGTGAGATGCTCAAGCTCTTCGAGGAGAAGGACGCAGAGGCTGTCATCCTCGGTACTCGTGTCAGTGACGACGCTGCTACCAACTTTGGCTGCATTGTCTCAGATACCCACACCAAGCGAGTCCTCCACTACGTCGAGAAGCCAGAGTCACACATCTCCAACCTGATAAATTGCGGTGTCTACCTGTTTGCAACCGAGTGTATCTTCCCTTCCATCCGAAGTGCCATCAAACGCCGTACTGCCCGTCCTCGTCTGCTTTCCTACCCATCATCCGAAAATCTCGAATCCTCGTACATAGCTCAAGATGAGTCTAGTGAAACCCCCGAGATCCTACGTCTCGAACAGGACATCCTCCCAGACCTCGCAGACAGCAACCGCTTCTTCGTCCATGAGACCAAGGACTTTTGGCGCCAGATCAAGACTGCGGGCTCCGCTGTGCCTGCCAATGCTCTCTACCTCCAAAAGGCCTTCCAATCTGGCTCTGAGGAACTTGCTGCCCCCTCAGCCTCGATCGTCCCACCAGTTTACATTCACCCCTCCGCCACTGTCGATCCCACCGCCAAGCTGGGACCAAACGTCTCCATTGGCGCACGGGCTGTTGTAGGTCCTGGCGTCCGCATCAAGGAGTCCATCGTTCTCGAAGATGCTGAGATCAAGCACGATGCATGCATCTTGTACTCCATCATTGGATGGAGCAGCCGCGTCGGAGCTTGGGCACGAGTCGAAGGCACGCCCACCCCGGTCGGAAGCCATTCCACCACTATCATCAAGAATGGGGTAAAGGTTCAAAACATCACCATTTTGGGTAAGGAATGTGGTGTCGGTGATGAAGTCCGTGTCCAGAACTGTGTTTGCTTGCCGTTCAAAGAGCTTAAGCGCGTATGTTCCCCTCTAGCCCCTTCTCCAATACCCATTATATCTCTAATCCTAGGCTAACAAATCTCTACAGGACGTCGCAAATGAAGTTATCATGTAGACATCTCAAGACAACATTGGCGGATTATGCCTCTGTCTTATGCGCATATGTCTCGAAGCTTTTTCTTAATGACAAAATAGGATTGTTGAATGTTTAGCCCCTATAACGACCTCGTTCGGATTTTGAATTACCACTTTTTCTACTTTATGTCTGATGTGATGCTAATAAAACTTCTATCGAACAAGATAGACCCCATACAATCAAAATAATATCATGGCTTTATATAACTGTCATAGTAAAGCAGACATAGTACTACACTTCACTTCAGCCCTCTAATCACGGTTGGATACGTAATGGAGGATGGACTCAATACCCTTACAATCCTGAAACACCAATCCTAAATGACACTCAAGGCTACACCACCTTTGTTCTGTCTAATATAGAATAGCACAGGGTAGCAATGTAAGCCCTTAAATGTAGATGCCAGTTTATATTTGACACGTCAAGTAACACAATATTCGATTAGAATTTAGAATTCACATTAAATCTATAAATATAATACTTTTTTTAGAAGTGCAAACAGTTTAAAAGGTAATAATATATCATTATCGGTTCATGATTATACTAAGGCAATGCGAAAAAGGATGGTGCCTGGGAAGCTCATGCAACATAAATATTAATATATGACAACAGCATATAAAGCACGCTGACTATTATATCAAGCGATTAGTAGTAGTTTTAGTACGCATCCCAAGTCCATCATTATATTCATACTTGAAAAAAAGTTAGTTTCAGGCTTTTCTTAACAACTGGAGAAACAAGACATACAGATTCAGCTCCTTATTTTGGTGGCTGAGCGCAAAGAGTAAGGGTGATGTCGGCATCTCTCTGGCAGGCAGAGGTGAATTTCTGACCGGCTGGGGGAACACCGTTTGGCCACCAGATATCAGGGCAGTCGGGGTTGGAAGTGGAAACCAGCAGGCCACTGGTGCCGGCGAAGGCATCGCCGAAGACATCAGACAGATCATAGAAGGTGTTGGTGTCGGTCAGAGTGTATGCAAAGATGGTCTGAGGAGAGCCATTGAAGAGACCGTCCTTGACACGAGTAATCTTAAGAGCAATACCTCCGCTGACTGGGTCGTAGCGGAACTGTTCAGAATAGGTGTTTCCGGGGGTGATGGTGTTCTGGCCGCCAACGGCGCTGCCAACGGACCAGAGATAGGCGTTATTATCACAATGGTTCTCGACGATGGCATGGCCAACGGCAGCAGCGAATGGGGTGATGGCCGCAATGGCAGTGAGGGCAATGGCTTTGAATTGCATGTTGATGGCTTTGGAAAATATCTTGAAGTGATACTGGAAATGAAACTGAGGAGTGGAAGTTGATGATGAGAATCAGGTTGATCAAGGGGAATTGAGCGTCATATTTATATCATTGACGAGGGACATCTTTAGACGGGTATCAGGCAATTGATGTCTTAGTTGCTCCTTGAGCTCAAATGATTTTACGGACGATACGAAGTCAAATGGCAATCGCAAAGGATCGCACCGCCACCGATCCGCCGGTACCATTGGTTTGAAGCAGAGCCCGCGATCAAAATAACCATCCTTGGACTAAAGCTATCATCCGAACCATGGTATCCCCAACACCTAGATTAGTCATTGTTTTAGTTCTGGGGGGATGGCTTTTGCTCCCCAAAGCATGAAAATTGATACATTATATGCATGACGGATTTGACAGGCCAGTCCCTGCGTTCTGTCAAGGGGAGAAAGACGTGGACCAAATCATTCCCTTCAGAGGATATTCCCACAAACACATATAGGTATATAGTACTCCGTACTGCCGGAAGCAAATGTTATGAGCTGTATCTTCTCCGCAAGCGTGCGTATAATAGGATTGGGCTGAACACAGCTGTTGGAAAGGTTTCAGATCCAACGTAATTCGTCCACTTAACACCTGTAAGAACATTGACGCCAGGGTCAAGCAGTTTAAACTAAGCCAAATGAAGTGGACAAGTAGCGTAGCATTCATCGGATGCTACCTTGTTCTGTGTAGCTTGCATATGGTTCCTTGTCGGTTGGGAGGTATGTCTTGCCTTGCTATATGATGAGCAGAGATGTTTGTTTTGCAAAGAAATATGCAAATCTCCACCAGGTATAGCCATAGCTTATCAGTGGAAGATTGGTAGCTATGTTCCAAGACCCAGGCAGACAAAGACACCGATGCAACCGGGTAGGTAAGGTGCTAAAGGCAGCGACCAGGTCAGCTATGCAGAACTAATTCGATATCCATAATCGAACCAGTGGAGCCTTTTGTAAGACATCAGAAAAGAGGAGGAAGAACCAGACTAAGAGCGTCTTGACTTCTTCTGCGGCAAAGTCGGATGGAAGTTGATGTTGGCTTTTTGTTCGGCTCGTCGATCATCTTTGATACCAAAATCAGCCACCACGAAGCTACCAAAATATGACTAACTAGTTAGCAAACTAACTAGCAATTGCAGCAAGCAGACAAAAAATGTCTTAAAATACGAAGTAAATTGAACAATTGGCATTGCAGAATCCCCGCATCGATAAAAGTTAGGCGTTTCGTCCGGCAAACAGGGACAAGCCATGGAAATCCGCTGGGCCCTTGAGAAGCTCGACCAGGTTGCTATTATTAGCCTAGCATCGTTGATTCATCTCTGCGCCTAAAGCTACCCCAGATTCAGCTTTGAGATGAAGGAGCCTCGCGATGCCTGAGAGGACTGAACAAGTTAGTGATGTTCCTTCAAAAGCAAATAGGCAGGGTCGTATAACTAGGGAGTATTCCATACATAAGAAGCGAGGGAGCAAGGCATCTTGGTGTCTTTTTGTCGAGAATCAAGCCAGCCGGGTTCCGTATCCGATGCACCGTTACTTATTATTATATTATTGCTTCTTCCCAGGATCTTGTCTCTGCTGCCATGCGAGAGGAAACATGGATGGCTTTCGCTGGTTACGTTAGTTATCGTATTGCAGCGGTGACGTCATAGAACGGCTTGAGGCTCAGCCTTCCGCTTCTTCTCTTGGAGTTCATCCTTTGGACAAGCCGAAGGAGTGTAACAGACAAGTCGAGCGACTCTGAAGAGCGCAGCCTGGCACACGAAGTCGCAAATGACAGGCGTTGACCACCCATACCCCCTAAACCCGGAGGTGCCTTCATGTTCGCCGCCAGCATACGAAGCTGTGGCGGGTGAAGGTGCTCCATCTGCATCCCATCAGAGGTCAAGCGGTGCGGTGACACTGACTATAAATGGCAAACACATATGCTCTTCTGTCTCTCCTGATGGACAGCCGGTCTATAGCCTCACCCATGCTCTAGATGGCCATGAGATGAGCCAGTATGGTATCTTGTTAACGCGCATTGAACAACGGACAGTCTCGTCGTCTTCTCAGGGCATACCAACTACAAAGACGGTCAAGCGTGATATATTTGCACTTCGCGATGCCCCTGTTCTTCACATCGGGCATGCTCGTTACGAGATAGATGGCCGACGATATCTGTCGGACAAAAAGGGTCACATGAGTAGGTCTTCCTACGGCGTTGGATCCGGGTGGACTGCCTGGGGTAAAGGGTTACCATCCTTCACCCTCGATCGGTCAGAGAGTGGCAATGCCGGCAAAGTCGGTGAGACAACTGACTCTTCCTTTTATGAATGGCGTGAGAAGAATAAAGGTCCGTTAATAGCAATGGAGACACGGAGGCGCTGGGATATGGAGAACAAAGTCGAGATATCCCCACCTAAGCTAGACTTGATGAAGTGCTGGCGCGATATTGATAGAGAGTATTTGGATTTCATGGTTGCTGCATGGTGCATGCATAACTGGCGAGAGGCAAAGGATATCACCAAGGAACCCATAACTTGGGATGAATGTGAGTCGTATTGGCATCTTCCCTTGATCCTCCATTGTGATCAGGGGGGTTTTCACCTACCTCTTTATTACCCAACTGTGTGTGCTGCTGTCTGTTGACATAACTTATAGTCAAAAAACAAGCTCAAGTCACCGCCGCAAAGCGAAAAAAACAAACTTGGCCTGCAGGTCGCTCAAGTGCCTTTAGTCTTACTGGATTTGTATCATAATGTAGTTCCCGGACTTCATCGTCGCCGCATATATGGAGATTGAATTCTTTTGAGTTGGTTTGATATCTAAATTTCTTGTTACCTTGCTATTCGGACAATAGCTCTAGGTGGCAGGTTACCATCTATTGTTATGTACTTTTACAAGCGGGCTATCATGCCCCTTCCAACCCTTACCCGACTTGAAATAGGGCCCAGGGGTAAACCCCGGCATTACAATTCTGTTAGTGTAAATGTTGATCTACCAACATTTGATGTCGAAGGTTTTGTTTATGTGATAAAACAACATCAACGTTAGAAAATATCCACTACATCATTCATGTACACATACATGAACCCTCACCATGTTCTCTAACCAGCTCCTAATACCCCAGGGATAATACACCCGAAGTAGCTGCCGAGGCGGGATAACGTGTGCTGAGCCAGCACCAACATCAATACCCCATGATGATACTATAGGATGAGTGATAAATGTCGTATAAAGAGAGTTATAAAACCTCTTGTCTCCTTTCTGACTGAGACTACCTATACCCATCAGTACTTTTGTTAATTAGCACTAGTCTCATTAGTATTATTGCCCTCTTTGCCTATATCTTCGGTCGTTACCCATAAATAAAGACTTTACCTAGCATTTCGGTTGAAAAAACCTTCAAAATCTGAAATGCGTCGCCTGAAGTTCTCTGTACTTATGGTGCTTTTCATGGCAACTATGGGATTGGCACGCCCCAGCCCGTCAAACGAAGAACTTGTATGTTTCTCACCAAGCCCATATGTGCTAATATAATCCTCCTGAGAAAATCCTTCAGATTTTCGATTTCACCGATGGCAAAACCAAATGCAATGATGTTGAGCAAGCGTTAGTATTAGACAGTTAAAAACACCAGTGATAGACTTGTACTAACAATCGTACTGGCAATGCCTCCTCTCTTGACTATTCCGATGTCCTCCAGACGGCGATGCGGACTGCTTGTTCTTTACGTATGTTTTCTCTTAGCTTGTAGTAATACACAACTTCTGATGGTGATATTTCGGGGAACTGGGTTGTCAAGGGCAAAAGTTCGATGGCCAGGCTGAGGTATAGTCCTACACACCCATCCTGGCGGTTTCTAAGCCTGTCCAGTGCCATCTGCCCTAACTAGCTAGTGCTGGATAATTCTTTTTGATGTCCGAATATGCGAATATATCGTGAACAGGCTTGGTAGCGGTAGAGCAGGCTCATACATGAATAACATATATTGACTACCATTGACAACAGAACTTGGAAGTATGCAAGATTTAGACCTTCTATCGTATCCGGACACGGATCAACTTGCTGGCTGTATTACAAATCATCTTTGGCAACTTCGCTCTTTATAAAAGATGCGACATGAAACGTTTGGAATCATCAGATGTTCATCCTACGCGACGATGTCGAGCATGATTTATAATAGTCAGACTTACACTGGATAGAAGCTGGCTGGCCAAGCAGCCTCGACGGAATACCCAGAACTTCATTACAATGACCTCCATATATACCCGCCACCGCTTAGCTATATGACCAGCTTGTCATAACCTATCCTACACTAACATCATATACAGCATTGCTTCTTAAATCTAGGAACGTACACAAGCGTAATGGCATTCGTACTAGCGGGAGAGGTACAATGGCATGAGGGAGAGCAGAAAATGCACCAGCTCATGCATGTTCCACATGAGGAGAATCCAACAGCGGCATTCCTTAGTCCCGGAGCAGCTTCACTGGCCCAACGATGTCCTCTGCTTGCACTTGGAACGCTGGATAAACAAGGACGCCCATGGAGTACGGTATGGGGAGGTCAGGCCGGATTTGTTGGTCCGGTTGCTCAGTCCATCATCGGAATAAGGAATATTATCGATGGGACCTATGATCCCGTCGCGGAAACTTTGCTTGGGGGTGAATTAACTGGTACGATTGTTAAAGAATCATCCCCGGGGAGGCTAATGTCCGCACTGCCGATTGATATGGAGAATAGGAGGCGTGTCAAGTTGATGGGACGGATGGTTGCAGGCTCCATGGAAGAAACCTCAGAAGAGCCTGGGAGTGAAAGTACAAATGATGATAGTATAGGGAAAGCAGCTCAAGTGCAGCTGGTTATGAAGGTTGATGAAAGTTTAGGTGAGACATATATACCTCTGGTAGTTTGATACGGTTTACTGACTTGTCATCCAGGAAATTGTCCCAAGTATATAAATAAGAAACATATAACACAAGCAACTCCTCGTCCAAAACTTATTTCGAATTCGTCTCAACTTCCTCAGGGAGCTCTTGACCTACTCAATCGAGCAGACACCCTTTTTGTGGCCAGCTGCCATGCAAAAGACTCGATGGACTCTAATATACGCGGAGGCCCACCGGGTTTTGCTCGAGTACTATCTAACGACAGCACAGGTGCCGTTCTGGTATACCCCGAATACTCTGGAAACCGTTTATATCAGACATTAGGCAATCTCCAAACAACTCCGCTTGCTGGTTATGCATTCCCTGACTTTGAACTAGGGCATATCCTGTACATTACTGGGAAAACAGAGGTTTTGGTTGGAAGTGACGCAGCCCAAGTGTTGCCTAGATCAAATCTTGCCGTAAAAGTCACTGTCATTGCTGCCAGATATGTTGAACACGGCCTTCCATTCCTTGGTGAGCCAAAGGAGCCATCCCCATACAACCCAGAAGTGCGGTACCTCTCTGCTGAAAAACCAGCCCCAGGGAACCGAATACCAGAAGGTCCTGACACAAGAGTGGTTTTAATCAAAAAGGATATCATCACTCCCACTATTAATCGATTTCGATTCAAAACATCGGATCCATCCATCACTCTTAAATGGATACCAGGGCAGTATGCTACCCTGTCATTCCGTGATGAATTAGATATGGGTTACAGCCACATGAGAGATGATGATCCCACAAGTATCAACGATGACTATATCCGCACCTTTACGGTTTCATCGCATCCGGGGCGCAACCTTGCCAAAAACGAGTTTGAGATCACTGTTCGGAAAAAGGGAAATGCAACCAGCCATCTATTCCGAGCAAGTGAAAGAAGCGGGCTAGAATTATCACTTCGCGGATTTGATGGAGACTTTCGATTTGAGAGCTTTACCCCGGACAGCAATGTCGATCAGAATAGTTCTATTCTCCCTTTTGTTGCTGGCGGGATAGGGATTACCCCCGTTCTGGCACAGCTCACCTATATTGACATACCAAGGCTAAAAGTTCTGTGGTCCGTATCACTAAAAGATATAGGTCTAGTGTATGATGTTTTTGAGCAATTTTCCCAGTTACCTGGGGTCACGACCTTATTCCTTACTTCCTCTTTGGCGGTCCCCGAACAAGACATGGTTGAAGAAGATAAGAGAAAGCTGGACTCTGTTATTTCTTCGGGGGTATCAATTGAGCGTCGCCGTTTGAAACGTGAAGACTTGTCCACTGTCCCTGATGTTGATGTCTGGTATCTGTGTGCCGGCACTGAATTGAAGACTTCTGTTACCAATTGGCTAACAGGGAAGAAGCTTGTCTATGAGGATTTCAACTATTAATTTTGGATTTCCAGGTTGCACATATGAGATTAGCAATTACTGTTTTTTTAACTAAATATTAGTTAGTTATATTCCGGGTTATTATTCAACTTGCTCTCTTACCCCTGAGGAAGATAAATAGAGTTACTTATTTTGAGCCGAGCTAGCTAGTTAGCGCCGATGACGCCAGAAACGCCTGCCTGGACCTTTGACGACATCAAACGTACACAGTAGAGCAAGATAGGAACTCCATATAACTAACGGTAACCAACACCCTGATAGGACGGTATCGGCTACTTCCTTCGCATTTATACCTGTCAGCTCTACTTAACAGTCACAATGGCTACCTACGAAGGTCTGGTTTGCTTCCTGCATCCTCGCGGGGTTGATGCCAGCCAACTCCAAGCTCAATCACTCCCGCAAGCTTGGAGTACATTGCTTATCGTTCATCAGTGGCTAATAATTATTATAGTCGAGCATTCTACAACCGACAATAATACCTCCGCAAATAACTCACGGCAGCCCGGCTCTCGCCGCTCAGCTCGTCCTGACCTTTCCACATTCTTCGCCACGCTGAATGAAATAAGCCCCTACCAAGGCGAGCAAAGGACGCGCCCGCACGCTGTTCCGGTGCCAGGCGATGTAAGTGCCGCGTTTAGGTCGCTTGCGGAGGCATTTGATGTTATGAGACGTAGCGGGGATAATGCGCCACTACCAGTTTACGACGGACGGGACCCCGAAATGGCCGATGCTGAGCAAGGACCATTAATAGAAGAGATGATTCGGGCCCTATTGCAAGAGGCAGAAGCTCCTCCACGGGAAGTCGAAGGAGTATCAGAGGAATTTTGTGATAGTATGTGATTCCTACTCTCGCATAGTCGACTCTTACTTACATGGCGCAACGCATAGTGCTTGATCGTGTTCCCAAGTCAAAGCTAAAGGAGGCCCAAAGTTGTCCAATATGCAACAACCCCTTTCTTGAGGACTCACATCCTCTCGTTGTCAGGCTTCCCTGCCACACGTCCCATCTGTTCGACTTGGAGTGCGTACGCCCATGGCTACGGCTAAGGGGAACTTGTCCCCTTGACAGGACAGATTTTGGAAAGAAGGAACGTCAGAAAGAACAAGAAAGGCTGGAAAGACTTATGAAGAAATCTAGTGGGCTTAATGATGACGACGACGAAGAGTGGGATGGCATGTATGCATAATAGTGCAGACTTTCTAGACAGAGAGGGTATCGCTCTCAAGTCTAGCGAATCTGCCTCCAGTTGGAAATCCTTTTCCCCCAGGAGTAAATTCATTTACCCTTTTCTTCCCTATTATACCTATCTTGCCCAATACCCTACCTTTAATCACGTTCAGGTAGTACTTCTTGATATCATCACTGTCCTTTAATATCAAGATGGGATTACTTTTTGTCTTTGTTACCAGTGTACTTTTTTTATCTATGGATCTTGAACGCCTTTTTGCTATACCATTTGGAGCCATTAGCACGGGCATGTGGTGATCCGTTGAATAGTTGTTTAAGCCAACTGATGGCTTCCATAATAATGAGGCCATGCACTATGCTAAAGGTTTTTGCTCACTCTAATTTCTTTGTTATCCATTTCCATGTCAACTTGATGGAAGTTTCCGGGTTGTCTGTCAACATGAGCGCCATTTCCAGTATATAACTCGTGAAATATGTTGCAGAGCCTTCCACTACCAATATCACTACTCGCTTTTACAGCTCTAATTTCTAAATTCAAACAACAGCCACTTGATACCGGGATGTCCTACGCAAATTTCGATGGCCTTGACCTAGCAACGGCTAGCCTGATAGTTCAGCTTCAGCTTGATGATATACAAGAGATTAGAGGGCATTCTAAAGGCAAAGGTCGTGAAGGCGAAGTGTCTGATACTGATTTGTCGTTGGAGCTATACGATGACGAGCTTGTTCAACGTTCTCAAATACTAAGGGACACGTTGGCGACGAGAAGCATCGCAGCTGCAACCCGCAATGACCAACTGGCAATACAAAACTGTGTAGAAGGTGAGAGGCGTGCGTACCAAGACCGTCAGCTCGCATGCCGTCTAGGAGGGATAAACCCTCCCCAGGCGCCGGTCCTCGCAATTTGCTCTGGAAAACAAGCAAATAAAGCGGCAGAGCAATCATCTTCATCCTCGCCTATCTGCCTCTACAAAGAGGCTTCCGAAAAGATCCTCGAATGCGAAATCTGCTGTGAAGCGGTGGATATAACAGGCTCAGCGCGTCTTCCTTGCAATCATCTATACTGCCGCAGGTGCCTTCAACGACTGTTCCACGAGTCATTCTCTGATGAGACTCTCTTCCCTCCACGATGCTGCCGCCAACAAATAATAGTCGAACAGGTTGGGGGTCTTTTAACGCCAGGCCTCATAGCCTCTTTTAAGGAGAGAAAAATAGAATTCGACACGAAAGATAAGACGTACTGTTCTTCGCCCTCATGTTCTAAGTTCATACGTCCCGAGCACATTGAGGGTGAACGCGCCTTGTGTCCGCACTGCGACACCACCACCTGTACAATTTGCAAATTTGGTGCACACGATGGAGATTGCCCTAAAGATACCGCTCTTTCCCAGGTTCTAGCCTTAGCTAAAACGACCGGCTGGCAGAGGTGCTACTCTTGCAAGCGTATTATCGAACTAGACACCGGATGTTACCATATAACGTGAGGAGCCTAACTTATATTCCTATTGACTAAGTCTTCCCTTGCTGACGGACAAATTTATCTTTCTCAGATGCCCCTGCACTGCACAGTTCTGTTATCTCTGTGGTGTCAACTGGAAAAAGTGTGCCTGTGAGTTTTGGGATGATAATCAGCTGGTTCGGCGTGCAAATCAACTCGTCGACCGCCGGCCGAGGACTACGGAAAACCGTGAGGTGGCAGTTGCACAACAAATCCGTAATTTACGAGAGCGACATAACTGTGGCCATGGAAGGTGGTTTAGGGTGGATGGCAGACATCGCTGTGAGGAATGCAGAAACACACTGCCCGATTTTATCTTGGAATGTCGCCAATGTCAGCTCCAGGCCTGCGTTCGATGCAGGAGGAATCGACTATAACGCTGCTCACTAGCCATTCTAGCAAAGAACATCTTTGCAATCAGATAGGCCCCAGCCTGATAATGATTTCTCTTAAATTATTAAGGCATTGGCATCATTTCCCTTTCAATTCTCATGCAAAGTCACCCTTGGATTCATAGGAGGTGTGAAATTCGTGTAGGGTTTATCAAAAATCTTTCCTATCCTTTTGTTCACTAATCATCATAAAAAAAATGACATTACATCAATTTTAGTTGGCCTACAGAGTCTGCATAAAGCCTAATTAACCTGTGGCAGGGGAGGGAGAGTCATTGACCTCTTTTGTACGAAGCGTAAGCTTCCCCGTTTGAGCCAAAACAGCTTCATATCCGCTCTTCTCTAGTATGCGTGAATCATCCTGAACCACCTCTCTAGCTTCTAGCTGTTCCACTAACTTCTGGTTCTCCCGGTTTCCTTCAAGCAAAAATTTCAAACACATAACCGCATGCTCTTTGATGTACGGGTTATGTGCATCGAAAGCTGTACACGATAATATAGTCTCGATACCCCCGTATTTTCGAATTTGGTTTTGTACCTGCGGACACTTCCAGACAAGAGAGGAGAGGACTAATATTACCAGCTTCTTGAGGTTCCGCCATTCGAATTCTGCAGGATCTTCGTTGCCAATTGGTGGTGAAGGTACCCTGGACTCTGCGCCCACTGTGGCATTGTCGATAGGCTCAGGGTCATTAGGGTCATATGGCCGTTCAACAGCTACTGGAGCAGCAGAACTGCCATTTTCGGAGGCAGGAGGCTCATTAGATGGACTTTTCTGGGATGCTCTTGGAGCGGCTGCAGCGGCTGCTTGTGTTAGAGAGCTGAGAGAACCTTTAGGAATGCTGGCTTCCAGTTCTTTGATCAACGTCACCAAATCGTACACAATCTCCCATTGGACAAGGAGGTTCTTCCATTCTGTATTCTCTGTCAAGACTGCAAAGAATTCAAGGAATTGGTACACTCCTTCGTAAACCCGTTCCATATCCCACAAATTCAATGGGAAATCCTCAGGAAGGGCGTGTCCAGCTCGGATCTGGCCCTGAAGGTATATCAAAGCACATGTCTCCGGGATGATGTTGCCACGGAAGATAGTGAATATATAACGCACCGTCAAAACATCAACCTTGGTAACAGCTACAGAGCTTCTCCCAGTCGGAGTCTCTGTCGTAGATGTAATGTTTGGTGGCGAATACTTTGACCGGAATATATGTGTAAGGATCTTGATAACGACCGCTTGAGCTGGGGATATGATATCCTTAGCCTGGCCGAAATCAGAGTAGGCATGCGACATAAGGCCATTGTTTAACACAGCCTCCATAATTTGAACCATCATCTTGAAATAAAGTTCGTCATCAGGGAGATCCCATGCAGCAATGAATATCAAAAGCTCCCTGAGTAGATTTCTTCCAGTTTCTTGGGCGAGTAAGATATGGCAACGAACAGCTTGCATATTTTTTGACCCTGTTTTAGGCCCACCTTTCGGGCCAAAGCTGTCTACAATACCAGCTTGGATTAACATAGGAAGTGCCTCAATCTCTGCAGGCCCTAGCACCAAAGGAATATCAGTTAAAAGGCCTCGTTGCTGGTCCCCAGGGCGACCTCTGTAATCATCGTCATCATCTTCCTCGTCCTCTTCCTCCTCGACACTTCCATCCGCCACTGCTTCCAGACTTCGAGAATCATCATCAGCAACACCACTACGCTCCATACCATCATAATGATGCTCTCCCTCTGTAAGGACAGGAGAGGTTTCTTGCAGGCGCGCCATAAGTTCGTCCTTGGCCTCTTGGAGAGTTTCAGCTGCGGACTGCGCTGAACGCGTCATAGTTCGATCTTCCGCAGTTACTGGTGCATCAACTGCGGATATAACGCCATAATCGTCAAGATTAGGAAAATCCGTCCAGCAAGTGCGTGGAAAGCCTGCTGTAGCACTTCGATCAATACTCAAAATAGGCTTCTTACGCGTGGGCTCCTCCTCAGATCGAGATGAGCCTGCTTGGTGGTCATTTAAGTCAGCCCA